CATGTCGGGAATCGAACCAGGGTCTTCGGCGAGCGAACGCCTTAACCACCAGGCTACCCGACCGCCCCTAAAGTTACAAAGGAAATAAAATAGCCAGAACTGTTCAAGTGTTGTCAGTACAGTTCCACCTTCACCGCATGCACGTGAACAGTTGTCCAGAAACTAACATCTGCTGGCGTAGCAATGTCAGCCAAAAGGAATCCCTCATTCTGATTTAGTGAATGAGTGAGTGAGTGAGTTGGGTTGCTTTTATGAGTATTCCGCCTCTATCACGGCGTGTCGGCTTAATGTGGGTGAAAGGTCTGAAGTGATGCAGGTCTTAGACGTTTACCACTTTGGTGAAACCCATATAGCACGGGTATGGTGCTGACAAACCCAGAAACTATCGGGGCGAATCGGGGTTCACAGGGTACTGGCGTAACCAAGGGACGCAACTCTGCACAGCGAATTGCGGCGCCTGAGACGACTGGACAACCCATTCTGTATGTCCTTTTTACATTGAAACATACTTGGTTATACAGAGAGGCTGTCTGATAGTTATACAGACACATAATTATAATAACTATTATAATAAGAACTGGTATTCCTGTGTAACAGCTCCACTCATCCCTGTCTGATATGTGATTTGTTTGTTTGTAATGTTGTTTCACGCCGTACTCAGCAATATCCTATTTATAGCACAACGACCTGTAGAGTGTCGAGTCTCGGAAGGCAAACCAGTGGTTGATATCACGATCAATAAAGCCATTCCTACAATCATTTACGTCACAGATACTGACCACCCAATCCCAAGGAGCCATTGTTAACTTTATTACATATGCCGGTGAAGATTCGGGGTAGAATAGATCTTCAGCAACCCATGCTTGCCGTAAAAGGCGACTAACGGGATCGGGTGGTCAGGCTCGGTGACTTGGTTGATGCATGTCAGCGTTTCCCAATTGTGCGGATCGATGCTCATGATATTAATCACTGGATTGTCTGGTCCAGACTCGATTATTTACAGACCGCCGTCGTATGGCTGGAATATTGCTGAGTGCGGCGTTTAACAAACAAACATGTGCCACTAGCGGGTTGGACGGGATGTTACGAATTGAATGGACTTGTACAGACAGACAGACAGACATATAAGTTTATTTACGTCCAACTCATGGATACATGGATGTGGTAGATTCCCAATGTATATATGCTCATACACTAAATTTATCAGTTATTAGTTGAATTATTGAAGTGTTATAATATGATTATACTTTTTTATAACACTGGAAAACAAATTCGGTAACTGATGGGCAATTATTGTAAACCAATGGCTTTGGATATGTTTGGCGTGAACAGTATGTAAAAGTTCCATAAGAAACTGGACGATACTCCTGTATAACAAAAGAAAACAGACGCTGCCAGCTACGTTACTTAAATACCACTGAAGACGAATATCACTGTCTTCTTGTATGTCCAGTTTATTCTGTGCTAAGAAAAACGTACTACGTATATGTTCACCCCAACGTCATTATGTTTAAAGGTTTGTTAAATAGCTCTATGATTTTACTATTGCTCCAGTTGTCTATGTTTATCTATTATGCAATAATGTACTGAAAAATCTTATTCAAACCAAAACTCTACTATCAATCAGAATGTTTTGTATTATGTACTATAGGCCTGTGGCCTCCTCAGTACGAAAATAAAAGACTGATCTTGACCAATCGCTCAGCGATTTATGAGACGGTTAAAATATTCAACTGACTGTGATAAACGCATAAAGCCATAAACTAATACCTGATACATAGTAAGTTATTTATATATAATATATCGTCGTTTACATAAAGTTGATCACGAGTCATGTACACTCCTAGCTGGAGTTCCTTGCAGTTGACGTGACACATCTTCCACCGCCAATCAGATCGTTCATGTGATGTCAATCAAATCGATATATACTGCTCATTTTAGCTGCATGTATTCTAAACAGTATAAGACTATTTGTTAAAAATAGATTAATTACAATTGATAGAATGTTATGAAACTATTTCCATTCGCGCATTTACACAGTTTTTTATTGTTAGTACAGTTCCACGTGCAGACAAAATCTGTTACAGGGAGCATATGGTGTGATCCTACAGAGGTGTAAACATTGCGCCTTACTTCTCCCAGTTTAGTATACCTGTCTTAAGCAACCTATTCTTGCCGTAAGAGGCGACTAACGGGATCGGGTGGTCAGGCTCGCTGACTTGGTTGAAGCATGTCATCGTATCCCAACTGCGTGGATCGATGCTCACGATATCAATCACTGGATTGTCTGGTCCAGACTCGATTATTTACAGACCGCCGTCATATAGCTGGAATATTGCTGAGTGGGGCGTTAAACAATAAACAAACAAACAACCCAGTTTAGTAGTTATGCAGAGCAATCGGTAAATAGATTAAAAACGTCTATTTTTACGTCCCGCTCTGATTTAAACTGCCGTAAACAAGAAAATAATCAAATGCCATGTGACAGTAGAGAAATGCTTCCGCATCATAATTACCAGGTGACAAACTCCCTGGGGATAGCGCTTGGATTGGAAATATTGATTTTGAAGATTGGATACACGAATCTAGAATGATATCGACAACATCGAAATATATAAACATGTATGATATATATATAATATTATTTATGTTGCTTGATGAAATTACAAAATAAGAATAAAACAAGTAAAACATTTCGTGATATTCAACTTTGACTGGGATACGTTTGGATAAGTTTTAAAAAAATGCATTCAATTCGAATTCCTCGATGTCAAATTCGTTCCTTCAATCATGAGCGGAAGAGCGGGGTGAAAGCTGTTTTACGCCGCAGTCAGTGTTTTAAAGTTATATACCACGGGGGTCGGTAGACCAGAAATTTCCAGCACGAGCAACGATCATTCCCTCCCATTAGTTAAACACGCCATTTGCCACACTCCGATTTTGCCAGTTGTCACATGGAGGACATGGTGATCAATTACGACAATACCTACTGTTGTAATGGAATAATCCAGCAGGGGTGGGTCTGGCTATTATGCACAAGTGTACATACACTTCCCTGATCGTCAGATGGAAATCGTCGCAGGTTGTTCAGCCTTCTAAAGACACATATACAACAGAAGCTTGAACGTAGGCCTTCAGCGACTACGTAATCCCGAACTGGGTCGACTGAATAGTGATGAAATAATACACATCTTAAAATTGTACAATAATGCTGTACGTCACTGTATATGAATATTTAAGTTTATGTAATATAATATAGTGATGAATTAGAACACAAATAAAAATACTCAAAACAATCTGGCGTGGGACAAATGGGAGGATACCCTGGGGACCTGCCCTGACCCACACAGGGCGAGGATATAAAGATGGGTCAGTATTCTCGATTATCTTGTGTAATATTTTATGATAAAATTGATATATAATATATTGGAATCGATGCGAATTTTGACAAATAAAATCTCAACTTCGTCGATAACAGTGATTTTCTCGGGGAAACATCTAGTTAAATGTCACAGATACAATTATACAACAAACTAGATATACAAAAGTAAAATACACCCAGGCGAATATGATTATACTATGCTGTAGCCGTGTGTTTTCAACACAGCATAAAAATCGTAATATAATTCACAGACTTTCTTTGATTTATTTGATATCTTAAAATCAGATGTCCCCTTACACCGGTAAACAGATCTTTCAGAATCAATTTCTTCCTAACATTATGATGCGTCGGTATTGTAGAGAAAAGCGCAGCGCAAGTCTAGATTTCCATCTGGATTCTTGTCTGGATAAACGAGTTTCACTTTATCCCACAATGCTAGAGTAGTAATCTACATTTCCTGTTTAGCTACACGTGTTTTGGAAAACGTTGTGTTGTTACATTCGTCGACAATGTTCCTTATGTATTTTCTGAACGAGGAAGGCGAAAGGGTGTACACCCTCCAGGTAAAGTGATCATACTGACTAATGGCACAGAGAGATTACAAATCAACCCGACGTCATGTTATAAGACATGCAAGTTTTTGGTCCGAGTCTTTGCGCGTACACATGTACACTACAACAGTGTAAGATGTGATCCACACAATCACTTAGGTGGTCCCGTATTCAAAATGTTTTGTATTTTCTAAGAATGATGATGTGCATTTCAAGGCGCACCTTTTTACAAAGGCCGATAGAGTAGTTAGAAGAGAGCTACTGAGAGTTACGTCGTGTAATCTGGCTGTGTGTGTGTTTGTGTCCCACTAGGGCCATATCCCAGCAAACAATTCTACGTTGTGACAACGTTGTGACAACGTTGACTTTTCGTTGCTACAACGTTGTGATGTTACGTTGTCACAACGTAATTCTGTAGACTCCCAGATTGGTTGCTACAACGTTGTGCGTAAACCAAAATACAACCAAATCAAGACGTTGTCACAACGTCCATTTTTTACGTCGCGACAACGTAGGTATCGCATACTGTTTACATATGGCGACACTACAGGCATTGCAGCACGTTGTTGCAATGTCCATGTAGATTAACGCCTGTTTTATTCCTCAATACCTCCCAGGCAGCCTGAAAAGTTTGTACCAATCTAGTTAAGACGTCAGGTACCAAGAAATACATTCTGCAAACTGAATTCACTTTAACCCTATCCATGAAACAGCAAGTCAATGAAATGCACTCTCTTTTGGCAGAGTTTGAAATACGGCCAAGATATAAATCTAAATGTTTTAAATTACATGTACAATTTGGTAATATAATATTCATTTTCCAAAACAATTTTCAAGGCTATGTGCAAATTGTTCACAAATGTTTCAACACAATTAAAAGATATTGGATTTTCCCACGAATTTGCAAATTAAAAACCATCAAACAATAAGCCCTGCACAAATTGAAACATTTAAATTTTCTTACCTCATACATTCAGCATTGAGAGCAACACTGTGACAAACAGAATAGTCTATGCATCTGATGTCCTAAGATCCATTAGGTAAACGAAATGACAATAGAATTCTGGTTGAGGTGACCTTTATTTATTTGTTAAATGACAAGTCAGAACATGGGCTGAGTTGCTAGGGAGCCTTTTCAGTCCTCAAATGAAAAGTCACAGGGATGATCTTCAACTGTATCCTCAGTCTCTCCTTATGCCTTGGTAACTGAATAAAAAATGACACAAATGTTATAAAATGGCAAGGCAAGGGACATATTTCTGACATAACAAAATAACGGTTGCATTCCCCAAAATAATGTTTTGATGTCTGATGTCAGTCTTTAAACTGTTAAAAACTGCTGAAAGTGCAAAGGCGCTGACACTAATACCATGATGCTCTTGGATCATACATAAGCAGAAAAGCTTTTAGCACTGAATCATTGGTGTAACTTTATACCCCCGCCCTTTTAGATTGTGGGTATAATTAAATAAGAATCATCTAAATTTTAATTCTTGAAGATGTTTGTATATATTATTGAATCAGACATACCTTTCTGTCAGTGATATGTACTTTAAACAAATACGCTCCCACAATACTGTTTTCTCCACCTGAAAGAAAAACAGAAACCACAAAGTATCACATTCTTAAATAAACCAGTACTGTATAGATAAATCCCATTTACTTAGACTAATAGAGTATGATGTAACTGATAGTAATATTGGCAAATAGTTTTATCAGTCAACAGATCAACTGTAGTTTTTCAAAAGCAGTAACTTTACCTTTCTGCTGTACACTCAAACTAGTGATTCAAGTGAATATCATGGCCAAGTTTCTAAAACCTTATTTGAAAAATATGTACATAAATGAAAAATATATATTGCCAAATAAAATAAATAGTTCCCATATTTGAAGCAAGAATGTTGAATATGAATTATGAATTGGCCCACCAATAAGTGATAAAAGTGTTAACACTTTGGGGTATTTATCCTAATTAAAACTGTGATTTTTTTTAATACTTAGATCTACCTTAATATTTTCCATATTAATATGCCAGGATAGTTATATATGTTCTAACATTTACAAAGATTAGAAACATGGGGAAATAAACAAAATGCAATAGCTTATACAATACCAGACGGAGTTGAAACAGCTCTAAATATTTTTTGAAATTTATTTGTCACTACGTTTATTAACAGATCTAATACAGTTAAATATCGTTAAATATAATTCTGTAGTATGGTAGCCTACGTGGCAACATATGCAGATCGAAAACCGAAAGAATATGGTTGCTATCAATTCCATTGTATTTTTCATTGGTGCACATTGGCTACACCTATCTCACTTTAATAATCAACAAACGATGACCAACTCACTGACAATATATGGTGATATTTAACTTTTGACTATCGACTAGCTTATCATCACCAGAGAGGACAATACCGCAAACACCCCGTTATAGCGCGCGACGAGAGACTCGTTTTACTTTGGCTCGTTTTCATTAGAAAGGAGTCGGACATAGATCTAGTTATCGGAAAATGATGAATTGATTCTTTTTTCGGAAATAATAAAAATACACATGATAAGCACCTTGCTATGATAAACTTTATAGACAGCAGCAACAACCTGATGATCCACATTTAGGCTACTTCAGTCAGTGCTAATTAGGCCTTTTCGGGAACAACAAGTATGTGTCTGTCTCTTCCCGAAAATACGATTTTTTTCATAACATCATTGATCACTTTAGACTAGGGCTATAACTAGCAGCCTACAGAGAGTCGATCTGAATACTTCCATTGTTTTGATTCCCTCTTTTCGCTGTATAAGAGAAATCTACTTTACCTTTCCCATGGCCTGGATGAGCCACATTGTTGCACAAAAATCAAAGTCAGAAGATTAGTACATGTAAACTTTAAATAGTAATGATTTCAGAAATAACACAGAAGAAATGGCGATAACTGTCAGTGCGGTCAGTAGGCGATGCATAAGTTAGGCCTATTTACAAATCTACACGCTTACGAACGAAACCCGAACATAATATGACGGCCACAAAACGCCACCAGATTGAATTCTGGTCAAAAATATACCGCTTGCCCTTGGCAATTACCCTTGGTATCCATAAAATAATAATATGGAAAAAAGTCTTGGGCCCCCTTCACCTCTGTCATCAAGTTCTGTGTATCATATTAATATCAACACTGACGCTCAGTGAAAATGACCGGCAAACTGCATTCTTAACCCTGCCACTTCTGAATAATACGATACATTTAGATCATTTGACGCACTGCATGCACAGAAACATATCAACAAGAGGAGACTATTTTTGAAAAATTAACTTACCTCAATCGAATCCACAGATCATCTGTCCAGTTCCAGTTGCTGCACAATCACTTGCTTGTAATATATTATGTCCAGAGTGAGTTTGAGCTAAGATGGCTGGTGACAACAAATCTTCCGCGACAATGTGACGTCATTCTGACGTCACTTCACGAGGCAACAGGCTAAACTTTTCTGCAGTCGCTCTCACGCCGCAAAAAATACGCGCCAATTGTTTTTAACTGTAATATTGCTTGTGACAACATTTAGTTCGTTAATAGATATATATGTTTTAAAAAAAATAACACTAAGAGATGGTAGATCTACAAGTGGTTTCCTAAACATCATTTACAAAAAGTACTGTAATGTCCAAAGCACAACGTTATCACAACGTTAATTTGCAACGTTGTTGTAACGTTGTCACAGATATACGCAATTACGTTCTCGAAATATTAATATTAAGAGATGAAAATTCAAATGCCGAATATATAGAAAGGTAATGCATTACTAACTTGGTTTCATGTTGATTTTGATAAAGCAGTTCTATTCCTTCTATTCTATTCTGTCGAGAAGCAAACTCAATAACGTTTCACCGACGTTTCAGAAACGTAGTTACAAAACGTTGTGTGATGTCCAATGCACAACGTTTTCACAACGTGAATGTGCAACGTTGTTATTACGTTGTGAAATAACGTTGCAGGTCGACGTTAAAATAACGTTGTTACAACGTTATATCACGACGTTACCAATCCACAACCTTTCAACAACGATGGAAGTGCGAATCATGCATGTATGGCGAAAATGTTATTGTCATTGTTTGTTGTTTAATCGCCTCTTACGACAAGCACGGGTTGCTGAAAAGTGAAAACCAAATCTAACATTATTGTAATTTTCTGCCAAAATGTAGTTTATTTCGAGTAAACACCTTTGTTTTTACGCTTTTCGCGATGAAGACTATTTGACGTCGCACCAACGTATGAGAAACGTTGTCATCATAACGTTGCATGGCGCCCGATGCACAACGTTTCCACAACGTAATTTTGCTACGTTGTGATTACGTTGTCACATAACGTTGGAGTGACGTGATAATAAGGTGTTTACACAGACTTTAGTTTATTCACGAGATGGAAATCCTGATTCCGAAGATATAGGTAAATAATGAATTACTGCCTTGTTTTTGGCAGAAATTGTGTCGATTTGTATGTAAAACTTTTGTTCATACAATTTTTGTTAAGGCGACAGTTGACGTCGCACCAACGTTTCAGGAACGATGTAACAAGACGTTGGGAAATATTCGATGAACAACGTTTTCACAACGTAAAAATGCAACGTTGTTATTACGTTGTGAAACGACGTTGCACAGTGACGTAATAATAACGTTGTGACAACGTTGTATCACTACGTTACCAATTCACAACTTTACCACAACGTTGTGAAAACGTAGTGTGTTAGCTGGGATGTAACTTCAGTGGTGCAAAGTGCCACCCCATAAATCACAAACACGATTTGTAAAACATCGTTAATTTAAGTTGACATCCAAATAACACGCACACGAATATTAGCGGGATTAATTCTGGACTAGTAAAAGTAGTATATTGCTGGGCTTTTACCAGACCACAGAATTTTATTTGAGTCAGGCTTTGCACTTGTGGCTAAAGTGCAGACAGTTCGACTCAGCAGACTGCTTTAGCATTGTTTAGAAGCTACTGACCACATATAAAGCGTATCATACTGAACAGTACTTAGTGACTTAATTACATCCTATCACATAGAGGGGACTGTAAATATTACTATAATTATTAAAATAATTTATGATGTACCAATTTCATCATGTTGATGTGTATAGAATAGTTTATAAGCAACTTTGTCATCATTGCAGAAAAATGACCCCACAGGAAAACCAACAGTGTCAGCTCATCCTGCCAAGTTCTCTCCTGATGACAAATATTCCAGGCACCGAGTCACAATCAAGAAGAGGTTCGGCATCCTCCCAACACAACAGCCAAAGCCAGTCATGTGATTTGTGAAAACACCCCAGTATAAAGACTAAACATGTTGAAAGACTTGCTTGATGACATTCCCCTTCAGGAAGTGTCGACAAGGCAGCAAGGGACTGTTGTTGATCAACGCTGTCATAATCATGTTTGTGAAAAAAAATCATGTCTGTCCACAGTCCTTGATTTTCATTGTGGAGAGAAGCAGGAATCGAAAATTTTGGAACAGTTAGGTGTTTTTGTTTGGTAAAATGCTGAAAACACGGCAGTTGGTAACCATGGTAATAGATTTATGATCATATAATGTATTTGTTCATCTCTGAATGACATATTTCTGTTTGTACATTTATGTATATTCATTCTATTTGTTTCATCACATAAACCAGTGAAGCGTTTCTTGTCAGAATGTCATAAGTTCATGGTTAGGTTTATGGGCTGCTGCCACCTCATTGTTGTCTTACTCTCTCAATGTACAACAATACTTTACTGAATAGTCTCAACAACAACTTTTTGTTTATTTTCATTATCATGATTATGAATAAACAATTTTGTTAGCATGCATTAGTTTGTTTATGACCCATCTTGTTTAACCATGACTACCTTGCTGATCATGCTGATTCCAGGTTTGAATTGATTCCCAACTACCTACCGATATGCTTGTCGTCCAAGACAACTCCATAGAATGGATGGTCAGACTCAGTGATTTAGTTGATCATAAGCTGATGGCGTGGATCATTGCTGATAATAATGGTTTGTCTGGCCCAGACTTTATTATTTGTAGGTTGTCATCATGTAGTTGTAATATTATTGATCAAGTGGGGCGGTACATGTAAATAACAAAAAAACAACTTGCCATTTGTTGTCACCATTTGAGGGAGTATCCTGTCCGTTCCCTTTGAACAAGATTACAGTTGATATGGCACCAATCAAAATCTAGTAAACTTTTAAAGGGGTAGTGGGGTAGCCTAGTGGTAAAAGTGTTCGTGTCACAACAAAGAACCAGGTTTGAAGCCCATTTCTGGTATCCCCTGCTGTGATATTGCTGGAATATTGCTAAAAGCAGATTAAAACCATTCTCACTCTAAGAAAAAAGTGAAGTTCCATGTTGATTCCTTAAAGATTTATTCAAAACTTTTATGTACAGAGCAGCAATTGACATGTATGTCTGTATTCAAATATTGAGACTAGAACAACAACTAACAACAATGTAAATGCATATAAGCAATAAAATCTATACCTCCTGCAACAATAGTCTGGCTGTAGACAGCTGGATGGTGAAAACCATGGACGGATGAAATAAAGCACTATAATGCATGGCACATAAGAGGTGTTTTAACATGTTCAAACAATGTTATCCTTAGGTAAAAATCTTTGATCATTGGATAATATTCAATCTGTCGCTACGTGAATTTATGCACGTTTCTCAAAATCCAGAAATGTTTTTTTGGTCTACTACATATAAACATGTTAAACTTACATAACAGTTTATTGGCTATTTAAAATGAATGCTGTCACTATTGGTAGATTAAACTTACCTTGACAGAAGCTGGCGCCCCGAGACACTGTGTTCAAAGTTGTGTCATGGGTAGATGAAAACAATCTTATTTTGGTTTTGTGGAGATTACCTGAATACCATCATATTCATGTACTTAGGTTGAAGTGACAGTTTCCTCTTATTGAGGGATTTGATAATGCATACCGTATTCGACGTAATAAGCGCCCACGGCGATATTTGCTAATATATTGGCTGGTGAACAATCCCAATTAGCACCCCTTCCAATTGATCAATGTACACAAGACTTATTTATTCGTGTATAATACGCACTCGTGTGTTATATGCACCCTTAATTATGGGCAATTAAATTCGGGAAAAATATATCGGTCATGTATGATATGCACATACTTTTCCTTTGTATCATTTCAGACTGTCAGCATAAACTACAAAATTTACAATTTTTTAACTCTGTTTTTGTCTCACCAATATTATATTCTAATAAGAGCCCCCTTTTTCTAATTTTGAGAGCGTCCCGGGCGCTTATTACGTCGAATACGGTAATCATTTTCTTTTCCTCTTTTTGGATCTTTCTAGTTTTGATACTGTGCTGTGATCATGAACTGTATAAAGCTATGTCAGGCCATTCTTCATTCACAAAATCAAAATGATAATATTTTGTACATGATTTTTCTTTGCACAAAAAACTTTTTATGTTTGGAAAATAACCTCAAATCAACTGACAACATAAAGTTTATTTTTACCCTGCTTTGTTTTAATGAAGTAATGCAATATAATCTGTCTTGTCTTATGTCAAATATATATATATATATATACATATAATAATTCTTATTAACAGATAGAAATGAACACGATCAGTGTGAATGAGATACAAGAAGTGCTAACTGCAGGGTGAGAGGATGGTGGATTAGTGGTGCATTCATCCATGCCCTATGTTGCTTCAGGTGTGTAACAGTAGGAAGGTACCATCATGGTAAAACCTTTGAAAATAATCCCTCCCCAAAATAAATATGGGTGCCCTTGATTGAAAAGTGCTTCTTCTTAGCTGAAAGTACTTTTCAACATAAACAATTACAAAAATGTGGTTGAAAAACGTTTTTCATAACATGGTAAAATATTCAGGTTTAACACAGAAGCTAATAAAACTGGTATGGATACATCAAAATCACAGACATTTCCAGCATAGTTCAACAATGGACGGATACTTTGGACAAGAATGGTTAAAACAAGTAGACGCAAAGTGAATGACTTTCATAGTTGTAACGTTACAGAATATTGCTCTGAATCAGTGGTTCATGTTATTATCACAATATCATATTCAACATTTAAAGCACATTGATCACACAAGCCTAACCCTGATCCCTTGAAACCCACATTTCCAGTGATCTTCATTAACAAAACATAGAGTCCTCCTTCCAGTCAGTAGTTGTATTACCCGGTGGGGGTTCCAGTTCAGTGAGTGAGTGAGTGAGTTGGGTTTAACGCCGCTTTTAACAGTATTCCAGTAACATCACAGCGTGTCAACTTAATGTGGGAGGAAAGCCCGAAGTGACACAGGTCTGAGATTTGAGAAACGGTGAAACCCACAAGCATGGGTATGATGCTGACAAACTTAGAAACAATCGGGACGAACTGGGATTCGAACCAACAATCAAAGCTTTGTGCTGCCTTAGACGACTGGGCCACTCGTGCCCCCCCCCCCCCCCCCCCCCCATTTCCAGTTCAGAAAAGATCCCCAGCTATTAATTAGGAATCAGATGGTCAGGCTCTCAGACTTGGCTGATTGGGTTTTGATTGTACTATGATGATACATATAAATATTTCTACATGGGACTGAGTGATTGTTCAATGCCACAAACAGCAAAATATCATGGCAATATTTCTGCAGCACACTATTTTTAACAACACCTTATCTTCCTGGCTTACTGGGCTATGAATAGTTGGACTATGGACTATTTTTATATGTGCATGTCTGTAGATGATCTATTATGAGTGAGTGAGTGAGTTTGGTTTAACGCCGCTTTTGATCTATTATGAAACAAAACAGACTGGTAAGTTGAAATTCTCTTCATAGTATATGTAAACATATGTACTGAGGCGGAAACGATTCACTGATACTACACAATATTATCCAAACAAAACGCTTCTGCTATTTATACTTAAAAAAAATTAGCCAATCTTATGTTGTGATATGTATCTTATGTAAAAAAAATCCATCCAAAATCATGTCATATTTAAACTTGGTGTTTTGTTCCAGCAAATATCAATGTATTTTTTATGAGACAGTTATACATACAAGTATGTAATATATACTACTCAAAAGAAGTTAAACACCCAGCTTTATTATTTACTATCTGTCATGGCATGGGAGACAACTAGGAATAACTTTAACTTATTTTGAGTAGTATATTTGTAAAACAATTGATATGAATAAATACATGTCCACTTTATGTACACTGTACTGATCAGACCTGCTACAATAGACCGATCCAGTCCCGACCCCGGAAATAAGTCTGACAAATCAGCAACGAGCGCTCTGCCTTCTGATTGGCTCAAACTGACGCATGCGCCAATTTTGGTTGACAGGCTGGATCGGTCTATTCCTGGCAGGTAATGGACACAAATAAGGTGGGAACGGTATACAACACATGCAAATACTTATATTCTGTACACTTATTAATATTACTGTATTCGAGGTAATAAGCCCCCCACTCTAATAAGCTCGATATTTGCTGATGTATTGGCTAGTGAACAATCCCAATTAGCACCCCTTCCGATTGATCAATGTACACAAGACTTATTTATACGTGTATAATACGCACTTATATGCACTCTTAATTATGGGCAATTAAATTCTGGAAAAACATATCTCTTGTATATAAACACTTATATGCACTCTTAATTATGGGCAATTAAATTCTGGAAAAACATATCTCTTGTATATAAACATTTCAGGCTGTCAGCATAAACACAAAATTTATCTTTCAACTCTGTTTTTTTCACCAAAATATTATTCTAATAAAAGCCCCCTATATCTAATTTTGAGAGTGCCCTGAGCGCTTATTACGTTGAATACAGTAAGTGGAAATAAACAATGCGGTTCTACCAATTTTGCCATGTAAACACCATGATTGTATCTACTGGCACTTGGTGTATATTTCACATCTTCCTGAGGCAAGGCAATTAACGGACTATGAAAGTTCAGTTTCCACCCTTGTTGAACTTGGCTGGAATTTCGGGAGTCATATTTTGGCGGGACTAATGAGCCTAAGCATAATCCAATAAAAATCGTGGCATAGAAACTGCCATCCGGTTCATAAACAACACGATGACTGCCGTGCAGATTTCTTTCAATTGCTGGATTTGCAAGGATGTGTACCCTCCAATGCTCATTGACATATGTTTTAAAAAAAATTTCATGTCTTTAGTCAAGGTGCTCAAGTGATGTGATGCACCTCGCAAGGTATCACCATTGTATCACAATAAAGATCTTGATTATCAATCAGATTGTGTTGAGTCGGGGGGGTGCCATTTTGTTTGAAGCAAATGTAAGTGATTTGAGAGGTGGAATCTGATTGTTCAATATGAGGGACAAGCTCCTTCCCAGCGCGTGACACCTTCGTTACACTCTCGGTAACATCGCTGCCACCAGTGTAGGCGCGGCCATTAAAAGAATCTTGAAATTTGGCCTCTAACCCCAAATGTAGTAACGTTCATACTTTTGTTTATGTCTTTGGGAATGTCATTATAGTGAATTTTGAAAAGGTTTGCGACTGACCATGTTTTCCAGATGAATTTACTTTGTTGTTTGTATAATCAGATTGGTTCGAGATTGCGGACTAACGGAAAATCAACCAACTTCTCCCTTACATTCTTACTATATCAATAACATGATAGTTTTAAAGAAATCCAAATTGACAAACAAAGAAAGTAATTTAGCAGGGGTAAGTGTATTTGGCGTCACAACAGTCATCATTTGTTTGTAAACATAACGGTAATTCGGTTGCGAGTTCAACTCCCAAGGATGGTTGTGGCCAGCTGCTCACAGTGGGTAGTTTTGACTGGTGGCAGCGATAGTATAGAGAGCTCCGTGAACGGGCTATCGCTGTGAGGAGCTTGTAAGAGGGACATAGAAGGGAGATAACTCATAATAGCCACAAGTGACTACGATCAAGCCATGAAACTAAAGCCTAATTTGGCAAGGGAGGTAACTGGACTCTTCAGTTAACCCTGTTGCCTCGGGAAGATGAACTTTCATTAAAGCACAGAGAGACATTGTGTCCTATGAGAGATTGCCACTGGGTCATGTGGAGTGTCGACATATTCACACAAGTAACTCCTTGGCAGATGCTTGATTACCCAGTGTATAACATCACACTGAATAGGGTTATTTTGACACAGGTGCCTGTGGTTTATTAACCCATGATTGCAATATGTCTCAGTGAAAATAATTTGGCAAAATATATTCAAGCTTGTCAAATTTTTGGATGGCCCTCCCTGATAAGGCAAAATGCAAAAGCACTTGATATTTTCCTACTTTTCAAGACCCTCCCCAAATATGGGTATTACTTTGATGACCCTCCCTGATTCCCTCTGAGACTGAGAAGTCCAAATGGCACCAGATACAGAACCTTCCATACATAGGAAATAAAACCGATGATAATGAGAAACAAACTCATCTGAATAAATCAGCGTTAAGGACGGAAAAGCACCTAATCAATTTAAAACAAACCCTCTGTAAACACCAATAAAATCTGGACAATTCAACAAAACACATTTCCATATGCAATATGTACAATATTCACAATATGTACACAAACAGATATAAAGAATTTGCACCATAACATGGCTGGCATCCATCGGAACACATTCACTCCTCCTGTGATGAAATGATAACAATGTGACAATGTTGCTATGACGACCATGAATTTGCCATTGGCATATGTGGATCCCTGCCTTGAGACATGGCCATTCATATCAGCTTAAAGCAGTTGCTATGACGACTGTGACTTTGCTGATGTTATGTGTGGATCCCTGTCTTCAGACATGGCCCATTCCATCATTTCAAAGCAGTTGCTATGACGATTGTGATTTTGCAGCTAGTACATGTGGATCTCTGTCTTTAGACATGGCAGTTGCTATGACGACCATGAGTTTGCTGATTGTATATGTGGAGCACTGTCTTTAGACATCAGGGTAAAGCAGTTGCTATGACGACCGTGATTTTGCAGATGGCACATGTGGATTTTTGTTCTCAGACATGGCAGTTGCTATGACAACAATGACTTTGCCGATGTAAAGCAGTTGCTATGACGACCGTGAATTTTTTAGATGGTATATGCGGATCTCTGTCTTTGTTGATGTAAAGCAGTTGCTATGACGACCATGATTTTACAGATGGTATATGTGGATCTGTCTTCAGAAATGGCAGTTGCTATGACGACCATGACTGATAATGTAAAGCAGTTGCTATGACGACCGTGATTTTGCAGATGGTATATGCGGATCTCTGTCTTCAGACATGGCCCATCCCATCAGGTTTCTGATCTCAGCTCCTGCAAAGAAGAACACTGTATCACCAGTTTCTCTCAAATGACAAACTCCTCTTACTTACTGTCAACCATCTTAATCAAGTGACCTCCAATAAGGCTTACACTGATCAGGTTTTTCATGATTTTGCTCACATAAATTGTTATGACCATGCCTTGAAATGAAAAATTCCCATTTGTTGAGAAGAGATGTTTGAAGAAGTAACATGGACTACCAGTAAAACGAAACAGATACGAATGTCATGTTGTCCTACCATCCGATATGTTTCGCTCCCTCAGCGTAGACTGGAAACTGGCCATGGTGTCCACGAACTGCTGCCGTTCTCTGCCCTGGTAAAATCAACAAGACTCAGTGACTTCTTTGCAGGGGTGAAAGGATACTGCAAGGTCACGATACGATACGTATCATGATACATAGGTCATGATGACACCAATATTTACATTAAATAGCGTGGAAACCTCTTGACTTTTAATATTTCATAACAGGTTCAAAAGTAAAAAATAGCTATTGACACAGGTTCGTAGTGGCTATTTGTATTAGTGAACTTGAAACACTAATTACAATACATTTTGCAATATTTGAATGATAAAAACATGGGGGGGGAGAGTGAGTGAGTGAGTTTGGTTTTACGCTGCTTTTAGCAATATTCCAGCAATATCACGTCAGGGGACACCAGAAATGGGCTTCACACATTGTACCCATGACGGGATTCGAACCCGGGTCACTTTAACCACTAGGCTCGGGGGGGAGAGAGAGCATTAAACAGGCAGTAAGTAAATGTATTGTCTAATATCGATACAGAAACCAAACGTATTCAGTATCGTAGCATAGCATGAAAACTCATGATGCACCGGTGTCCCTATGTATCGTTTCGTGTTTAATGCCACCTTCAGCCATATTCTAGCTACATAATGCGGCCTAAATATTTGACTCTGGACTAAACAATGATTTTGTGGTTGGTTGGTTGGTTTGTTGTTTAACGCCGCACTCAGCAATTTTCCAGCTATATGACGGCGGTCTGTAAATAATCGAGTCTGGACCAGACAATCCAATGATTGATATCATGAGCATCGATCCAGGCAATTGGGATCAATGAAATGCATCAACCAAGTCAGCGAGCCTGACCACCCGATCCCGTTAGTCGCCTTTCACAACAAGCATAGTCGCCTTTTACGGCAAGCATGGGTTGCTGAGGACCTATTCTACCACGGAATCTTCACGGGTACAATGATTTTGTGAGCCACGATCCATGCTGTCGGGATACAATGACAGGCATCAACTAAGACAACGATCCATGTGGACCAGCTTCATTTTGTGAATTTATGTGCAAAGCAAGTGTGGATCCAGCTTCTGGGAGCATCGCAAGTAAACAATATATCAGAAACAAATGACCAGAACATACAGTCAAGTCCCGTTAATCCGACATCGATGGTTGCATATGATTATGTCAGATAAACGAGTATGTCGGATAAACGAAATTTAGTAGTATCAACGTTCGTGATCGAAAATCGGACAACTACACGATAGATAAGTTTCAAACATGTAATAAAAAATATAAAATAAATATTCATATTGTTATGTTACATTGTTGGCGGATTATGTTTTCTAATCAAGCAACCACTAAAGTTAAACACAAAACAAACTTTACGGACTGTATGACTGTATGAATGGAAGTGGCAACTACGACACTGGTACCTAAAGCTTAAGAAAGCTGCTTTCTAAGTGGCTAATGTCGACTTCCTGTTTGTCATTTCATTGGTAGGTCATAGTACGCGAAAGGTTGTTCTGACGTGACCTGTATGATTAACGCATATGAATATGTATAACGCGAACTCGAAGTTACTGGCATAGTGTGTGTTACTTCCATATTGCCGGTGGTGTTTCACACAAACTGCTTGCTTCAGAAAGTGTTTGTGTACAATTATTGTGGACCTTCAACTCATTTTCAGTCCATGCACAAAATGTCTTTGGAAGGTGTACTTGGCACCTTCTGTTTATTTACATTCAGAGTTTACTGCGTACGGCTGTCTTTTGTATCCAACAAATATTCCAGACATTGTTTGTTTCTTTGTTGAAAGGTTCATCATCTTCAGTGGTCAACATTCTCGTGGAGAGATAATACATACCTTCCCTGTATTCAGCTCAGTGATGGCAGTCAGAATCTGACGTCGAGATTCGTTGTTGGAGATTCCCAGTTCCTTCAGATCGTCATCCGTCAGCGTCAGGAAGGCCTCCATGTCAACCTGCATATTGTAAAACACATTGAAAGAAGGGAGGTAACTCTGACGACTCGAGAGTACATATGTCTGACATTGGATCATTAAAAATAAGACAATCAATATCAATAAAAATCGAAGAAATCTATTACCGTATTCGACGTAGTAAGCGCCCCGCTCTAATAAGCACCCACAGGGATATTTGCTAATATATTGGCTAGTGAACAATCCCAATCAGCACCCCTTCCGATTGAAGACTTATTTATGCACCCTTAATTATGGGCAATTAAATTCTGGAAAAATACATCTGTCGTATATAAACATTTTAGGCTGTCAGCATAAAGCACAAAATTTATTTTTCAACTCTGTTTTTTTCACCAAAATAGTATTTAAATAAGAGCCCCCTATTTCTAATTTTGAGAGAGCCCTGGGCGCTTATGACGTCGAATACCGTATATCTCACTCATATCGTGTCACATAGTCCTAAACAGGATAAGTCATTTTCATCCTGAACATCTGCATGAGATGTCCAAACTTTTCTATTGAAACAAGTTGTTTTCATGTTAACAGGCCTTTCCAAACAAGTAAATTCTGAATGGTGATGAAATAGTAACCTGATTACTTGTCACAGAAGTGGGGGTTTCTACACAAAAGAACTGATAGAAGAACAGCATGTTTTTGTTTGTTTGTTTAACACTGCACTCAGCAATATTCCAGCTGCATGACAGAGGCCTGTAAATAATACTGTCTGGACCAGACAATCCAATGATCGACATTACGAGCAACAGTCATCGCTGCCATTTACAGTGATAACAAATCACTGAGCCTGACCACCAGTCCATGGTGCCTTTTACGACCAGCACAGTCTAACCCTTGGGGGAGAGCAGCCCATGTGACATGTTGATGTCTGGCCAACCTATCGTCCTCCCAGTCCTCCTGTCATCTCCTACCTCCTGCTCTTCAAAGATGGGGTGGTACTTTTCCAGAGACAGCTTCTTTAGGATCCCCGACACTTCATCTGAGGAAGAATTCAAACAATCGTTTCAGCAAACAGCTAAACACACGTCTGTTCGTGCAGACAACAGTTGATTCCCTTTGCTACCATCATGACTCTGAACCTAGTTTAGTAATCTGTTCCCACAAGCTCAAATGTCATTGGATCTTCTCTTCCCAGGAATCCCGAGAGTCGTAAAGGATGTTCGAGAAAATCTCACCATTTTGAGCAGATTCCTGGAGTGAATCCAGCATGGGGCCTGCATCATCGCTGTTCTGAAACCATGGTAACGGTGTCTTCATCATCATGATTATAACAGTGTGTCATAAAGAAGTTCCCAGGATCTGGAAATACTCCTTTAGCATTAAATAAATAACCAGTAATCAGCAAAATTAATTGTTCTAGTACAGCACCCATTGTGGCTTTGTCTAGGACTTCTATGTTTATCATTTGTTAAACGCCACACTCACAAATATTCCGGCCAAATGACAGTGGTCTGTAAATAATCAGTTCTGGGCAAGGCAATCAAGTGATTGACGTCATGAGCATGGATCTATGCAACCGGGATACATATCTTCCATGAGGAAATATATATTTAACATCATTCCAGGGTCGCAGATCCAAAGTTCTAGACTCATATACCCTGAAATTGTCTCGCGTCTAAAATGAATTACATGACCAAATAAAACAATCTCATTCAAATCAGACCTTAGTTCTTGCTACCACTAAACAAAGACCTGAGGACATCCCATTACGGGTCACGTCAGACCGACCTTGCGCGAACTTTGACTGACCAATGGAATGACCAATCAGAAACCAGCTTTCTCTTGCTTTACGGCACAAATTTCAAATTGGCGACTACGCTTCGAAACATATTTTGACAAATTCTCGATTACAAATTTGAAACCTGAACAAAAAAACATTCTGGAATGACTAATAGATGGTCTAGAATGTAAGGATTTAGTCGTTAAACCCGTAACTATCGTTCGGAATACCCCATGTTAAAGTTTTCGAGATTGCATGATTAGAAATCACATCATGCAACAGTCACTTTCATAATCTGGTAAGAGACGCACTGATTGGTCGGATGAAGGGTCGTTCTGACGTGACCCCTAATGGGATGTCTTCAGATCTTTGTTTAGCGGTAGCGAAAACTAGGATCTGATTTTAATGAGATTGCCCAATGAAATGACATAGTAGTTAAGACAACAATATCTCAAAATAACAAACTTAACACAATACAATCATGTCACTGTGACTTTTCTAAATCTATTCTTAGAAATTAAGTTCAGCTAATACCAATGTTGAGAATGCCCTTTTCTCCCTGGGGATCAGTTCATTACCTTTCCAGGGGTGGGTGAAGGTGATGGGGTTAGTGTGGAGGTGGTGCTCCCCTTGGAAGATGGACTCTTCCCATGCGAGGACCTCTGTGGGGTGATAGAGGAACTGCCGCTAGTTGAGCTGTTGGGGGAGGTGGTGTTGGACATGGTTCGGAATCCTGTTGGCACCGTTGAAGACTTGCGTCTGAAAACATAGTGGATCCTATTTAGTGAATGAGTGAGTTGGGTTTAATGCTGTTTTGAACAATATATCAGTTATGTCACACCTTGTGGGAAGAAAGCCCAAAGTGATGCCGGTCGTTTACATTACCACTTTCGTTAAACCCACAAGTACAGATATGGTGCAAACATAGAAACTTAATCAGTGACAATCTGAGATTTAGAGGTTTCTGGCTCCACTTAAGGGACATAAGTCTTAACAGTGAATTAAGTCACCTTGGACGACTACCAGAGAATAAATAATAGAGAGTTTTGGGCTAAAACCCAAGAGCAATCTTGGTGACTAGTTTTGAGCTGTGTGCTCTCATCAGACTGTTTTGTGTTGGTGTGGGGACTCCTTATATACACTTTGTGTTCCAGATGCAGTACGGGTGGAGTCTACTGGCAGGGGTGTGCCGGTGGTCTAATTGTCACCGGTGGATCGTGAGTGATGTATTCAGGGCCGGTGGACCGTTGAGTCGATCGACCGGTGGACCGGTAGACCAGTGGCGGGGCTGGGGCAGCGGCGACATGAGCACAGTTGGATTATCGGTGGTCATGATTTTACAATCGCTTCAATAAATTCTATGTTTTCGAGATTTATTGTTGTGTGTTGTATTTTTATATCACAGTTGTCGTTTTCGGCCAAGATAAGATCTAATCCTGGAATTCCCCACCCACTCACCTTATTTTACCAGAGAATAAGATCATGATTGCATGGATTCCAAAAGTTCAGCGCCCTTTTTCATAATGTATCAGAACTATTGCCGTTATAAATACCATGCTTTGGTTAGTGAGTGAGTGAGTTTTGGCAAGTCAGTTTAATGAAGAAAGAGCAAGGTGGCAGGTATTTACAACCGTGATGTGGGCAAAGACTGACGTCTATGTCAGTGATGATCAGTTCTACAGGGAAATAGTTCCACCGGGAACAATTAGTACCAGTGTAAATGTATCGTGGAAAACGATTCATAGTCAAAACTGTTCCATGGAAATAATTCCCCTGGAGAAATATAACACAAAAGAAATATTTTACTACAAGAACAGATACTCTGTGACACTTACAGCTTTGGTAAAACCCCTGAGCATAGTGAAAGAAGAAGTCCATAATCTGGGTGAATAGGACAAGGACACAAAAAGACAAAATTGGACACTTGTTCTAACGCTTTTATTCGGATGTATTAGTGCATAGGTGGATCCAGACGGGGGTACAGGGGGTCCAGATCCCACCTTTTGAAAACCAAATGTAGTATGTTGCAGGCAGTAAAATTTTGATAGTTTGGACCCCTCCCTTTTAAAAATGCTGGATCCGCCCTTGCAGTGCAACCATACATGAACTTAACTTTTTTAAATTGTTTGACCAAGTGTGAATTTAGAAATATTTCAAACCAAGAAGAAACAAGGCAAAAACATGGCCCAAATATTGTAATATATTCAAAAAATTACTGGGGGGTTGGAAAAGTGTTCACTTGTCACACCGAAGACCTGGATTTGATTCTCCCTTAGATACAATGCGTGAAGCCCATTTCTGGGTCCCCTGCGGTGATATTGCTGGAATATTGCTAAAAGCAACATAAAACATCTCTCACTCACTAACTCATTCACTCACTCACTCACTCAGCTGGAATCACTGACCTGGGCATGAAGAGACGTGTCTGGTGTTGACTGCTGTACTGACTCCGAGGAATGTTAGGGCTGGGCGTAAACAAGTCACCTGAATAATCAGTACAAACATTAGTCATGTGACTCCACCAAATTCATCATGTGACACAACATCAAGACACACAAGCTAGAATCAAGCAACCTTCTGCAAATATCAGTTAACATGTTTATTTGTTTACAGTACAATCTATTTCTTGTAAAAGCAAACATTATCAAAATTTTAGTTTGGCTGTAAAACAATATCTTCCTTCTCATTCAGAAAGGTATAATTTATCATGGTTATAACTTTCTTTTTGTTCATTATTTATACATTTATTTAAAAAAGCTGACTAATGTTTAATTTTAATGTATAAATCAAAACATCAATATCCAAATATGGGTGTGACAATACCAGTGACTTAAAGGGCAAGAACACTCCAATTTTGAAAGTATCAAAATATGGATGGCTCTTACTTTGCAAATTCAAAATTTGTTTATTATGGACTATAATCTCAACTGGTTAAATTGGGTGCGCCCACTTTCATCTGTCAGTTTCGTCTACAGTGTTATCAAAACAAAGTGTTGCACCAGTGATTAGAGGGGCAATAAGCTGACCTATCAGAAACAAAGCAGACCAGTCACTGTAGGATAACATATAAACAATAAGAGAGAGTTGACTATATTTATTATATACAATGACCAAATATAACATATAATAGTATAGTCAACAAGCAATAGTTTTTAACTTGAGAGTTGGAGTATTGTTGCCCTTTAAATAAATGACATTAATCTTAATCAATGAAACATAAAGGTTTAGTTCCATGAACAGTAATAGTGAGTACTGGTTTTCAATCCAGGTGATTCTTGAATAATGAAAACCACAGCGCTAGTTTGACATGCAGTGCTGCACAGAGTGACAGGTAGTGAGACGTGCAAACTAAACCACCCGGAGAATGATTGAAAGAAAGGAACACAAGCATGGTCAATAACATGACATGCAACCAAACAATGCAGACAGGTGTCTGGGTGGTGAAGACAGGTGGCGACAGGTGTCTGGGTAGTGTAGACTGGTGTGGACAGGTGTTTGGGTAGTATAGACTTGTGTAGACAGGTGTCTTGGTGCAGTGAAGACAGTGTAGACAGGTGTCTGGGTAGTGTAGACTGGTGTAGACAGGTGTCTTGGTGCAGTGTAGACTGGTGTAGACAGGTGTCTCCGTGCAGTGTAGACATGTGTAGACAGGTGTCTGGGTAGTGTAGACTGGTGTGGACAGGTGTCTGGGTAGTGTAGACTGGTGTAGACAGGTGTCTTGTTGCAGTGAAGACAGGTGTCTGGGTAGTGTAGACTGATGTAGACAGGTGTCTTTGTGCAGTGTAGACTGGTGTAGACAGGTGTCTGGGTAGTGTAGACTGGTGTAGACAGGTGTCTGAGTAGTGTAGACTGGTGTGGACAGGTGTCTGGGTAGTATAGACTGGTGTAGACAGGTGTCTTGTTGCAGTGAAGACAGGTGTCTGGGTAGTGTAGACTGATGAAGACAGGTGTCTTGGTGCAGTGTGGACAGGTGTTTTGGTAGTGGAGGCAGGTGTCTGGGTAGTGGCGACAGGTGTCTGGGTAGTGTGCGACAGGTGTCTTGGTGCAGTGGAGACAGGTGTCTGGGTAGTGGCGACAGGTGTCTAGGTGCAGTGGAGACAGGTGTCTGGGTAGTGGCGACAGGTGTCTGGGTATTTGAGACTGGTGTCTTCGTGCAGTGGAGACAGGTGTCTGGGTAGTGTAGACTGGTGTAGACAGGTGTCTGGGTAGTGGCGACTGGTGTCTGGGTAGTGGAGGCAGGTGTCTGGGTAGTGTAGACAGGTGTCTGGGTAGTGTAGACAGGTGTCTGGGTAGTGTAGACAGGTGTCTGGGTAGTGGCGACAGGTGTCTGGGTAGTGGAGGCAGGTGTCTGGGTAGTGGAGACAGGTGTCTGGGTGCAGTCGAGACAGGTGTCTGGGTAGCGGAGGCAGGTGTCTGGGTAGTGTAGACAGGTGTCTGGGTAGCGGAGGCAGGTGTCTGGGTAGTGGAGACAGGTGTCTGGATAGCGGAGGCAGGTGTCTGGGTAGTGTAGACAGGTGTCCTTGACAACACTCAACACCAGACAACAACAGACTGGGAACCAGGATTGCCATGGCAACAATACCTCCTTGTCTTCCTTGCTTTGGACAATGTTAGTCTAAGAGGAGACTTGTAGTTTTATTTACAATGAAGCAGTTAATGCATCAATCACAAACAACTGTATAAACACTGTAACTGCCAGCCTAACAAAGCCTCATTCGAAAGGGGCATCTACTGCGATGCCATCTAGGATAAGGGCACTTATCAAGTCATTGTGTAACACTAGTAATAGAATTCCAGAAAAGGGTTGAGGGGCCCTTTTTTATCACCATGGTAATAGTAGCATATACGACTTGAAAGGATACTGAAAAACTTGACCTGTTTGGCCTTCCATCCATTTTGCAAAAACAAAAGTAAAAAAACAAATAATATAAGAACCATGCTTTTTATCATCTTTTTGATTGTATATCTGTTTACAATAATATTTAATGTGGGTTCTTCTGAAGAGAATTAATCCCTCATCAATCCTGACAAATTTCCATTTTCAGGGCACATTGGGTGAGAAAGAAAAAACGCCAAAACAAAACAGAAATTAAACTGGGTTTACGCAAGTGAATGAATGGGACATTTTGTCTAAAGCAAAATTAAAATGATGACGATAAAAATACTCTTTAACACTATAAGTTGTCACTACAGTAGTGCAGAAGTACTGGCGTAAGTACGACTGTCCAGCAGGAGGAAGGCAAGTGGCAGTCCCGAGCCCCAGTCAGCTTGTATGGGTCTAACCTGGCTTCGTGAGGTTGGTAGGGGCAGGCAGGGGTTCACTCTGAGCATCCAACACACACTCGGTAGCTACAGCATCAGCAGCAGGGTTAATGTTAATGGTGGGACTAGTCGCCCCGTTGAAGGAGGCATGACTAATGGTTTTAGTAGGCAGGTGAGGAGAGAGGGCGTTAGCTGCGTAATGGCGCCGGATGTTACCTGGGGAACGGTTGCCTAGAAATTTCATCGGGCTGCTCACTGCTCTACGGGAGTTCTGCAAGAAGAAGATACAGAATGATGAAGAATATATTTGTAGAAAAGGGGGGTTACAGGTGGCTCAGTCATTTACAGTGCCACAGCAGCTGCACAGAGTTGCATCCCCTAGGTGTGACAGGATCCTATGATTCTTGGTTTTTTCAGCACAATACCGTGCTCTTGGGTTTCACCAAACGTCTACGATCTGTATCTTTGTGATTTCTTCCCACAGCAAGCTGACATGCTGTGGTATAACTGAAATACTGTCCACAGCAGCGCATACATGCAATGTTTTCAAAGGTCTTTAATTCAGATAAACAGGAATCCTGATTATGAGTAAGTGATTATTGGACAGCCTCATCAAACTATATGAAATAACATGGTATATGATCAGCAAGGCGTTGCCAGCGTATTTATTATTATCCCCGTCTGGAACATGGGGATAATGTTCATGTGGTTGTGTTCCACTTGTCCCCTTCACACTGTCTGCAACAGCTCAGCAATTAGTTTGAGAACATAAAACATTGCCTAACAATGACTAGGAATGGTTTCATTGTCCATCCACTCACACTGACTTGACGGCTAAGCCAGGTCGCCACCTACTATTGTCCATCCACTCACACTGACTTGACGGCTAAGCCAGGACCCCATCTACCAATGTTCCCCTCACACTGACTTGACGGCTAAGCCAGGACCCCATCTACCAATGTTCCCCTCACACTGACTTGACAGCTAAGCCAGGTCCCCACCTACCAATGTTCCCCTCACACTGACTTGACGGCTAAGCCATGTCCCCACCTACTATTGTCCATCCACTCACACTGACTTGACGGCTAAGCCATGACACCACCTACCAATGTGCTACTGCCGTCCTCCTCAATGGACTTGGTTGTGTGCCAGTGACTAGCTGCATGGCGGGCATCGTCCGGGGAGTTGTCCAGACAGAAGCTCGGCGCCGGCAGGATGGGGGGAATCACAGGTTTGAGTGACTCGCTGGTCAGGTTGGAGCGAGGTGGGTTGATGTCCTGATGGGAGACAAAGTTGATAATGAGGATAAGACAAACATGACTGTCAGGCTCTGATCACCGCGGACAACCGTAGGCAGATCCAGGAGGGGGGTCCAGGGGGTCCGGACTCCCCCCTTTTGAAAACCAAATGTAGTATGTTGTAGGCTGCAATTATTAGAGAGAATTTTGATATTTTGGACCCCTCCCCTTTAAAAATGCTGGATCTGTCCTTGAACAACAGAACATATGAATAAAAATGTCATCTGCTTCAAAAGAAAAAAGGATTGAAAAACAAAGTATCAGAAGGCATTAACTAAACCAATTTAAAGGTCAATGAGAAAATAAATAGCGGGCGGCCTGAGCGGTGAGTACGATGTGTGTAAGTCATACCAGTGTGTACAAGGCGGCACTCTTCTTAGTTTCAAGGAGCATGGACTTGTAGCTGGTCATGGACAGCGCTGTCTGGGTGGGGTCAAGGAGCTTCTGGGTCTCCACCCGCGCCGTCTGGATCTGCTGGTGCTGGAAACAGTTGTTTATTCGTTTTGCAAATAGAGTTAAAGTGTCCATGAGTGTAATTTGATGTCATGTTTACCAATATTCCAGACGTATCACTACAGGTGACACCAAGAATTGGTTTCACACACACTGGGAATCAAACCACGATCACTGGCATGAGGAGTGAATGCTTCAACAATTAGGCTAACCCGAACCTTTGTTACGCAGTGGAAGTCTAATTCAACAAAAATTAAAGTTCATGTCTGTTTACTAACTGAAACTCAAATTAACACCATATTAATATTAACCCACACATTCAAACAATTTCTATAATCACTATTGACAACAAGTCCTTATTTACTATGTTTTAGTCCTTATTTGACAGGGGGCACGGGTGGCCCAGTCTTCTAGGGCGCTGCGATTCGCTGTGCAGAGTTGTGTCTCTTGGGTGCACCAGAAACCTATGATTGTGGGTTGGAATCCCAGTTCGCACCGATTATGTTTCTAGGTTTGTCAGCACCATACCCATACTCATGGGTTTCACCAAAGTGGTAAACGTCTGAGACATGCATCACCTCGCTCTTTCCTCCCACATCAAGCTGACATGCCGCTACATAACTATAATACTGTTAAAAGCGGTGTTAAACCCAACTCATTCACCTTATTCATGTTATTTGACTATCAAAAAAACCTTATTTAGAATTATGAGCTTCACAACATGTACCCATGTGGGGAATGGCTGTATTAAAGTCCTTATTTGACTTTATAATTTTTATGCAATTGTACCTGATTTGACAATGTTAGAGGCAGCCACCGACAACGAGGCTGCTCTCCATCCAAGCATGACTAAAAAGTGACAAGCCCAGGGACTTAGTTCACTGCCGCAGGGCTTTGCACATGCCGCCCACTGAGCCACATGCCGCCCACTGAGCCACATGCCGCTGTCCAGAACACCACCACACCTGAGTGAGTGAGTGAGTGAGTGAGTATGGTTTTACGCCGCTTTTAGCAATATTCCAGCAATATCACGGCGGGGGACACCAGAAATGGGCTTCACACTTTGTACCCATGTCGGGAATCACACCCGGGTCTTCGGCGTGACGAGCGAACGCTTTAACCACTAGGCTACCAGACCGCCCCTCCACCACACCGGAACAAGTGGTGCTTTCGCGCAAATGTTTTCAATGTTTTGGCATGGTTCGAATCCTTCTGTCCACCCATTATGGGTTTTAAAGCTTGATGACTCCAAATACTTCACTAAGCAGATACCAGACCTCATCAAGCAGTTATGAATACATTGTTTCTAGGCAGCCGTTATAGGTATACCCAGAATCCCCTGTCTTGGTGTATCGTCTCTCATATTGAACATATTACCTCTGGTGACCTTGGCGTCTTCGTTGACAAATCCTGCATGGACGTGGTGTGTTGAAGTGGCATTGGAGCCAATCGGTTGGACATGTTGAATGTGCGCCCCAGTTTGAGATTCCGAAACCTGTTGGATAAACGATTCCACCATGCCTGCAAATAATAAAATAAGTGTTTTAATCGTATACAGAAACTACGGTTATAACAAACTCAAAGGGACCACTAATTTTAGTTCGTTATAACCATAGTTCGTTATAAGCATATATACAACATATATACAGCCAATGGCAGGGATAAAAAAATAATATCTGTCAGCTCGTTATAAGCGTGTTTGTAATAAACATAGTTTACTATATACTCGGATGGAATGGCTTTGAGGTATGATAAGTTGGATTCGTCCCTCCATGATGTGAATGTTCTCTTTACTCTAACATATTAATGCTACATTTTATACAATTAACACACTATGGACACATTGACAAGTGTCAAGCGGTTCTTCCTCTTACCTTGAGGCCACTCTTAGGATGATCTTCAAGGCTGAAATAGAGTGGTACAGTTTATAGTAGAACTGATGCAAATAATAATCTTGATGTATGAAACAATAGTTATTGGTGTCTTGCAATGTTTGTACCAGCATGAAAAGTAAACCACCCCTGTGAAGATCCAGCTTAGAATAGGTCTTCAGGTACCCATGCTTGTCGTAGGAGGCGACTAATGGGATCAGGTAGTCAGGCTTGCTGACTTGGTTGATGCACATCATCGTATCAAAATTGCATATATTGATGCTCATGATGACAACCACTGGATTGTCTGATCCAGGTGGCATTAATTACAAACCGCCATCAAATAGCTGGAATATTGCTGTGTGCAGTAATAAACAACAAATAAACAACAAGTGAATTTTCGAACACTAAACAATGAACCTATAATCCTATTCAATCATCACTGGCTCCACCATCCATTGAGTCATCAATCACGAAATTCATCCTCCATTTAGTAATTCATCCATTGACCATTCACAAATGCAGATCCAGCTTTCTTAAAAGGGAGGGGTCCAAAAAAACCGAAAACATCTCTCTCTGATAATTTTACTACCTACAACATGCTACATTTGGTTTTCAAAGGGGTCGGAGTCTGAAACCCTGGACCCCCATTCAGCGATCCATCCATCTGACCAGTAAATCATCAATTACTTAATCAATTCATCCATCCATTCATCCATCCATCACATCCATCCATCCATCCATCCATCCATCACATCCATCCACCCATCCATCACATCATCCATCCATCACATCCATCCATCACATCGATCCATCACATCCATCCATCCATCCATCACATCGATCCATCACATCGATCCATCACATCCATCCATCCATCCATCACATCATCCATCACATCCATCCACCCATCCATCACATCATCCATCCATCACATCGATCCATCACATCGATCCATCCATCCATCACATCGATCCATCACATCGATCCATCACATCCATCCACCCATCCATCACATCATCCATCCATCACATCCATCCATCCATCACATCGATCCATCACATCCATCCATCCATCACATCCATCCATCACATCGATCCATCACATCCATCCATCCATCCATCACATCGATCCATCACATCGATCCATCACATCCATCCACCCATCCATCACATCATCCATCCATCACATCCACCCATCCATCACATCGATCCATCACATCCATCCATCCATCACATCCATCCATCACATCATCCATCACATCCATCCATCCATCCATCACATCATCAATCCATCACATCCATCCATCACATCGATCCATCACATCCATCCATCCATCACATCCATCCATCACATCGATCCATCACATCCATCCATCCATCCATCCATCACATCGATCCATCACATCCATCCATCCATCACATCATCAATCCATCACATCCATCCATCACATCGATCCATCACATCCATCCATCCATCACATCGATCCATCACATCCATCCACCCATCCATCACATCATCCATCCATCACATCCATCCATCCATCACATCCATCCACCCATCCATCACATCATCAATCCATCACATCCATCCATCACATCGATCCATCACATCCATCCATCCATCACATCCATCCATCACATCGATCCATCACATCCATCCATCCATCCATCCATCACATCGATCCATCACATCCATCCATCCATCACATCCATCCATCACATCCATCCATCCATCACATCCATCCATCCATCCATCACATCCATCCATCCATCCATCACATCGATCCATCACATCCATCCATCCATCACATCCATCCATCACATCGATCCATCACATCCATCCATCCATCCATCCATCACATCGATCCATCACATCCATCCATCCATCACATCATCAATCCATCACATCCATCCATCACATCCATCCATCACATCCATCCATCCATCACATCGATCCATCACATCCATCCACCCATCCATCACATCATCCATCCATCACATCCATCCATCACATCCATCCATCACATCGATCCATCACATCCATCCATCACATCGATCCATCACATCCATCCATCCATCACATCGATCCATCACATCCATCCATCCATCACATCCATCCATCACATCGATCCATCACATCCATCCATCCATCCATCCATCACATCGATCCATCACATCCATCCATCACATCGATCCATCCATCCATCCATCACATCGATCCATCACATCCATCCATCCATCACATCATCAATCCATCACATCCATCCATCACATCGATCCATCACATCCATCCATCCATCACATCGATCCATCACATCCATCCACCCATCCATCACATCATCCATCCATCACATCCATCCATCCATCACATCGATCCATCACATCCATCCATCCATCACATCATCCATCCATCACATCCATCCATCCATCACATCGATCCATCACATCCATCCACCCATCCATCACATCATCCATCACATCCATCCATCCATCACATCGATCCATCACATCCATCCACCCATCCATCACATCGATCCATCACATCCATCCATCCATCACATCGATCCATCACATCCATCCACCCATCCATCACATCATCCATCCATCACATCCATCCATCACATCGATCCATCACATCCATCCATCCATCACATCCATCCATCACATCATCCATCACATCCATCCATCCATCCATCACATCATCAATCCATCACATCCATCCATCACATCGATCCATCACATCCATCCATCCATCACATCCATCCATCACATCGATCCATCACATCCATCCATCCATCCATCCATCACATCATCCATCACATCCATCCATCCATCACATCATCAATCCATCACATCCATCCATCACATCGATCCATCACATCCATCCATCCATCACATCCATCCATCACATCGATCCATCACATCCATCCATCCATCCATCCATCACATCGATCCATCACATCCATCCATCCATCACATCATCAATCCATCACATCCATCCATCCATCCATCACATCCATCCATCACATCCATCACATCCATCACATCCATCCATCCATCACATCCATCACATCCATCACATCCATCCATCACATCCATCCATCACATCCATCCATCACATCCATCCATCCATCACATCCATCCATCACATCCATCCATCCATCCATCACATCCATCCATCACATCCATCCATCACATCCATCCATCCATCCATCCATCACATCCATCCACCCATCCATCCATCCATCACATCCATCCATCCATCACATCCATCCATCCATCCATCACATCCATCACATCCATCCATCCATCCATCCATCACATCCATCCATCCATCACATCCATCCATCACATCCATCCATCACATCCATCACATCCATCCATCACATCCATCCATCCATCCATCCATCACATCCATCACATCATCCATCACATCCATCCATCACATCCATCCATCACATCCATCACATCATCCATCACATCCATCCATCCATCCATCCATCACATCCATCACATCCATCCATCACATCCATCCATCACATCCATCCATCACATCCATCACATCCATCCATCACATCCATCCATCACATCCATCCATCACATCCATCACATCATCCATCACATCCATCCATCCATCCATCCATCACATCCATCACATCCATCCATCCATCCATCCATCACATCCATCCATCCATCACATCCATCCATCACATCCATCCATCACATCCATCCATCACATCCATCCATCACATCCATCACATCCATCCATCACATCCATCACATCCATCCATCACATCCATCCATCACATCCATCCACCCATCCATCACATCCATCACATCCATCCATCACATCCATCCATCCATCCATCCATCACATCCATCACATCCATCCATCCATCCATCCATCACATCCATCCATCCATCACATCCATCCATCACATCCATCCATCACATCCATCCATCACATCCATCACATCCATCACATCCATCCATCACATCCATCCATCACATCCATCCATCACATCCATCACATCCATCCATCACATCCATCCATCACATCCATCCATCACATCCATCACATCATCCATCACATCCATCCATCCATCCATCCATCACATCCATCACATCCATCCATCCATCCATCCATCACATCCATCCATCCATCACATCCATCCATCACATCCATCCATCACATCCATCCATCACATCCATCCATCCATCCATCACATCATCCATCCATCACACCCATCCATCCATCACATCCATCACATCCACCCATCCATCACATCATCCATCCATCACATCCATCCATCACATCCATCACATCCATCACATCCATCCATCACATCCATCCATCACATCCATCCATCCATCACATCATCCATCCATCACATCCATCCATCACATCGATCCATCACATCCATCCATCCATCACATCCATCCATCACATCGATCCATCACATCCATCCATCCATCACATCATCCATCACATCCATCCATCACATCCATCCATCACATCCATCCATCACATCCATCCACCCATCCATCACATCATCCATCCATCACATCCATCCATCACATCGATCCATCACATCCATCCATCCATCACATCATCCATCACATCCATCCACCCATCACATCATCCATCACATCCATCCATCCATCACATCCATCCATCACATCATCCATCACATCCATCACATCCATCCATCACATCCATCCATCACATCGATCCATCACATCCATCCATCCATCACATCATCCATCACATCCATCCATCACATCCATCCATCACATCCATCCATCACATCCATCCACCCATCCATCCATCACATCCATCACATCCATCCATCCATCCATCCATCCATCACATCCATCCATCCATCACATCCATCACATCCATCACATCCATCACATCCATCCATCACATCCATCACATCCATCCATCCATCACATCCATCCATCCATCACATCCATCCATCCATCACATCCATCACATCCATCACATCCATCCATCACATCCATCACATCCATCCATCCATCACATCCATCACATCCATCACATCCATCACATCCATCCATCCATCACATCCATCACATCCATCACATCCATCCATCCATCACATCCATCCATCCATCACATCCATCCATCCATCCATCCATCACATCCATCCATCCATCCATCACATCCATCCATCACATCCATCCATCCATCACATCCATCCATCCATCACATCCATCCATCACATCCATCCACCCATCACATCCATCCATCCATCACATCCATCACATCCATCCATCCATCACATCCATCACATCCATCCATCCATCACATCCATCCATCCATCACATCCATCCATCACATCCATCCACCCATCCATCACATCATCCATCCATCCATCCATCCATCACATCCATCCATCCATCACATCATCCATCCATCACATCCATCACATCCATCCATCACATCCATCCATCCATCCATCACATCATCCATCCATCACATCCATCCATCACATCCATCCATCACATCATCCATCCATCACATCGATCCATCCATCACATCCATCCACCCATCACATCATCCATCCATCACATCATCCATCCATCCATCACATCATCCATCCATCCATCACATCATCCATCCATCACATCATCCATCCATCACATCCATCCATCCATCCATCACATCCATCCATCCATCACATCATCCATCCATCACATCCATCACATCCATCCATCACATCCATCCATCCACCCATCACATCCATCCATCCACCCATCACATCCATCACATCATCCATCCATCCATCACATCATCCATCCATCCATCACATCATCCATCCATCACATCATCCATCCATCACATCCATCCATCCATCCATCACATCCATCCATCCATCACATCATCCATCCATCACATCCATCACATCCATCCATCACATCCATCCATCCACCCATCACATCCATCACATCCATCACATCCATCCATCACATCCATCCATCCATCCATCACATCATCCATCCATCACATCCATCCATCACATCCATCACATCCATCACATCCATCCATCACATCCATCCATCACATCCATCCATCACATCCATCACATCCATCACATCCATCCACCCATCCATCACATCATCCATCCATCACATCATCCATCCATCACATCCATCCATCCATCCATCACATCCATCCATCCATCACATCATCCATCCATCACATCCATCACATCCATCCATCCACCCATCACATCCATCACATCCATCACATCCATCCATCACATCCATCCATCCATCCATCACATCATCCATCCATCACATCCATCCATCACATCCATCCATCACATCCATCCATCACATCCATCCATCACATCCATCCATCACATCCATCACATCCATCACATCCATCCATCACATCCATCCATCACATCCATCCATCACATCCATCCACCCATCCATCACATCATCCATCCATCACATCATCCATCACATCGATCCATCACATCCATCCATCACATCATCCATCCATCCATCCATCACATCATCCATCCATCACATCCATCACATCCATCCATCCACCCATCACATCCATCACATCCATCACATCCATCCATCACATCCATCCATCCATCCATCACATCATCCATCCATCACATCCATCCATCACATCCATCCATCACATCCATCCATCACATCCATCCATCACATCCATCCATCACATCCATCACATCCATCACATCCATCCATCACATCCATCCATCACATCCATCCATCACATCCATCCACCCATCCATCACATCATCCATCCATCACATCATCCATCACATCATCCATCCATCCATCCATCACATCGATCCATCACATCATCCATCCATCACATCATCCATCCATCACATCCATCCATCCATCCATCACATCCATCCATCCATCACATCATCCATCCATCACATCCATCACATCCATCCATCACATCCATCCATCCATCCATCACATCATCCATCCATCACACCCATCCATCCATCACATCCATCACATCCACCCATCCATCACATCATCCATCCATCACATCCATCCATCACATCCATCACATCCATCACATCCATCCATCACATCCATCCATCACATCCATCCATCCATCACATCATCCATCCATCACATCCATCCATCACATCGATCCATCACATCCATCCATCCATCACATCCATCCATCACATCGATCCATCACATCCATCCATCCATCACATCATCCATCACATCCATCCATCACATCCATCCATCACATCCATCCATCACATCCATCCACCCATCCATCACATCATCCATCCATCACATCCATCCATCACATCATCCATCACATCCATCCACCCATCACATCATCCATCACATCCATCCATCCATCACATCCATCCATCACATCATCCATCACATCCATCACATCCATCCATCACATCCATCCATCACATCGATCCATCACATCCATCCATCCATCACATCATCCATCACATCCATCCATCACATCCATCCATCACATCCATCCATCACATCCATCCATCACATCATCCATCACATCGATCCATCACATCCATCACATCATCCATCACATCGATCCATCACATCCATCCATCCATCCATCCATCCATCACATCATCCATCACATCCATCCATCCATCCATCACATCATCCATCCATCCATCACATCATCCATCACATCCATCCATCCATCACATCATCCATCACATCCATCCATCACATCATCCATCACATCGATCCATCACATCCATCCATCCATCCATCACATCATCCATCACATCCATCCATCCATCACATCATCAATCCATCACATCCATCCATCACATCATCCATCACATCCATCCATCCATCCATCACATCATCAATCCATCACATCCATCCATCACATCGATCCATCACATCCATCCATCCCTTCATCGATCCATCACATCATCCATCCATCACATCCATCACATCCATCCATCACATCCATCCATCCATCCATCACATCCATCCATCACATCCATCCATCCATCCATCACATCCATCCATCACATCCATCACATCCATCCATCACATCCATCCATCCATCCATCACATCCATCCATCACATCCATCCATCCATCCATCACATCATCAATCCATCACATCCATCCATCACATCATCCATCACATCCATCCATCCATCCCTTCATCCATCCATCACATCATCCATCACATCCATCCATCCATCACATCATCCATCACATCCATCCATCCATCCATCACATCATCCATCACATCCATCCATCCATCCATCACATCATCAATCCATCACATCCATCCATCACATCGATCCATCACATCCATCCATCCATCCCTTCATCCATCCATCACATCCATCCATCCATCCCTTCATCGATCCATCACATCCATCCATCCATCCCTTCATCCATCCATCACATCATCCATCCATCACATCCATCCATCACATCATCCATCCATCCCATCATCCATCCATCACATCCATCCATCCATCCCTTCATCCATCCATCACATCCATCCATCCATCCCTTCATCCATCCATCACATCCATCCATCCATCCCTTCATCCATCCATCCCTTCATCCATCCATCCCATCATCCATCCATCACATCCATCCATCCATCCCTTCATCCATCCATCACATCATCCATCCATCCCATCATCCATCCATCCATCCATCCATCCACTCACTCAATCACCATCTAATCTCACTAACCATCAACTACACATACTGACATCATCAATACTAACAAATCCTACGAGAAATGTCTGCTGCCTGTCTGCACAGTATGTTACCTGAAGTCCGGTGGAAGTGTCGCTGCAACATTGCCGTTGTGCTTGGCCCAGTTCTTCTTGCCCCTGTCGGCCTTACACACCTGCATGGCCTTCGCTGCCAGCTGCCGCAGTAACTCCGTGTCCACGTCATCTGCAACATCGATGTTCGACGGATGATGTTGTGTGAGTGGGCGAGTGTATGGGGTTGGTGTTAAAGTCAGCAAATGGTGTTTTGTTGTGTTGACACCCATTTCAGGGGTATTTTAGTTATATAACAGCTCAACATGAAAACAAAGCTTGAAAGGATGCAGGTTGTAGATGTTCACCACGATGATGCAACCCTCAAGCACAGGTATGGTGCTGACAGACAGAATCATAAACTGGGATTCAAACCATAAACATGTGATCCTGGCACATTTAAGGGAGGCAACTCTACACGGAGAATTGTGTCGCCTTAGACAAGTGGACCATCCCTGTGCTGTCTGTCACCATTGTTTACTAGTAGCTGATACTTAATGGACATTTTACAAATCTTACAATACAATCTCTATATGTAATGAAGACATGCACCCCATGAAGAACAGGTTTAGAATTGGTCTCCAACAACCCATGCATACCATTACTAAGAGTTGACTAATGGGCTCGGTTGGTCAGGCTCGCTGACTACATTGGTACTTGTCATCGTATCCCAATTGTGAAGATTGATGCTCGATATTCGAGATTTACAGACCGCCTTAATAATAATATAACAGGAATATTGCACAGTGTGGCAATGAACAAGAGAACAAATTCAGACTTGTAAGTACATCATGAAACCTGAAAGTCGAAAGGACTCAGACCAAAGTGCCTCAGCTGACCCCTACTTTACCTATGAGGGAGGCCATGTCAAAGGCGGTACATCCATTCTTGGCTTGAATAGTTACATCAGCACCACAGTTCAGCAGATACATGGCCACGTTCTTCTTCCTGTCAACAACACAAACATGAAACTTATAATCATAATAATGTCTTGCCTAGTTCACATACAGTGTATGTTTGTTGTTGTTTCAGCTATATGACGGCAGACTGTAAATAATCGAGTCTGGACCAGACAATTTACATCATGAGCATCGATCCACGCAATTGGGATCGATGACATGCATCAACCAAGTCAGCGAGCCTGACCACCCGATCCCCTTAGTCGCCTCTTACGAAAAGCATAGTCGCCTTTTACGGCAAGCATGGGTTGCTGAAGATCTATTCTACCCAGGATTTTCACAGGTTTCACATACAGTGATGTCATTTGTGTAAGTGGTTCAAAGTGACAAAGTGAGTGAGTGAGTGAGTGAGTGAGTGAGTGCGTGAGTGAGTGAGTGAGATGAGTACAACTAAGTGAGTGAGTGTGTTGGGTTTAACGCCACTTTTAACAGTTTTCCAGTGATATCACGGCGTGTCAGTTTGATGTGGGAGGAAAGCCCGAAGTGATACAGGTCTAAGACGTTAACTCCTTCAGGGAAACCCACGAGCATGGGTAGGGTGCTGACAAACCTAGATATTGGGGCAAACCGGGATTCGAACCCACAATCATAGGTATCTGGCGTGCCCAAGTGACGCAACTTTGCACAGAGAATTGCGGCACCTTAGACGACTGGGCCACCCATGCCCCTAGTACAACTCAGTATGACTGTGCATGAATACCAGGCTGAGAGTTAACAGAACTACTTATCATATAAATTAAGATAGCTACGCGACAAATCGCAAAGAATAATGAAGAATGAAGCATGGTTTATGTCACGAAAAAACAATATTTTATCATGATGTCACATCTGGAGATTCGAACATGCGCTTGCACCTTGATGACGTCGTAAATTGAATGACGTTATTTTTTAGAGGGAAACGTCTAGTGAGTTGCTCCCCATAGATGTAGCTGGGCAACGTAGATAATCGCAGTGGCCGTACAATCGCATCCAAAAGTGAGAGAGATATGAAAATCGGTATTGGGAGAAATGGTACAGGGAATCGAAGTGGAAATTGTGAGAATATGCGGGAAAGACCAAATTTATGTAAGAAATAAATGACCACAATTTATTGATCAAGCAGACATTGAATCGATGTATAGACTTAAAAGTAATTCCTGCTTGGTTACCTCATTTGCATATTTATTGGATCAAGTTTATCGGATTGGTCTATTGCATCAACAACACTATCCATTTATAATTTGGTTGTACCATTGCTTGTCAGAATAATGTAGCCAATAGTGACCCTGGTTGTACAGTCAGTGTGTGAAAGTGAGTGAGTGAGTGAGTATGGTTTTACGCCACTTTTAGCAATATTCAGTGTTTGAAGTACCTGCCTGCCCGACCGTCCGAGACGGGTTAATTTCAACTCGGGCTGCCAGATTTTCAAATCCCCCTGCCCGACGGTCGGGTTATATTTCATATGTGAAAATATTCTAAATATTTCCCGATGATAAGCATTAATTCACATGTAAAGATGAATGATAAAATGTAACCAAAAAGAAACCCTGTTAGCTTATCCTGAGACACATATGATTATAGTGGGCAGGCAGGTTTTGGTCAGGGCTGGCAAGTATTTCAGGTGTTTGGGAGTTTCATACCCTGCAATATTCAAGCAATATCACAGCGAGGGACACAAGAAATGGGTTTCACGCATTGTACCCATGTCGGGAATCGAACCCGGGTCTTCGGCGTGACAAGCTAACGCTTTAACCACTAGGCTACCCGACTGCCCCAAGTCGTGGGTTAAAGACTAGGTGTGTGTAACATACGTGGATCCAGAGGGGGGTCCAGAGGGGGGGTCCAGAGGGGGGGTCCAGGGTGCCCCCCCCCCCCTTGAAAACCAAATGTAGTATGTTGTAGGCAGTAAAATTATCTGAGAGATAATTTTGATATTTTGGACCCCTCCCTTTAAAAAATGCTGGATCTGCCCTTGTGTAAGGATGACCTACCCATGGTATGTGGCCTGCATGAGAGCTGTCCAACCGCTGATGGTGTCCTGCTTGTTGATGTCACACCCCCGAACCACCAACAACTCTGCAATGTCCAGCCGCCCTGTCATTGCTGCAAACATCAAAGGGGTGGCGCCATCTTGTGGTGCTGAAGCATCTCTCTGGCTCAAGTCAATGTCCAGGATCTCTCGGATACGGGTCATATCACCTGCATGGCAATAGCATTGAGAAGTAAGGGACCAGTCATTGATTCCAGCAGTAAGGGACCAGTCATTTAGTACAGCAGAACGTGACCAGTCATTTATTATAGTGGTAAAGGACCAGTCACTTATTACAGTGATAAGGGACCAGTCATTTATTACAGTGGTAAGGGACCTATCATTAAAATTAAAATAATTGTGAGAGCGTGATTTGCTTACGTCACCAAATACATTTATATTGTGAAAAACTTACTTTATAGGGCTGTCTGCTAGCATTAGTGAAATACTAGTAACTATAGTTATATGTCTATACTTACTAGTATTTCTTCAAATTATTTCCTAAAAAGTTTGTTACTTCATTACTGATATCTCAATGCAAGATGAACTAAAAATACAACAAACGTTTTTTGTATCATATTAAACTGACAAAAGTCTCTAATCGACTACGAACAGGTTATTAGTTTGTCACAAATCTGCAGGGGGATATCATGGTGATCTAAAATAACCTTTCAATCTTCATTGACGGTCTACATTAACAACGTGTATCTTGTAAATAGAGACATAACTCTCACAACTTGATAAACCATCTAGAACAAAAATCCAAAATGTGTAAAGATTCCGATTTTCAAGTTAGACAATAAATATCATATTTGACAGTGTCTATAAATAATTTACTGCATAGATGGTAAATTGAGGTTTACTTTTTTTAAAATGTTTTTGGGAGTCCATTTTGATTTTTTACGCTATTGATATCCCTTTCCATTCTCTTTCACGAGACAAAAGACATTAGGACATTTCAAAACATTTATATGACCCTATCAGATGGGAAAGTTTTCTAAAACAGAATATCATTATCAACTTTGAAAAGGTTTAGGACATTTTGGTAACCATCAATCATTACCAAGAGTTAACTCATTAAATAGAACACAAAAAGAAATAACTTCAAGCTTGGAAAACTTGCTGATCATGCACCTTTATGACTACTACGTACCATGTTTGGATGCATCAATGATGTCCGGCTTAACCTCATGGTAATCGCAAACTTCTATTTTGATAAATTGATAAAATTGAGTCTTTATATAAAACAATAACTAACAAGTGAGTTTTGAATGACATGAATCACTTAACATGTATAAGCTGGGTGTGCCAGTTAGCCTAAGTCTTTTCCGCCTTTGGCATCGTTTAAGAGTACACCCGTGAAGATCCGGGTTAGAATAGGCCTTCAGCAACCTAGCTTGCCGTTAGAGGCAACTATGCTTGTCATAAGAGGCGACTAACATGATCGGGTGGTCAGGTTTGCTGACTTGGTTGATGCATGTCATTGTATCCCAATTGTGTAGATGGATACTCTTGATATCAGTCACTGGATTGTCTGCTCCAGACTCGATTATTTACAGATCGCCATCAAAAAGCTGGAATATTGCTGTATGCGGTGTGACACAGCACATTGTCAGCATGAGAATTAACCCCTTGCAACAAACCCCCTGACCCTTGTAGGTCTCCACACAATCAGGAATACAAAGACAATGCGTTCGTCATGCCAGCATTATCTTCTATACCATCCAGGACAACAATATATACCATCTATACAACAATGATGATCAGATCTAAAGGGACTTAACAAAGGGGAGGCCAACACAAGATGAGTTTGTGTTTATCAGAAAGTCAACCAGATTTTCATATTCTTAATACATTTCTAGTAATCATGGTTATTATGAGACAATATCGTTTATTGATTTGCAGATCCACCGATCCCAAAAAATGAAAAGTGGGAATATATGCAGATTTGATAGTTCTAGCTCACTGAGATTCCATGCTGCAGTTTAACAAGAACATCCCACTCGGACAGTATACTGACTCCGAACTGACCAGTCCTTGCTTAATGCCGAGCGCCAGGCAGGGTAACAACAAGTACCATCTTTTACTATCTTTTGGTATGACACGGATGAGGATCGAACTCACGACCTTCCGGTCTCTGGGCAGTTAATGAGTGAGTGAGTGAGTGAGTGAGATATAATGCCAGTTTGAACAGTATTCCAGTTATATCATGATGTGTCAGCTTTATGTGTGATGAAGGATCGAAGTGATGCAGGACTCAGACATTAACACCTTTGGTGAAACCCATGATTTGTTTGTTTGTTGTTTAACGGGAAGGAATAGTTCTTCAGCAACCAATGCTTGTCATAAGAGGTGACGATTGGGATCGGGTGGTCAGGCTCACTGACTTGGTTGACACATGTCATCGTATCCCAACTGTGTAGATCGCTGCTCATGATGTCAATCACTGGAATGTCTGGTCCAGACTCAATTATTTACAGACCCCCATCATACAACTGGAATAATGCTGAGTGCGGCGTTAAACAATAAACAAACAGTCATAAACTTTAGCCATGTTTACCACAACCATAATGCCAGAAGCAAAACAGGAAACAAACATCACGTTTATCCCTCAGTAAACAAACTAATAAAAGTATGTCATGAACATGATAAATGTTGACTTGAAATATGTTCAATACAAGCCTTCCTGCCAAGTAAAATCATTACCTCTTCCCATTATCTCCGAGCCGAGGGAAGAACAACCAGTGTATAACGCTGAATAACACCAGCCTATTGTTATATTGGTCTATGACAGATGGATACTGTAATTATCACACTGTAAGACAGCCAAGACGACAATAAGGGGGCTTAACTTCCAGAGAGTCGAGAAGCTGTCGTCTAAACACCAAACCCCTGGCCAAATTGCCACCATTGTTATGAGGGAAGAGGCTTTTTGTCATGTTGAGATTAATCGTTGCTTTCATAGATTTAATCAGTGTATGAAAACGTTTAGGACACAATGAAATGATATTTTCATGACAACATCATAGAGGTCATGGCTGTAGATGAAAGCTGATAGGTCATGGAAAACCTTCCTCATTCTATCACAAATACAGCTCTATGTCTTTTTTCTTTTTATTTTCTTCTTTGAATAATAATGCATATGCCATTTACAAATCCCTGATGTAAAAAGGCCCAGATAATATATTTATTTTTTTACCATGTAGGGGCTATATTACCGATAGTCATATCTACTAATATGCGGGAAATATTTGGAAACCGAATACATGCTAAAACATACAATTAAATTTTTTTAACTCCTTTTTAGCTTTTGAATTTACATTATCGTTCGTTCGTTCGTTCGTTCGTGAGTGAGCGAGGTTTTATGCCGCTTTTGGCAATATACTCGTACCAGCAGCATGACGGTGGGGACACCAGAAATGGGCTTCCCATGAGTGAGTGAGTGAGTGAGTGAGCGAGCGAGGTTTTATGCCGCTTTTGGCAATATACTCGTTCCAGCAACATGACGGTGGGGACACCAGAAATGGGCTTCCCACATTGTACCCATGTGGGGAATTGAACCCTGGCCTTCAGTGTGATGAGTGAACACTTTAACCACAAGACTACCCAACTGACAAAGCATCAATTATGAGTGATACAATACATCAAGTTGAGATTGAAACCAAATTTTGGAAATATGCACTATCTATATGAACTTCAGCAAAGTAGCTGAGTAGATTTTGGTCCTGTCATTCCACTTGAATATGCTGAGATTAGGGATGGGAAATGCAATATTCATTTCATAGAAATCCACAGAAACAAGTCCTTCAATGAGTTCAGTCAACGGGCCTACACAAGAAAACTTCCAATACGCAATAACTCTTGTCACCGCAGAAATAGCACTCTACGTGTGGATCCTAGGCCTGAAGATTGGTATGACATCAGTATACAGTTCGTGGAAATCATGTGCGTGAGTGAGTATTGTCTTACCCCATTTTAGCAATATTCCAGCCAAGGGGCGGTGAGGTAGCCTAGTGGTTAAAGTGTTTGCCCATCACGCCAAAGGCTCAGGTTTAATTCCCCACATGGGTGTCTGTCATTTCATCCATCGATCATGACCACTGTCCACATGATCATTGATTCATTCCAGGCTCTAAAATAACTAACAAAATGTATAGTACACTGCACTATTACATTACTTTACAGGACTCTCATATTGCCTGAAAGGACCCTTCAAATTAATTATTGGGGTCCCCTGGACGCCCACTTTTGTAAGTCAAGGTAAAATCCTGCTTTAGATTTGAGCTTGGGACATTTTTCTTGTGAAAAGGTGTACATTTGCATATGTTTGTTACATACTGCAATAGTTCAACCCTTTGCAGTCAAACTGGACAAAAATACTTTGTTCAAATTGGAATTGTGTTTAAAGGACTCATTATCTAAGAATGCAATACATTGAATTATGGTATCTAAAGTGAAGTTTCAAAGCCTGTTTCTTTGTAAATCTTTTATCCGTGAAATACAAGTTATCTTACTATATTTATTTGGGAATTTTAACACCAATTTGACCTATATCCATGAGGATTCCGGGTAAGAATATAGGTCTCCAGCTTGTCTCCCCCTGGGGATTCCCGTGAGGAATACAGGTCCCGAAAAACCTATGTTTGTTATAGTGAGTGAGTGTGGTTTTACGCTTTTAGCAATATTCCAACAATATCACGGCGGTGGACACCAGAAATGGGCTTCACACATTGTACCCATGTCAGGAATCAAAGACGAGTGAACGCTTTAACCACTAGGCTACCCAACTGCCCCTATGTTTGTTAAAAACGGTGAATAGGTGGATTGTATGGTCAGGCTCGATGAAATGGTTGATTGCATGTCATCGTATCCCAATGACGTGGATTGATGCTAATGATGTCAATTACTGGATTATCTGGCCAGACTTGATTAACAGACCACATAGCTGGAATATTGCTGAGTAACATTAGAAAAACATTAAACAGCAAACACACAATGGCATCTGGAAACTGGCCAGACAAACTGTGTACATTCATGATATAAATGTTATACAACACTGCATGGGCAACAATGTGGCACATTTGTTGTTGTTTGTGATGCCATGTAATAAATTTATATAGTCAATGTATCATAAGATGAAACATTGTTCCCTACATATTCCTACATCACTGGATCTATTTCAACACATAAATACATTGTTTACAAATGCATTGTAACTGTACAAACAGAACAGATTTTTTGTTTATAAAAAATCTATCAGGTTCTTTTTCCAATTTAATCAATCAATGTTAATATGCCCTAAAATAAACAATGTCATACAATTTCAATTGAGTGAGTGAGTGTGTATGGTTTAACGCCGCTTTTAGCAATATTCCAGCAATATCACGGCGGGGGACACCAGAAATTGGCTTCACACATTGTACCCATGTTGGGAATCGAACCCGGGTCTTCAGCTTGACGAGCGAACGCTTTAACCACTAGGCTACCCGACCGCCCCTAATTTCAATTGAACATGCTGAAGAGGGCAAGTAGGCATTAAGATCTATTATTATACTGTTTGTTTGTTTATTTGTTGTTTAACTCACTCAGCAATATTCCAGCTATATGATGGCGGTCTGTAAATAATCAAGTCTGGACCAGACAATCCAGTGATTGCCATCATGAGCATTGATCCAGGTAATTCGGATACGATGACATGAATCAATCAAGTAGGCGAGCCTGACCACCCGATCCCGTTAGTCGCCTCTTACAATATTATTAAACACACTGAAATCATAAAATTTCCTGAGGCAGTGAGTTGGGTTTCGTTCCATTTTTATTTGAACATACATGTATATATATCACTTAGTGTCAGCTTAATGTTGGAGAAAAGCAAAAACTGACACGTCTTAGATGTTTACTGCTTTGAGAAAACTCTTGCCTGGTGCTTAAAGTCCAAGAATCATAACCAGGGAAATTTGGGGATTAAAACCCATGATAATCAAAATCCTGGCATAGCTAAGGGGACACAACTCTTCACAGCAAATTGCATCCCCTTAAACAACAGGGCCACCAGTGAACCCTTTCCCTCATAAAAGAGAGGGGTGAAAGCGTTGTTTGCTTTCCATACCACAGACCCGAGTTCGCTTCCACACTCCATCATTTAATAATTAATCTCTATATTAATAAAATCTTCTTTAACTTACCAACTTCTGGTTTATTTGTGGTTTTCCTGTCCAGGTATCCTCGAACCTCTCTCTTCCTCCGTATCGTGGCAATAGCTAACGCGGTTTTATTGTTTACATTCACAAGATTGGGGTCCCCGCCTTGCTCTATCAAGATCTGTGAGGTAGTCATGTGACCGTTCAAAGCCGCAAGCATAAGAGGCGTCAGCCCCGTGGACGGAGTCCTGTAATTCACATCACACCCTCTGTCTATGACAAACCTCACCACAGTGTCATGACCATGTTGAGCTGCCGCCAGTAAGGGGGTAAATTCACATACTCCCCCCGAACCATTCAGATCGATTCCGTAATCCACCAACATCCCGACTGTCGCCACATGTCCACCTCTACCTGCCAGAGTCAACGCTGAGGCACCGTATCTGTTATTGGCGTTAATATCCGCTTGATTCTGAAGTAGCGTCCCGACTACATTCGAGTGTCCATACCGACAGGCTTGCATTAAAGGCGTCCAGCCAAAGACGTTAGGCTTGTCCAAGGCTGCCCCCTTCATTATCAGCTCCCTGACAACGCTCTCGTGGCCATTAGCTGCTGCAACCTGTAACGGTGTGTTACCGTCATCATCGACACTGTCGACCTCAACATCGTCAAGAAGCGTTCGCACAGAAACAACATCCCCCTGTTCACAAGCAATGAACAGCTGACGGGTGCGCTCCATTTCAGAATGTCAAATCATATTTACCATCGGATGGTTAAATACACAGCGAAACATGTACCGTTCGATTTCATTTTAATTATCCAACTGTTGTTACTGACGGAGAACTGTCATTATTTGGACACTTAGCAGCATCACCCGTCTCTACGTCGCCATCTTGGATGGAATTCCAACTAAACCAGTGTACGACCAAACACGGAACTGCAACATGCTTCTAACCGGCGATGCGTGGTGAATGAGACGGCGGTTCTCTATTTCGTTACGTTACCTTTCAAATAAGTACATTTTAAATTCAAAATGTATCTACCCTAATAAATCTTTAATAACGGCAAACTGTGCATTCATAGCAAGTGTGATGTATGTTGTTCAAACACAGGGCACTCCTAACCAAAACTGACAGTCGTACCAGGTTAATTTAAAGTAATTCTGAACTTTTCCTGACAATTCGTATTCTGTTAATTAGGTACCGGTTTCGAGATGATAACGTCTAGTGCGCATGGGAGCGTCTCCGTGGTGTAGTTGATAGAGCGGCTGCCCGGGAAAGGCAGATCAGCGGTTCGAACCCCGGTTGCGTCATACCAAAAGACGTTAAAAGATGGTTCTTGTTGTTACCCTGCCTGGCGCTCCACATTAATGGGATAACACTGGACTGGTCGGCTCGGAGTCAGTACGCTGTGTCTGAGAGGGGTATGCATGTTAAACTATGTATGGTATCACAGTGGGCTAGCACTATAAAACAGGCGTTAAACCATAGGTGCCAGAGACCTCGATTAGATTCAACAATTCGTCATTTTGAAATTTGCTTCCACATCTGTAAGATTTCTCTTCTGTAAGTGGTGACTATGTTTGTCGTAAGAGGCGACTAACGCGATCGGGTGGTCAGGCTCACTGACTTGGTTGATGCATGAAATCGTATCCCTAAGGTGTGGATCGATGCTCAAGATATCAATCACTGGATTGAGAGAGAGAGAGAGAGAGAGAGAGAGAGAGAGAGAGAGAGAGAGAGAGAGAGAACACAACACGTTCGCGGGGCCTCGGGGTAAGGGTATGGGCCCCAAGCAATACATGTCTGACAGAATGTCGCCGTGTCCCAATTGTATGGATGAAAACCCATCATTCCGAGTGGAATATTTAATAGCCGTCATATGGCTTAAATATTGCGGCTTTAAACAACAAACAAGACAAGCAAATCTATTTGAGGCGAAACTTGGGCTTTGAATATGATCCTTATTAATCTCGTAATAATACCAGTACTTTACGATGTGATATAGAAATTGATACCAAATACCAAAGAGATTTTATTGTTGTAGTTATACCGAGAATTACGTAGCTACAAGTGAACTTGTACTGTTGACACGATTCATTAGAAATATAAATCGTTCGTAAATGTGAAAATAAATTCAAATTTATGCTTTAAAATCTCTGTTTACAACGTTAAGCACTCTGGATTGTTATTTTCAACAAGACCAATCGTGTAAAACACATCGTAGTTTCTATTTACCGTTCGTTTCAGGAAGTGTTAGGGCCGATACATTGTATGTGTAAGTTTCATCGCAGGAGTTGCTGATTTGCCTGATGTTGCATTAGCGGGTTAGGACGAGAGCCGGTTCAGGCAAGATTGCACGGGGAATTCCGAGAAGCATTTCTGGTTTATCCGCTCGGGGTCAGTTCGGCACATTCCGCCAAAACGAGTGGATCAACTGGGTTGTATTCAACTAGACTGATCCCAGTTCTTGTGTTTCTGCCCTAGACAAGTTCAGTTGGTACAAGTCGGATGAGTAATGTGCGCACCGTTCCCCAGCCCTTGTCTTCGATCTTCTATTGCGTTGACACAAACATGCAGCTCGGAAAGTAACCATTGATTTACGGCGGGCCTGGCAAGGCGGAAATGGCAATCCTACCACATGGCTGATAAATAAATCATTGATAGTGAAGATAAACAAGTATTTTCTTGGCATGTTCAAAATACAAGTTCAGGTTTTGTTTGTTTGCACTCAGCAATACTCAAGCTTTATGACGGCGGTCTGTAAATAATCGAGTCTGGATCAGACAATCTAGTGATTGATATCATGAGCATCGATCCACGCAATTGAGATACGATAACATGCATCCACCAAGTCACCGAGTCTGACATTACCGATCCCGTTAGTCGCCCCTTACGACAAGCATGGGTTGCTGAAGACCTATTCTTCCCCGGATCTTCACGGGTCACGGCGTTCAAGTAATAGAACAGTACAGCTGTAGCAGAGACCTGTAGCTGCCAGTGTGAAAAAAATATGGCCAGACCATCAAATATTATTGTATGGCCTCACATATGCATTTCTATTACGCCGAATCATAATGGACTAGAAACGTGATATACCGGATAATCGAAGCTGCATACCAGCTGATAAGGGACTGGTAGTTTATTTGGGGGGAAGGGGGTTACATTTTGAGATTTTGGGGGGTCGTGAGAAAAAATGACACTGAAAGAGAGAGGAGGGGCGGGATTCATCAAAATTTATTTATATATATATATTTTAGGGGAGGGGGACATGAAAATATGACACGGTTCTATATTTTCGAATGGATAATTTATAGATTTGAACATTATTTAGGGACTGGTAATATATTATCGGATGGGGTGTGGGGTCAAAATTATCGTCTGTCTCTCGCTTCTCTCGGATAAACATTTGAACGGAGGAGGCGTTGCACAGTACGTGGGAATCTCTACCATACAATCGCAACCATATATAAGACATTCTGGAGTGTCCGTTTGATCAGTTTTCAAAATTTTAATCGAGAGAACTGTGTCAACATATTTTTCAAGCGTAGTCTTAAATTGAAGTCGCCAGGTTGAAACGAGTGTCGTAAAGCTCGAGAAAGCTGCTTTCTCAGGTTTCACACACACACACACACACACACACACACACACACACACACACACACACACACACACACACACACACATACACAGACACACACACAAACATACACAAACACACACACAGACACATACACACACACACACATACTGACACACATACACACACACAGACAGACACACACACACACATCACCGGGGTCGTAGCGGAACGGTGAGGGTTATCATCAGAAGTGCATTACGTCATTATCGCACATCACGGAGAGCATGTATTTTCAGAGAACAAGGTCTGGTGTCTGGGAGTAGACGCTACTTATGTTTGCTAGCAAGGGTGTGGCACACATCAATTCTACGCCACAATTTTATCGAGTATGAAAGGTTTCTGGTTTCAATGAGCTGCTATTCATTGTTCTGAAAGCAGTATCAGCGTTATTTGTATCAACACGAGACTAAAATGCGTGTATGTTATTGTGCAAAGAAATAAATTTACCTTTGTACTAAATCGTTAATATGTATTGAAATGTGTACCAAGCAATGGATATAGAAAACCGTATGAATTCATAAGATTATAGACGCATGGACGCACAGTAGGAAAACAACGTGGGAATAAAAAATATGTATATAGTACACTGACTTCGAGTCAGTCGGTACACTTTTTTTTCTCTCTCTCTACAATTTAATTTTTCAAACAGCCATGGTACACTTGTTTGTGTCCCACGGGACAGAGTAAATTATTTGTATCAATTCCTAACTTGTATTCATATTGGAAGCTATGTTGTGCGTTTTGATAAAACTCTGCTTGACATGGTTGTGTTTAAGACATCTCGACATGAGCCAGCAAATAAATTAATGTTGTAGAAACAGTCATGACATTTAATTATGTTTCCGCGATTCCTCGGAAACATTGATAGACCACACACTGTTGGACTGAGCTATTGGACGTCGTGGACAAGTTAATCTTCAGTTATATCGTGCTAGATAAAGCATTCGCTATTGGGACTTCGTTGTAAAAAGGGACCGGTCATTTATTACAGGGGCGGGTGGGTCAGAGGTGTTTAATGCAGTACTGTTCAGAAAGTAATGACTCTCCCCTTACGCTTAGATGGCCCTCCCTATGTCCGTGTACATTTTGTTCATGACCCGCACTGAAAAACAAGACAAGATGCAAAAACACTATATTTTATCAGAAACTGGCCATTTTTTCACAACCCTCCCTGATTATGTGTATTTTTTGCTATGACACTCCCCTAGAGACTGTCCTATTTTTTGGTGACCCTCCCCTGATTCCCTCTGGACCCCCCTCCTCCATCAAAAAAAAAATGGGGGCACGGGCGGCCCAGTCGTCTAAGGCGCCGCAATTCGCTGTGCAGAGTTGCGTCCCTTTGGGCACGCCAGAAACCTATGATTGTGGGTTCAAATCCCGGTTCGCCCCGATTATGTTTCTAGGTTCGTCAGCACCATACCCGTGCTCGTGGGTTTCACAGAAGTGGTAACCGTCGAAGACCTGCATCACTTCGGGCTTTCCTCGAATGACCGGTCCATAAATGTTTTGTTGACCAGACTTGTAGCCGTGTTAATAGATCACGTGACTGTTGGACGTGTTCGGCTAGCTTGTCCTTTGGCGTCGTATCTATTGACCATTGACAGGGACTTATATCGACTCCTTGTTGTTGAAAAGAATGTGAGATAGTCGTGTTTGTCAACAATGACAGATGACTCATATGATGAACGTGTTTCAGTTTCTAGACACCTGATGAACATGCTTGAGTTCCTTACCTGCAAATCCCCTTTGTGAGAAAACGACCAAACTAATGGCCACAATTATATCTACATACACGTTTCCAATTTGACAAATTTCAACAAAATCGAACAAAATCAAGTATTCGAATTCGAGAGCTTTATGTGATAAATACTTCGGCCTGGTATTGCGACCGCCGTTATCACGGGGAAATAGACATAGGGTCCGTACGAACAATAATTACCGTATTTCATGTAAGGGACGACTCTCATGAACTGTTCTGCCCCGGCCAGTAATAAATGCCGACTCTAATTCCTTTCGAGGAAGGAATGAGAAGGGGCGGTTTTGTAGACTTTAGGTACTCACGTGGAATGAGGGATGATCATTGGCTGTAACCGGTCCTTGTTAGGGGCCCGGGGGACACGTGTGGCCCAGTTGTTTGGGGCACCGAAATTCGTTGTGCATACTTACGTCCCTTGGGCATGCTAGAAACTTATGATTGCGGGTTCGAATCCCGTCTTCGCCCTGACTATATTTCTACGTTTGGCAGCACTCTAAGACCGCCGTCACTTTGTGCTTTGCTGCCATCTCAAGTTGAAAGGTCGTGATATAACAGCAGTACTGTTGGAAGCGGCGTTAAATACTACTCGCCCTCTCGCTGTTAGTAATCCGATTCTTATTTTGAAACCTTCCCAATCAATCAATTGTTTATTAACGTCTCGCTTGTGTACATAAAACATTATAGTAGACATGTAAAAATAAGATGGGATCAAATGTACACAACCATCATCAGCGATTTATGAGAAACGGAAAGAAGTATAGCTCTGTACACATATATACAAAAATATCATAAAATTAAACAATATGCTAAAATGTTCTATTTTAAAAATAACAAAAAACAAAAACATTTAAAAAAAATAGTTTACTATATTAAATTTCTCTCCGTTAAAATAAAATGTAATAACAGGTCCTGGCAGTATAAAATATAAGACTTTGGGTTTTAAAAATCCATTTAAACTGCACATTATCTGGTAAAAGAAAAAAAATAGACTAAATAGTTTTAGAAGCAGCTTAACTATCCTTCCTCTCTGATTCGACCGCCTCCGTGGTCCACTGGTAGAGCGTCCGCCCGGAGAGGGGAAGGTCCGGGGTTCGATACCCGGTCGCGTCATACCAAAAGACGTTGAAAGATGGTATTTGTTGTTACCCTTCTGGCGCTCGACATTAAAGGGCTGAAACAAGGACTGGTCGGCTCGGAGTCAGTATACTATACATGTTAAACTGCGGAATGGTATCTCAGTGGGCTAGCACTATAAATCGGCATCAGTCCGGACTAGTACAAGCAGCCACACACACGTGCATGCACGTCGCTATATAAGTGCAATAATCTTGGACGTGACGTTAACCCAAGTTCACCTCACCCACCTCTTCTCTGATTCCTACATTGGGCAGATTAAAAGGGCGTGCAGCTCATCTTCGACTTGGTCCTTTCAATTGAAATAAGTCCTGTTTTCAAGTGATAAAGTTTCCTACCCTTTGTACCTTTCTCACATCGGTGAGCATTTAAAAAAGACATGTTTAGTATCATTTTGTGTGTGTGGGGGGTGTGGGGTGTGGGGTGGGGTGGGGTGGGGTGTGTGTGTGTGTGGGGGGGGGGGGGGGGGTGGGGGGTGGGGGGTGGGGGGGGGGGTGGGGGGGTGGGGTGTGTGTGTGTGTGTGTGTGTGTGTGGGGTAATACTGTACGGGCACGCTACCGCAAGAGATGCAACATCATGGTCAAGGGGAAGTAACTCTAAATCATATTGTGGCAGGCATGTTCAAGAAAGATGGCGTGCCTGAAATGTGCGAGTTTATTGCAAGTCTGCAAGGGTGTTCAAGGTAGAGTAACGTGATTTGCATGAACGCTTATGTCACGCGTTCTATTTTCCTTATGTGACACAGGTAATGACTTGGAAAGATTTCATCACGAACCCCTGCTTCATAACCTTCAATATTTTTAACTTTTGGCTAGTTGTTGCACATCATGTTTAGTTTGACATTTTTCAATACTTCCAGCCAGGGGTTAGGATTTTAAAAACCCAAATCGAAGCATAGTACGGGGGGAGTTTTACCAAGGACTTGGTGTGATATGTTGATATAGGTTTGAAAAATGCGTGTGGCAGGTGACACTTTGTGATAAGACTACTTGTGATTTTAGGCTCTTTCTGGAATGCTACCGGACTTCGTTGGTTTCAGACGTCGGTTCCAGTCACAGCCGGACAACAGTGGAGATTAGAGTAAGTGAACTTCACCTTTGGCATCATATAAAGGCTACTGGATGTTGAATCTTGGAGAACTTTACATGTGAATGGAATGTATATTCCAGCTATGACACGGTGGCCAGTCTGAACCAATCCAATCAGTGTCTGAAAACATGATTGAAAACCATCCACGCCATCAGTGAATGAGTACACTTATACATGTGACAGAGTGAGTGAGTTGGGTTTAACGACGCTTTTAACAGTATTCCAGTTATATCGCAGCTTAATGTGAGAGGAAAGCCCGAGTTGATGCAGGTCTCAGATGTTTACCACTAAAACCACGAGCACGGGTTTGGTGCTGACAAACCTAGAAACATAATCAAGGTGAACTGGGATTCGAACCCACAATCATAGGTTTTTGGCGTGCCCAAGGGACGCAACTCTGCACAACGAATCACGGCGCCTTAGACGACTGGGCAACCCGTACCCCCCACATGTCACAGAGCCTGACCATCCCATAACCATTGTTGTTAACATTGTAAACAAGAATGATGTCTGAAAACATATGATATGTCTATATATATATCGATATATATATATATATGTTACATATATATATATCGATATATATATATATATCGATATATATATATATATATATATAGACGTATCATGTTTTCAGACATTATTCTTGTTATGTTATTCTTATTATATGTTACATATATATATATATATAGACGTATCATATGTTTTCAGACATTATTCTTGTTTACAATCGTGGTCTAGTGGTAGAGCGTCCGCCCGGAGAGCTGAAGGTCCGGGGTTCGATCCCAGACTGCACCATACCAAAAGACGTTAAAATATGGTACTTGTTGTTACCCTGTCTGGCGCTCGACATTAAGGGGCTAAAACAAGGACTGGTCGGGTCGAAGTCAGTATACTGTGTCTGAGTGGGGTATGCATGTTAAACGGCAGCATGGTATCTCAGTGAGCTAGCACTATAAATCGGCATCAGTCCGGACTAGTACAAGCAGCCACACAAACACACACACGTGCATGCACGTCGCTATATAAGTGCAATAATCTTGGACGCGACGTTAAACCCCATTTCACCTCACCTCACCTCCCCTGGAGTTGGTTGACCGGCTTCGGGCATTGTGGTTTCTGTGATCCGCTCTTGATCTTCACAGTCCACCTTTGTCATGTTGGCAAAACAGGTTAGATACTACATGTACATGTAGTACATACGTCACTGACTCACTCTGTGTTTTCAGGGAGGGTCAAGCAGCTAACAACACCCGTTATGGGCCCCTGACTGACAGGCCAGACTACTCATTTCTTGGTAAGGAGTTTCAAATATGCACCAGGGTTCTATATATCTGTTGATTCACTAGAAAAACTTGCTTCATTTTAGAAATCAGGGGGTCCAACTAGCTTGTGAATAATATGAAAAGTTTATTTTGCCTCCCATTAACACGCTTTGGGTCACTGTGGGCGCAGGAAGTTAAAAAAAACGTACTCTAGAGTGGCCATATACTTACAGCACTGTCCATTTTCTCAATGCACAAAACTGTTTCAGGTGAATGATAAAGAAGTAAGTATATTCTCCGAAACGGTGTGCTCCTCTCTTCCTTAAATTATTAGTGTCGTTGGTTTTGCCAAGGTACATTTGTGTATACAGAATGGTACCTTGGTACACTTCTATGCTACCTGAGCCCAACAACAACCCCAACAGCATCTTTAACAGACGAAAGGACAAAGTTTGATCATAAATTTGTTGTGGCTTACCGTATTCGACGTTAAGCTCTAATAAGTGCCCACAGCGATATTTGCTAATCTATTGGCTAGTGAACAATACCAATTAGCACCCCTTCCGATTGATCAATGTACACAACACTTATTTATTCGTGTACAATACGCACTTGTGTGTTATATGCACCCTTAATTATGGGCAATTAAATTCTGGAAAAATGTATCTCTCATATATAAACATTTCAGGCTGTCAGCATGAACCACAAAATTTATCTTTTTTTCTCTCACCAAAATAATATTCTAATAAGAGCCCCCTATTTCTAATTTTGAGAGTGCCCTGGTCGCTTATCACGTCTAATACGGTAATGTTAAGCTGTGATAACTTATTGATGATCACGTCTTTATATGTCAGACATCTGACAAGAAGCGTCCTTATGAATTGTCAGATGGTAGAAGTTTCCAGTCTTCACATTTTGAAAAATAAGAATAATTTTAATTCCTTTGATTGCGAGGAAATGTTACCAGGAAATCGTCGGCGTAGATCGACAGTGGAGAGGATGACGTGACATTGATGTTATGTTTGTGTCCCCAGATGGCCGGCCAACTCCACTCAGTAAAGGTCAGATTAAGAGGAGGCGGAGGAGGATTGGAATAGCGGTAAGTGATCCCCTGCCTGATTGTCTCGAGACAATTGTCATTAGGACATTTCATGAATTAGTAGTGTTGATAGGACAATCTTTAAACCGTTACCAAATTTGATAAAAATAATTAGGACATTTTCAATGACAGTGTGTATAGTAAGACCTCATTAATCTGGAAAAAACTCTTTCTGGATGATGTTATGGGGATGATGGTACAGGTATGTAGGCATAGGAAATAAATACTCTGTACATACAATTTCACATTGAACAGGACAGTGTGGATTAACATGGTTTCACTGTATATGGGTCTTACAGATGTTGGTCATTAGATGTCTGTGGAGATTCTATGTGTGACTAATAATAGACAGGGAGACCAGTAGAAATTGACAAATAAAAGCTCCCTACAAACTACAAAGGACAACATGTGATCATTGTTTGGGCCTACAAGACTTAAAAATGATTAAAATTTATTGATTACATGTCTCAAACTTCCTGTCCTTTATTGTCAAGTGACTGAGTCACAGATGGCCAAGTGGCCCAAGATGTGACAATTTACTTTACCGAGTTGCATCCCCTTGTTGTGACAGAATCTGATGATCATGGTTTCGGATCCCCTTTTTTGAGTCACTATAGGCTTACCTCCAAGTGTTAACTGTTACGCCATATTATAATGGAAACATTGTTCAAAGAAGCGTTAAGCTAAACTCATTAATGGTGGAATTCGAAAACTTCTGATCTTAATGTCTTCAAATTTCAGAATAGGATTAAGTTCCTGGTGGGGGAGATGAACGAAGCTCGAGACAAATATGCGATGAAACAGGAGGAAGAGGTGAAACAAAAGGACGAAGCTGTGAAGAGAAGACTCAAGCCGAAGACAGATCAGTGATATCATCCATTGACTTGCGTGTCATCAGTGATATCATCTATTGATTTGCTTGTCATCAGTGATACCATCAGTAGATGTGTGTGTTTGTTGAAGAGGTGTTCCAGTTGTGGAAGGCACTGCAATTTGATGTGCAGAGTTGTGTCCCTTTCACATGTCAAGACCTATGGTGATGGGTTTGAATCCCGTTTCCTTTTGATCTTGTTTCTAGGTTTGTCAGCACCATACCTGTGCTTGTGGGTTTCAACCTGCGAAGATTGATGTTAGACTTAGTCTTCAGCAACCCATGCTTGCCATAAGAGGCGACTAACAGGATTGGGTGGTCAGACTCACCGACTTGGTTGATGCATGTCATCATATCCCAATTGCGTAGATGGATGCTCATCAAAGTGGTAAACGTCTGAGACCTGCATCACTTTGGGCTACCTCCCATATCAAGCGTACGCCGTGATATAATTGAAATATTGTTGAAAGCGGCGCTAAACCCAACTCACTCACTTATTTGTGAATGTGAACTGAGTGGCTCAGTTGGCCTACGCCAAGTTTCTGCCAGACATTCTCTGTATGAAGCGGAAGTAAAATCATTATTCAACTTCAAATGTTTGAGATGTTATCTGCGTGCAGTGGAGCACAAGAACACCTTGATGAGAGCCATCGACATGGCCCAAAAACACAACGGCTTCTGGACTCGCTTCTTGTGGCATGTGAGGATTGTCATGTCTGCACAAAGTTATAAATCAAGTGCAGCCATTTTAAATTCTCCCACTCATATGTAAATGCTGGAATTAAAGGTGTTTAGAATACATTTGATATCTTTCAATTCAGACTCCATGCACCCAACACATTTCACGTTAATCCCAAAGATAGAAACACACTTTGAATAAATTGACTGCATTTATAACCTGTTCACTTGCCTGTGACCTGTGAAGATCCGGGGTAGAATAGGTCTCAAACCATGCTTGCTGTAAAAGGTGACTATGCTTGTCGTAAGAGGCGACTAACGGAATCGGGTGGTCAGGCTCACTGACTTGGTTGATGCATGTCATTGTATCCCAATTGCATAGATCGATGCTCATGATGTCAATCACTGGATTGTCTGGTCCAGACTCGATTATTTACAGACCGCTGTCATATGGCTGGAATATTGCTGAGTGTGGCGTTAAACAACAAACAAACAAACAAAACCTGACTGAAATTACAAATGGCACAATGCTTTGTGCTGTGCAGTAACAGAGCCACCTGTCTGGTTGAGACTGAGACAACATGCATCAATGTTGAGGTTTGCCGTATTCCCAAACTAGGACTGAATTGGTCTACCGATTTGAAAGTATTGCCCACGGGGATTCCAGGTTACAATTATCTCCAGCAGCCTATGCTGGTGAGTGAGTGAGTGAGTTGGGTTTAACGCCGCTTTTAACAGTATTCCAGTTATATCACGGCGTGTCAGCTTAATATGGGAGGAAAGCCCGAAGTGATGCAGGTCTCAGACGTTTACCACTTCGGTGAAACCCACGGGCACGGGTATGGTGCTGACAAACCTAGAAACATAATCGGGGCAAACCGGGATTCGAACACACAATCATAGGTTTCTGGCGTGCCCAAGGGACGCAACTCTGCACAGCGAATCGCGGCGCCTTAGACGACTGGGCCACCCGTGCCCCCCTTTTTTACTGGTGATAGTGGTGACTCAATAGATGGGGTCAGACTTGGTTGATTATCATTGTACCCTGACAGTGGGACCTTCCATTGTCACTGGATTGTCTGGTCCAGACTTGATAACTTACAGTCTGTTGTCATGTAGCTGGAATACTGGACCAATGTCATCTTGGATTCCCCATGTGGTGTTGAACAGATTACTTTGAACTTTTGAATATGGTATGGATGAAAACAAGACCACAAGTTTATGACATGGTTTAATGTCAATATTGAAAATGACATGACAGACTGATTAAATCAGTCCAAGATGGAGCAATAGAGAGACAACTTGCTGGATCATACACTCTAGTCCTATATTCTCATTCAACACATCTTCACTCCTCAAAACTTGTCAATTTCCATAGACCAAAAGCTTCATAAGTGGCCGACAGAACACTTACTGGCATATAGTAAACCTGAACACAATGATATCATCACTGCCGATGTGGCATTGACCAATACTGAGACTACTTCAGGATAGGGCTGGTTAAAAAGATCGATAATCGTCAATGGAAAGAAATGTTAAGGATATGAAACTGCTGCCTTCGATAATAACTCCCACAAATTACTGTGATGAAATAAAGTTTACATTTACCGAAACAGACTTGTTATGGTCAATAATGTCAATTGTCCAAGATGGAAAGAAACTGTTTTTCAAATGTCAACAAAGTAATCCATGCAAAAATGTGTTGCTGCTCACCAGCGGTGTGAAATATGTTGATTTCTTTCGGGACCTCTTTTGCATATTTGGTTTTCCTTCTCCGATAATTGATCAAGATTTAGTCCGCGATTATCGATCTCTATGAATTAACTCGCCAGCCAGCTGTACTTCAGGATAGTGCAGCTGTGAAGCTCACAACCACTCTATCATTTCACTCATAAGGGTCGGAATAAACCAACATTTTGCAGCTTATCTCCATATTTCAAGAATTTCTGATGTACGAATCGAAAACAGATATATATATTCAGATTTGAAGAATCTACAAATGACAAGGCAATTTGGTCAAAGCTTTTGAAAGAATTGTTAACTTTGAGGAGTTTTTAACATGCTTAATCAGCTTTATGATGCAACTACAAATGATACAAAGCTCGTGTTTGATAAATTTCAGAAGTTAGCGAAAGATTTTTTGTTAAATCGTGTTATTCTGAACGTTTTAAGCAGGAAATCACGATATATATTAAAAATATGGAACTTCGCGAATGTATCGTGCTAGGTTACGAGCTGTGACAAAGATTTTTCATGCATATATTTTTGCATTAAACGTTGTGTCCGAGCCGAGAATTCAAGGCGACGAAAGCCGAGATGTCATTTGACTTACATTACACGCGATCGCACAAAACGATGGAAATAATAACTTAGATGTAAGTTTGATTACTTTTAGATATATTTTTGTTGATTTTATTTATCACTTTGTATAATATATTTAAAGATTTGCTTAAAATAGTCTATATTTTGCTCTTTGACATGTTCGATGCGGACCCGTTGTCGAAATGTGTGTCCGAGAATTTTATTTTCAATAACATCGCGGGAAATAGTGAATAATTTTTTAATTTATTGATAAAAAATGATAAATTAGAATGGAATACGTATTTCAGACATTGTGAAATATGACAGATTTAATAAATGAATGATATTACAGGTAGATCTAGGTCCATAAAAATATATACTATTTTGACGTGACGTGAGATAAACACATAGGCCTATTGATGATTTGAGATTTGCCGAGCGCGCTCCCCCGCCTCGGCTTCGGTTAAACGGCTCATCGTCTATAACGCCCACCAATTATTTGGACCCCATTGGTAGCGCAATAGCGAGCGATCACTGTACTGTAACCGAGGTAAAATCTACTCGGTGACATTCTTTTGACAGAAAACCAGATTTTGATATTTGTGTTGAAAATCAGACCAGTTCAGAACATTCTTGCAGTCAGACATGACTTTACTAATCTCTCACATTTTGCTCAACGAAATACAAACACAAGTTTGGAGTTACATTTCATAACAAAACATTCATATTTCAGCATATATTCTGTACAACAGCAGGTAGAGTTGTCAGACATCCTACTGGTCCAGAAAAACTGTCAAGAAAATACCTCAATCATGCAAGCTTCGAGGACTGACTTCCAACATTGCAAATGTGTATGTGACAGGTCGTGGGGAAAGCAATCATGGTGTGAACGGAATGATTCAAACAAAAGCTGGAAGGGGAGACAACTGAAAGGGGAGACAACTGGAAGATTGCCAGTAGTCACTGACACTGACCGATGGGTCTCTATTGGTCAGCAATATTGATCCTCTGACCCAGGTAACCTACACTTGACCCACGAGCATTGACATCAATCTGAAGCTTGGCATCAGAAAACAGTACAATTACTTGCTTTCTGAAGTCAAGAATTGGCATTACTTGAGTGAAAAAAACATTTTTTTGAGATTCCACGCGATTGCATTTACCATGTTCAGAAAGTATAAATATACCGAGGAGTCAAGTTGTGTCCCAATGACACAACACTTCATGTTGTGCATATTGTACTTCTTTTCAAGTATTGACCAATGGACGTCCACACAGTTTCACCACTATTATCAGTTGTCGCCAAGTAGTATACACACATTCTGTGTACAGTGAAATATTAACAGATGCCCTGTGCCACATGAAAGATCTAAGGTTTACATAATCATGGTGAGAATATGCAAGCATCAAATAAAATTGAAGTTGCCATTGTTACTGAATTGGATTTACATGCACATTAACAACCCAGGTGTGAGAGAGTAAAGTTTTTCTGCTATCAGCTTGAAGTGGTCAACAACAAGAGGGAAGCAGGTAGTAGACATGTACCACTTTGGTGCAACCCACAAGCATGGTATGGTGCTGACAAACCAATGATAAGAAAAAGGCCAATTCAAAGGATTTGAACCCATCATCAGCAGATCCCTGCACAGTGAAGGGACACAACTGTGCACAGCTAATTGCACAGCTAATTGCATCACCTTGTATCACCAATGCCCACTTAACCCTGGACCTGTGAGCACTAGCAACTGACCCCTGTGTGACCGAGGCTAATACTGTGGTAAGGCTAGAAAAAGGGAAGCTACTCTGGTTTCATAAACACTATAAAATGGAATTTGTAAGTTATCAAACTTTAAAACAAAAGGCGTCGAAATTTGATACTTTAGCCTGAACCGACAGTTAAACAAAAAAAATGTTATAACTACCCGGTATTAAAGGCAATAATAATATTGGCCAACTGACTCATGAGCAGAACACAGGTTTCAGAATGTCATATTTTCATAAAACAAAAAACTATTTTTTAAACTGTTTCTAACCAAGGTTTCTAAAACATCGTGTTTTGTCTTTGTGGCACTAAACCTGGTGTCCTGTATGACATCAATTATGTGACCCATCCACCAAAGTTCACAACACCTTGTATTTTCATAAATAATTTGTTAACTTTCATGTTTTCACTGTACATCTCTTAACACCAATGCCAATACACAAAAGCAAATTCCTACAAGCTAATTTACAGCAGGTACCACTAAATATATACTACTAGTACTGCCATGGTGCATCTAGAAAAAAAAATCAAAAGAAAGGATTATAGAACATTGTTGAAGCAGTGTTGAATATTACTACCACTGCTTAAGTTCTACAAAGACATATTTAGATGTATATACACCATTGAATACTACTACCTAACACAATGGCTACTGGTAAGAGACAAATAAAACACCAGCATTCTAACTGCCTGTAAGATGCAAGGAAATATTCATATGTACCTAAAAACTGAGATCACTACAGATTTAATACAAGATAACCTAACCAGCGGCATTTTCAACCACCAGATGTCACTGCAGTGCAACCAGGGTCAGAGGTCAGAGGTCGACGTCAATGTTGGTCAAGAATCACTTTGTACACTTTCAAAACATCACTTTTGTATGTTACAAGACAAGAGTAGACATGAACTCATAACCATTCTTCACAGTGCACCGAAAGTTCAGTTTCGGTTTAAACCTACACTTGTCATATTATAAAGGTCACTAAATAAGAAACTTTAGTAACAATAAAAAGAAATCTTCAATGTTTTTCCACTGTAGTTGGGGGGTGACTGTTCTGTAAGCACAAAAAACGAGGTGTTCAGTTCAACATTTGCGTGGTGTGTAGATAAAGAGCACTTGAGCAGAATGCATTATGGTCCTTCCTGTTCAAGACAGTTTCAGCTGCGCGAACTCTGTTGCCAGTTTCAAGGCTTCCTGCAGGGCCCCGACGTTGGATCCCGTGGCCTGTGCGGACACGTCTTTGCCACCACCTTTGCCCTTGATTGTGGGCACGACGTGGTCAACCCACGCCTTTGCGGTCAGGCCATTTGATGCAACATTCTGGGAAAAAATAATTGGTATATTTGTAGACAAGTTCTAAAATGATTATCATTTTATATTTCTGAATACATAATTTGTGAAATCTAAAGATATTGACTTTAACTGAAGATCTAACAATACTTATAACTGGTGATTACCTTATCACAGCTTGACCAGATCAGATCACTTGCTTTCTGTCTTGAGATTTTGCTGTTACTTAAAGTGGCGACTACTGAATTTGGGGATATGTAACTGTACCCTAACTACTGTTTGTCACAAGATGCTACTTAACTGTATCAGTCAGGCTTTAGGACATGGCTGCCTGCACATTATTGGGGCCTGACAGCGTGTTCAAATACCAACATGACTGACAGGTCTTTATAGGTTAATACTGCTAACAGCACTCGCTCCCTCCCTCCCTCACTCACTCTCACTAACCCCAACACCCATCAGCTCACTCACTCACTACCTGACCAATCACTGTGGTTGATGTACATTTAAACATTCAAAAATCTTAAAGCTGACTGGGTACCCAAAAAGTCAAAATAAATCAATGTTCTGATCAACTCATGAAGTGATATAGTTTCAACACAATAACACGTTTACTGAATGCGAACTGCCAAATCACACATTCCTTCCTATTCACCAGGCACATACCTTGGGAACACAGGACATACACAGGATCTTGCCAGACTCCTCGTCCGTGGAGAAGAACATGGCGGCAGTCTCCGGACTTGAAGCCTTGTATTGTTTCATTGCAGCGTCAAGGGCCTGGAACAACATGGCGGAAACATTACTGCATCCATCAACTGGACAGTCAGCTCAGATTACTTCCTGGTATGTCAATATTCAATCCATGCATTTTACAGATGCAATAACCCTTCTTAAATTGAAGTAAGCTTTGAGAAGACTGTGTAGTTCGAAACAAAGTATGCAAGTCAAGGAGTTTTGTTATAAGTTTAGTGTTACAAATGAGAGATTTAGAGGTCCTAGATTCAAATCCTCATGCAGCAACCTTCATGGAAGTCAGGGCCATCCTTGATCTTAAACACCGTCTTGAACACCATCTTGCTATGATTCAAGTCAGGGATGAATACTGACAGAATGGGATGTACATACAATTTTGGTCTCCTTGCTCGTTACCAAAGATCTGAGGACATCCCATTACAGGTCATGTCAGAACAACCAACCAATGAAATGACTGACAGGTCGACACTAGCAAGTTCTTGATTGGCTGAGATTGTATGGCAGTACTTCCCATGGGTTACGGAAAGTCTCTTCCGTTACAAATGTTTATCCCTTTGTAGCGAGATAGACACTGATTTTGATGGAATCAGTCATTCAGCCACTAACTGAATTTTTCGAGGTTGCATTATTAGAAGACATTTTGTACTTTCACTCTCACGATTGGTCGAATGAAAAGTCGTTCTGACGTTACCTTAAATGGAATGTCCTCGGATCTATGTATAGCAGTGGAGAGCACTAAGATCTGATTTTAACGAGATTGAACTGACCTTGGCATTAGATCCTGCCTTGAATTCATGGACGATGTATTTGATGTTTGGCTCGGTTTCAATCATCTGCTTAGCTTGTTCCACAACCTACGGGATAAGAAAACAGTGTGTGTGTCAGCAGGTCCGTGATTTCAACAGGTGTTACAATGAATCACAAGTCTTGAGATAACCTCCCAAATGCACCCACCACCAAACCAAGGCCACCATTCCTTGTGGCAGTCAAGGTGGTATTTTATGTGTGTGTTGTTATGTACAAGTAATGTATGTGGCAGTAGAAAAGGTTGTAAATATAGCTTTAGTAATTATCAGTTGCAACAAACGATAGAATGGACACAGGCATGTTTTAAGACAGTTGACAGGGATAATATGCGTGAGTGTACTAACATTAATTTCAGGGCCTGTAAAGGTGGACCCAGCATTTTTAAAAGTGTGGGGTCCAAAATATCAAAATCCTCTCTCTAGATCATTTTACTGCCTAAAACATACTACATTTTATTTTCAAAAGGGGTAGGGGAGTGTCCAGAGCCCCTGGACTACGCCTCTGGATCCCCTCTGGATCTGCCTATGGCCTGTTCCTTATTGCTACTGTCACTTATTTGATCTACTGTCTTGCCCTTTGGATTGTAAACCTAAAACTGTGTGAGTGTGTAAATATGATTTTGGAATCATTCATTGATCTAGTGTGATGTTTCACAGATTTCACGAATTGATTCTGTGCATTTTGATTTCTTGGCCAATCTCTGCTGTCAATTTGGACATCACCTTGTAACAGTCTGAGTGAACTGTGTGTGGAACAACTTGCTTTCATAACCTCCAACAGCATGAGAGTTCCTTTGTAACAGACACTTAGAACTCTTCTTTAAATATATTCTACTCTGACATTCTCTAACCTCGGTCATCACAGCAGCTTTTCTGGCCTTGTCGAGGTCGTCCATCTTCTTCTTGAGCCCCTTCAACTCTGACCTCAGTTTGTCCCGCTTCCAGTACGAGATGCTAGACTGGGACACGTCCTGTCAAGGGTTCCAAAGTTTGGGATTAATGCCACTTTCATCACTTCAGTATTTCAGAATGTGGCTTAATTAAGGAGCCAGACAAGGTCATGACAAGCAGATCCTGGCATGACAGCAAAGGGATGTAACTCTACACTGTGAATGATAGCCTCCTGTTTGATTGTGTGTGCTATGGCTTCAAATCACTGGTCATTCCAGTTTAGCTATTTCTAAATGAGAAGTTAAAATTGTTTCACGCCAAAGTCAGAACTATTCCAGCTGTGTCAAGATGACCTGCTGAATAATCAAGTCTGGGTGAGGTAAACTAGTGGTTGATAGCAAGAGCAACGTTCATGCCATTCTGGGAAGATTACAATCAGCCAGGTGATACACAGTAATCACCTGACCCTCGTCAATCTTACAACAAGCATGGGGGCCTGGAAGTATATCAGGGCTGTATTCAGAAAGAAAGCTGGGACAAACAGCTCTGTACGATGTGCGTTATGTAGGAGTACATCATCATTATTATGTACATCATGGTACGTACATTGTCCAGCTGTACGATGAGGGAGCTGAGTTCCCTCTCGGTTGCCTCCATTGTCTTTGGGTTTCGTTCCACCTTGGCCTTCAGTTCCCCGAGAGACTTCTCCAGCATCTCACTCCGGTGCGTCGCCTGAAACCATCGTAGACAGAGTTACTTACAACCACAAATACACTTATCTTTAAACATTTATGTGTTTTTTGCTTAACGCCACAATCAGCAATATTCCAGCTATATGATGACGGTCTGTATATAATCGAGTCTGGACCAGACCATCCAGTGATTGACATCATGAGCATCAATCCACGCAATTGGGATACGATGACATGCATCAACCAAGTCAGCGAGCCTGACCACCCGTTCCTTTAAGTTGCCTCTTACAAGAAGCATAGTCATCCCTTATGGCAAACTGGGTTGCTAAAAGACCTATTCTTACCCGGATGTTCACTGGCATACCTTAAACATTTCTATTAATACATATAATAAGGACAAAACTGCACACAAGATTATATCCCAAGCTCCACTGTGCAGAATTTGATTTGTACATACAGCATAACACTAAAGCCATTTTTGCACAGACTGGTTTCAGGATGTAATTGTGCTGCATCACTTTTATGATGTGTTGTAGCATATACCTCTTGCAATCTATTCCACTGAATGATGTTTTCTTGATTGCCATTTTTTGCTTCCCATATTGCCAGCACTCAATGTTTCTATGTGACATGGTAATAAATGCCTTATTTTTTAGATTTAATATTAAATATTAAATGGATATTTGTGATGCGCTCTAGGCTATCCGCTGACAGATGTCAACATCTAACACCATCATTACCCTGGTGAATGGATCAGTGTGCACTCGATTTTCTTTCTCAGCTCCCTAGGGAATATACAACCCAGGCTGCCAATGAGGAGCTAGAGGTTTAAGCCACTTAACCATGTGATTTGTTTCCCTATACCGACAAGAAATCAATTTAAAAATAAAAAAATAAAATTCAGTTTGTTTTGTCTGTATCTGTGTCTGTGTCTGTGTCTGTGTCTGTGTGTGTTTTACACCACTTTTAGCGATATTCCAGCAATATCATGGCAGGGGACACCAGAAATGGGCTTCACACATTATATGAATGTGTCAGGAATCGAACCTGGGTCCTTGGTGTGACGAGCGAACGCTTTAACCACTAGGCTACGCGGCAGCCCGTCAAACTGATTAGAAGTCAGTGCCAACTCATTCTGGATACATCAATTGTTCACATCTGCCACAGTCTGATACCACAAACTTTCCTTTTCATGAAAATATCAATATATCACTATCGTGTATACTTCTGTCATGAAAGCAGGGATCCAGAAACCCGAAACCGGTCTGTACGCCGGTCTTGTCAAATGGTGACTGCATAATGTCTGATTTGAAATAGTGATAAAAGCAAAAAAGTGTTACACTTATTGGGACACTGAAACCAAGATGGCCACTATGACCCTCACCTTGGCAGCCTCTGTCCCTGTGAGAGCAATGATCCTCCTGATTCCCTTGGCGATGGCCTCCTCTGTCTGTATGACGAACTGACCGACGTGTCCCGATCTCCGCAGATGCCTGGACATCGTATAGTTGGGGGTAAGAAATCAGAAACTACTCTCAAAGACATTCAACAACTGTTTGTGTTCATGTGACAAAGAATGAGGTCCCAAGAACTCAGTGACAGGAAAGGGCACCTCCCCTTTTGAAAACCAAATGAAGTATATGTATAGGCAATCCCCACCCCCACCCCCCAATGAGAGAGGATTTTCATACTTTGGACCTAAACATGGATTGGGTTCACGCTATAGCCATATCCCAGCAGGCTTTGCGTTACCAAGGTTACACCTGAGCCAGGAAAACCACAGGTCAGTAGTCTGAGCAACACTCTTCACCTTCTGAGGACGGTGATAGACATCCATCAGTGTGAAATGACAGACAATCAGCCTGATGACAGTCAAGAACTCCTGGGCTCAGTTCAACAAACCAATATTAGCGCTAAGGTTATAAGGGCTGGGACGATACACCAACTAAGCGATCCGATACTTATCAGGACAATTTGCTCATGGTCCAATACGGATAACGATACTTGCATGTGCTCTTACCTGTGGTGCATAAGCAATCTTTTTCATACACAGGATGGCCAATTACCTTGCACACTAACAATTTACAGTTGGCAGTGTCAAGTATGGCTCAATGGATGAAAATATTTACGTCTTTTTACTTGTGATTAGTGTTTGGTGCAACATTAATAAAAGAATATAATGAAGGTAAGAATAGATACTTTTTACTCAGTGTGAGATTGTGATTGATACTTGTATTGAGAAGTAAAAAATCGCGATCCACCGATACATCGGTGTATCCTCTGACTACGAATGGTTATTGAATGTCTACGTAAAAGTATGGCAGTTTTGGTCATCTTAGTAATAAGGTTTCGGTGTTGAATAGAGCCAAGGGTTCAAAAACCCAAAGTCTACCCAAATACATCTGCAGTTGTAACCAGCAGGGGGCAGTGCAGACATTTTCTGCCAAAACATTAGCCAGAAAGTCCCAAAACAGAGGACTTGTCATGATATTTAGAGTTCTATTGCATGTGTTGCTAAAATCACTCTCACTGCAGAAATACTTTTTCTGATTTCCATGCAAAGTTAATGGTAAGGGTAAAGAATTGTTTGTTTTTTGTTTAAGCCACAGACAGCATAGGGGTAAAACGATACAGCAAGGTCATGACACGATACGTATTATGATCACAATATGATATGTAGTGCAATGCATATATTTACGTCAAATCGTGTGGTAACTTCTTACTATAAATACTCAGACCAGGTTCAAAAGGAAAAGCTACCTGGAGCCTAGTGTTCGTAGCGGCTATTCTTAGCAGTGAACTTGAAACACTAGTTACAACACATTTTGCCACAAAACTCTGAGGTCATTAAACGAGTAAGTACAATGTACCTTATTTTAGCAAGTGTACTGTCTTGTATTGATACAGAAAAAAACCTCATTGTGTGTCATATCGTTGCATGAAAACACACAATGCACCAGTGCAATGATGTATTGTTTCACCCTTAAGTCAGCAGTATTCCAGCTACATTGATGGGCCTGTTTGTTCAAGAAATAATGAAGTTTGGGTCAGATGAAAACGTGGTTGATGTTATGAGCAATGCCAGAGTACAACAACATGAAATCAACCAAGCTCATGACATATTGAATTGTGTGATAGGCATTTCTTACAAGTTGACGGATGACAAACATGACAAAGTAGACCGTTGTAAAGCAAGACTGAATAATGAAAATGGTACAGAATGAAAAAACACACAAGACACCCCCCAACAGACACCCCCCCCATATATTCAGCACCATGTTCATTATTCAGCCTTGCTTGACAACGGTATAAGGATCTACACCAAAAACATCGCTATTACAGTAAAATAATGGAGTTGTTATCCATAAAGTGTCTACTTTGTGATCACATGTTGCTGCCTCACAATGTTAGAGTGCTATATGGGTGCCCACTGTTCGAAGGCAAGGAAGATCTGTAAATTCTTACGTTCCACCACAGAACTCGACTGATGTGATGGAGGCACCAGGTCCCATGGGGTCAGCCACAAGGTCCTCCACCGAGATCCCCACTGACAGGATCCTGACGGGGTCCGGGTACACCTTGAAACAAACAGAACCCATAGCTCAAACCATTTCTAGGGCAATATACATCCTGCCTAGGCCTGGCCTTGTAACATAGTACCAGGTGGGTAGCTGAAACCATTTCTAGGGCAATATACATCCTGCCTAGGCCTGACCTTGTAACACAGTACCAGGTGGGTAGCTGAAACCATTTCTAGGGCAATATACATCCTGCCTAGGCCTGACCTTGTAACACAGTACCAGGTGGGTAGCTGAAACCATTTCTAGGGCAATATACATCCTGCCTAGGCCTGGCCTTGTAACACAGTACCAGGTGGGTAGCTGAAACCATTTCTAGGGCAATATACATCCTGCCTAGGCCTGACCTTGTAACATAGTACCAGGTGGGGAGAGGAAACATATTTCTGTGAATCATAATCATCGACTGGTGGATTGATACACAAGATAAGATTTGAGTTAACAAAAAATATATAGGCAATCAGAGTATTTACCTTATTTACATTCTTATTCTGACACAACAGTATGCAACTACTGGCGTGGAGAGATAAGTTAAAAATCAATAGTGTTTGTACAGCACTAATCAGAGTTGCTTTGACTGCCATTTCGTCCAAACCTAGTCGCCTTTAATACAAAGTTGTACAATATTTCAGTTATATATCACAGTGTGTCAGATTACTGTGGGGGACAAATGCTGACATTTACATCCCAGCATGCAACATTGCATGGGGTTTCTTTGGCTCTCAGACAAACCGTCACATTCCCGGCAAACCTGGCATTTGAACCCACAGTTTCGGGTAATAATAAGGGATGAAACACAAATGGCGGCACCTTAGACCACTGGGCCACCTGTGAATCCCTAAAGTAAATACTAGCAGTTCCTCACCTCATCAAACACAGCGCGGAGACCCTGGATAGACTTGGCGTCGGCCAGACTGGCTTCTTTTGCATAGACCACTTCATTCTTGGCAGCCATCTTGTTTACTTCTTCCTCGACACTCTTCACTTCTGCTACTGTCATGGCGCCCTAGAGACATTACAGGAAGCGAGTTAAGTTGTGGTGTAATGTTGATAACTCTTTTAGTTAGAGGTAGAATTTGGACAAGAGTTACGTCCTTTGGGGAAAATGCCATGCGGTCAGATTTTGAACTGCCAATAACAGAGATGGGTGCAATTGCGGGAGATTGATGTGTTTGAAATGTTTCCTTGTGTAATGCTGCACCCTTGGCCGATCCATGATGTTTTACGTACATATTTGCGTACATGTGACATATATATATTTATCATATAATGGGTAGGATTCTCGGCAGGATAAAGCCAACAGATAAAAACGATATCCGTTGGGGTCATATGCGGATAGAGATGTAAATACCAAAGGTCAAGTAGGACTCCTTTCACTGTTTATAAACAAACATGGCGTCGCCCTCGTCATTCGGCGATCGAGTCAGAATTAACCATCGTGAATCTGGATAAACTACTGGGATAATTGCTATCATTATCAAACGAACAGTCTAATATACTGAAATATACAGTGTCTAACTGTGACGTAGCTAAGGCATTTTATAAGTTTGGGCAACTTTCGAGATATAAATTTCGAAACAATTTTGCGAGGGCACGAGGTCTAGCCAAGTGGGATCAGTAGCCATATCTGTGCTTGTAGACCTCTGTGGCTTGAAACCTTCTCCACAAATCAAAATGGTTGGATTCGGCCGAAATATGTTTGAACTGTTACCTTGTTTCCATTTGTCGCTGTGTGTACATCTGACTACACTTCTTAACGTTATGAAAGGACAGACCGACTGTCAACAACGTCTGACCGTGGCCGTGACTCATAGACTAGGGTTAGAGTAGCTTCCCTTTGACAAAGGGCAGTTACTCTAGCGGACAGACCGATGGATTGCCACGAAAGGCAATTAAAAACAACTCTTGTTTTGCTTCGCCACTGTATATGAAACAGATTTCAGTTGGAACTATATTGGCTACTGTCACAGTCCTACTGACACATCACTTACCCTGTCACGTAATAAATATTAATGCGGGCATTCCAGGAAAACTCGCAATGTTTCGGTAATGTTTGTGAGAGAGGGAAAGCGATTTTAAAGCACAGAATTAAAGAAGGACATTATATGATAAAGAGGTTATCACACTTGTGTGTTTGGGGATGGTAAATATCCTGTATTAGGAATAAACACTATGTATTTAGCTCGCCAAGGCTCGCTAAATACAATTTTTATTCCTAATGCAGGATATTTACCATCCCCAAACACACTCGCGGGACAACCTCTATGACTTGACAGTTACAATTTGACCCTGTGCGAGCCTGAAACTGCGATGATGTCTGACAGAATAAACATTGTTTTATATTTGCTCCTTCGGGTTTTCGTTTGTTGTGTGACATCAACTTGGAAACAACTACAAGTGGAGAAGGTAAACCTGCGTTAATCAGTCAGGGAAACGACCATCCAGTTTAGGCTCACTGAGTTAATGCAGGTCTCACACGTTTACCACTTTGACGAACCCCACATAAATCAGGGCGAACCACGATTCGAACCAGCAATCATAGTTTTCTGGTAAGTTAATATGAATATGTAACAGACTGTAAATATACAAAACCCAAACAACTTCCAAACATTAAAAAAATAATTTGTAAGTTGAATGATACAGAACTAACCTTGGCAGTGAAATCAAAGCGAAGCCTGTCTGAAGCCACGAGGGACCCTCGCTGGTCTGCTTCCTTCAGTACTGCCCGCAGGCCGAAGTTCAGCATGTGGGTGCCCGTGTGGTTCTTCATCACAGCACACCGACGATCCTGAACAGTAAACTCACTGATTAATATATGTTTCATATTGGGAAATAAGAATTGGAATAATTTGAAAATCATTTCAGACTGCATATTATCCAAGGAAGATCTTGGCTGGATTTGTTTACCTGGTATGTAAATATATCTTAGCTGAGGTCTTTGAAAGGCATTTAGAAGTGATACACATAAGGAAGAGATTTTCTGACCTGATGAAGGAGTAAGTATGTACTCCTCAACGTTGTGTTCCGCGAAATAAAGAAGTTGACATCCTTAAATTCTCTTTAAATTCAATCACATATACATTGGTCCCTCGCTACAACGCTACCATTGGGGTCCAAATTATTGGTGGGCGTTATAGACGATGGGCCGTTTAACCGAGGCAGAGGCGGGGGAGCGCGCTCGGCCAATCTCACGATCTTCGCCTTGTCTCGCACATTGCAATAATACAAGTTGTTTACCGTTCATAGTGTAAAAATATATATCCATTATGTTTTCGCCGTTTGTTATTATTTACAAGCCTTAACTGTCACAGTCAATGTGAATTTAGTCTACTTTCATGAAAATATCGATCGATAATGGTAGTAACAGACGCTATGAGTGAAGAGCCAATCACAATTCATTACACAAGTACAGAGTGATTCAGTGGCATTGATTGGTCATGTTGCTTAAAATAAGGAAAACGAGAGTTTTGACCAGAACTATGCGCATTCATACACATTCATGCAAATATAGATACACAAGCCAGATTAATTGGTTTGATACCGTTACTTGATCCAAATCAAAAGGAATGACCGCCCTGTTGTGGCAGCAACTACATGTGAGTTGACAGTGTCGCCTCAAATTGGATTGCCAACTAATTAAGAAAATAAACTTCGCTTGTGGTTCTCTTTTATTGCATGCATGCGCTTCTAAGATCAAAGGATGTATAGTGTGAAAGGTTAACTAGTAGAACAATCGTATTTCCGGGACTTGCTGCGGATGTTTTCAAACAGATTATTAGAACTCCATTCAGCGATAAACGGTTGATTATGCAATGAGAAGCGTTATGTGCAAATGAACAACGAACAACAATACAATCACGATCCCATCATACATACTTCATCTATGGCAAGTTTGACAGCATCGCCGACTCGGAGCGTGCCTTCGATGGTTCCTATGTGCAACACGTAGCCGCCCCGGACCTGCACATTCTTCACGCGGAACTCCACATCCTGGCCAACACACATGGTAGCTTTTGTTATTTAGATTATAGCTACAATCAGCCAAATTACAGCTATATGATCATGATGATAGCAATCTTTATATAATAATCAAGTCTGGACTAGACAATCCAGTGATTGATATTATGAGCTAGATCTACTCCATCAGGATACCAGGACACACAACCAAGGAAGTTACCAAGTCTGACTACTCGATCTGTTTCGACAACTTATGACCAGACTACGCTGCTGGGGACATATTCCAACCAAATAAAAGACATGACACTGAAATCAGAGCTCCAGATAAGCTGCGTATCTGCGTAAAATACGCATCAGAAATGCAGAAATACGCAGTAAAATAAAATCCAAGCGTATCAAATACGCAACGAACATTACAGATACGCTTCAAAAATAAAACTTGTGCGTATCATCAAAATATTGTGAAGTAACCCTCCATATTTGATTAGCAAATCTGCAACGTATTTTGAAATTATAAACGGGCATTCCGTCAACCTTGCCAAGCTCCACGATGACAGTTACATCATGATCATTTGCCATCACACTTTCTTGTGGAAGTATCGTGGTATTTTTTAGTCCTATGAAGCTCTCGAACCCACACAACACCAGTTTGCAGGGACTAGATGAATAGTGTTTTTAAATATTTAACTTAAATACCCACATGTGTAAAAACTAGTGGGTAACAGAAATTTGAATACCCAGATAGAATTACTGATACCTAATGATTTTAAAATGCATGGGTAAAATACCCACAACACCAAAAGCTTATCCGGAGCTCTGCACTGAAATCATTGGCAGCTGTAAGGCCATAACTGTGACAATGTTTTGGGGTTACAATAGAGGAGCTGGAGGCAGTTGCTTCCTTTAAGTCATTTTTCTTAAAGGTGTTAAATGGCAACTTTCTCTCCAAAACTAATGTCCAAGGTATTCTCTAGTGGTGCTAGCATATTTGTACTTACTGTCCACGGCTCAATTTAGCAATAAGGGGTGGAATTTGGGGCTAGCCTGCTAACCGGAGAATGTCAGTCTAATGTTGATTGTATCTAGAGGACTAGTAGAAATCTCAGGCCTTTAGGGGTATGTTATCATTATTCGGGTTCGCAAAGGTTTAAAGCTGTGTTGCATCTATGACAATGGCAGCAAATCCTATCAGGGTTCACAGAGTTTTATCATTTCGAGCTATGGTTAGGAGGATATTCATTTGGAGTAAAGATATATTAAATGTTAACGCAATTGTGTATATATATTCCAAGATCTCATGAGAGTGAGACCTCATTCAAGATGGGGGTGTCCAACAAGTGATTGTGTTCGATGTTGCCAGAATAACTTGTACTGGAATGTAAAGTTTTGTGTGATTGTATATGTCACATAACTGAGGTAGTAAGCTCGGGGAAGGGCTGCTAGACGTTAGTCTTGATGAGAGTGCTGCTGTGTGCGAAGGTACATGTCTGTAAGTTTAATGGAACCAAGTAAACGACATTGATGCAAGCCATCATTGCGTCATCACTGTATTATTCCGATCTAACAAATATGGTCAAAAAAAGCTTCATCACAAAATGGCACATCAACAATTGAGTGAGTGAGTTGGGTTTAACGCCGCTTTTAACAGTAATTCAGTCATATCGCGGCGTGTCAGCTTAATGTGGGAGGAAAGCCCGAAGTGATGCAGGTCTCAGACGTTTACCACTTGGTGAAACCCTTGATCACGGGCATGGTGCTGACAAACCTAGAAACATAATCGGGGCGAACCGGGATTTGAACCCACAATCATAGGTTTCTGGCGCGACCAAGGGACGCAACTCTGCACAGCAAGTCGCGGCGCCTTAGACGACTGGGCCACCCTTGCCCCCGCACATCAACAAAGAAAGCATAAAATTTGTACGATTTATACGAACCAAAAATACATTGGGTATGGCCTAAAATCATGACATGTTTTTACTTGTACATACCTCATCATCCTCCTTGACGATGAATCCCTCGTCGTAAATCTGACCGCCCTGCTCGGCGTAGAAGCTGGTTCTGTCCAGGAGGACACCACAGTCCTGGCCTGTCGTCACCTCCTGCACGAACGCCTTGTTGTACCGGAGCCCGATCACCTTAGCCGCAGCAGACTCGAACTCTGAATTACACAAACACCATCACGGTGAAGGGTCCCTTGTTGCACACAGATAATGGATAACTACATGTAGACTTGAGTGAGTGATTTGTGGTTAACACCAGCTTGAACAGTATTTTAGTTATATGACGGCTGGACGTGGGAAGAAAACCAAAATAGAGGCAGGTTTGGGATTTTTACCGCTTTGGTGAAACCCACCAGCACAAGAACGGTACTGGTGCTGACATTGTGCTGTGATCGAACACATGATCATAAGATTCTGGCCTGCCAAAGGGACACAACTCTGCACATCGAATTGCATTGCCTTACACGACTGTGTCACCTGTGCCCTCAATGTACAAAACAATGCCATGCTGATCTTCATACTTGGTTATTTAAGGGTCAAATGACCAATTATTTGTGAAAATGGCTGGACAGGTATAAGAGTGAGTGAGTTGGGTTTAACGCCGCTTTTAACAGTATTATCGCGGCGTGTCAGCTTAATGTGGGAGGAAAGCCCCAAGTGATGCAGGTCTTAGACGACAGGTATAAGATCTGAAATGGAGGTTCACTTGAATTGTACTTCATCTTCCCAAGGCAAGGGCGTTAACTGATGATAGAAGTCCAGTTTCCACCCTTGCTGAACTAGGCTGGAATTCTGGAGTTACATTTTGGTTGGACTAATGAGTCTATGCATAGTCCAATCAAAATAGTGTTATGAACAAGACATCCGGTTTGTAAACATAATGGATTTCAAATGCAGATTTTGATTGACTGCAGGATTTGAAAACATGTGTACAGCCAACTTGGCGTCACAAGATATTTTGCAAATCTTTTCATGGTTTTAATCAAGGTGTTCAAGTGATTTCATGCACTTCACAGGGTAAGACCTGTTTTATTACAACATAGATATTGATTAGTGATCAGATCGTCTCGACTGGGCGCTGCCATTTTGTTTGAAGCAAATGCAAGTGATATGAGAGATGAAATCTGATTGGTCAATATGAGGGACATAGAAGGGACATAACTCATAATAGCCACTGGTGGCGCTACGGTTGAGTCTGGAAATTCCAGCCTAGTTCAGCAAGGGTGGAAACAGCACTTTTAGAGTCTGTTAACTCCCTTGCCTTGGAAGATGAGTGAGTGAGTGAGTGAGTGAGTGAGTGAGTGAGTGAGTGAGTGAGTGAGTAAGTATGGTTTCACGATTCTTTTAGCAATATCACGGTGGGGGACACAAGAAATGGGCTTCACATCGGGAAGATGATTGTACTTGTGGTCAGCAATATCACAGCAGTCTGTAAATAGTCAAGTCTGAGCCAGAAAAAACGGTGGGGATGGTATGAGCAATGATCCATGTGTTCTACGTGCAGTGGCACACAATCTCACATGATGAACATCAGATTAGTGTAACGACAAGGATGGGGCATTGGACGTTTTGCCTCGGAATCCGAACATGATTGTAGCACTAGAAGCTTCAACAAAACCTGCTGCAGTAATCTAGGCTCTCTGACAAGGAGTTAGCAGTGAGACCATCAGTTCCTCATTAGTTGGGGCTTACAACAAGAGTGAGTGAGTGAGTTGGGTTTAACGCCGCTTTTAACAGTATTCCAGTTTTATCACGGCGTGTCAGCTTATTGTGGGAGGAAAGCCCGAAGTGATGCAGGTCTCAGACGTTTACCACTTCGGCGAAACCCACGAGCACGGGTATGGTGCTGACAAACCTAGAAACATAATCGGGGCAAACCGGGATTCAAACCCACAATCATAGGTTTCTGGCGTGCCCAAGGGACGCAACTCTGCACAGCGAATCGCGGCGCCTTAGACGACTGGGCCACCCGTGCCCCCATTACAACAAGAATGGACACCAGGTGTCTATATTGCCCCCACGGGGTTGTAACAACTTCATCAACACCTACTGTAGTTGCCCTCCACGTCGGCAGTGTAGCCATACTTGGGTGAGTCATCAGTTGGGGGCACCCCCTTTTTCTGTAAGTCTGTTAATGCATGGACGTCCAGGTTGATCTGTTCTGCCACTGCACTGCCAGCTCCTTGAGACATGACCTTCAAGTACAAACAATGTAACCTTACATCCAAGCCTCACATAGTTCTATCAGACAAGTCAGCTATTTCCGTGCGTTTGTGTATTTGGGAATTATTCCTCCTATCATCGTCAGCACAGGGTGTGGTTAACTATTCAGCAAGATATATACATCCACGAACAGAGCGGATGCTACAGTAGTTTTTAGGTTGGAGTATTATATCATGTTCCACAAAATATTATTACTTGTTCAAGAAGAGACTAAGAGCACCTGATCTTGTTAGACACCTCTAAGTCATGGACTAAGAGCACCTGATCCAGTTAGACACCTCTTAGTCATGGACTAAGAGCACCTGATCTTGTTAGACACCTCTAAGTCATGGACTAAGAGCACCTGATCCAGTTAGACACCTCTAAGTCATGGACTAAGAGCACCTGATCCAGTTAGACACCTCTAAGTCATGGACTAAGATCACCTGATCCAGATGGACACCTCTAAGTCATGGACTAAGAGCACCTGATCCAGTTAGACACCTCAAAGACAATCAGGGGTTGTGGGGACCTTTTTGAACCCTGAATCCCAATAGTCAAAATAGTAGTCCAAGTTTACCTAACAACCTACAAAGATGAGAACAAACAACACACCAGGGAATGCAGCTTGGCCTCATCAAAAGCCTTCATGTCAATCGACATCCCCTTCTCCTCCGCCATGAGACAGGTGAGATCCACCGGGAAGCCATACGTGTCATACAGTCGCCAGGCAACATCACCTGAAACATGGGGCTCATTGGGTTATCCTTGGTTTCTTATTTGAGAAAAAGGGACATAAGTCATATGAAAACAAATAAAACATGAATTTTTAACACTACATCCAAGAGGATATACCGTATTTTCTTGAGTATAGTGCGCACCCATGTATAATGCACACCCCCCTCTAGTGGGTTCAGTATTTTGGAAAAAATAAATTTCCGGTGTTTTGTTCACGGTAATGTCTTTCCATGGGGAAAAAAACCCATCCAAACTCATAATTTGTGTATAATGTGCACACCCTTCTACACAGCTGTGTGTTTTGGAAAAAAAAGTGCGCACTATACTCAAGAAAATACGGTAGATATAAATGGAGAGTGACTGGTTTCACTGAACAGTCCCTAGTATTCCCAGTTTGTTTGTTTGTTGTTTAACGTCGCACTCAGCAATATTCCAGCTATATGACGGCGGCCTGTTAATAATTGAGTCTGGACCAGACAATCCAGTGATTGACATCATGAGCATCGATCCATACAGTAGGGATATGATGACATGCAACAACCAAGTCACAGAACCTGACCAACCGATTCCGTTAGTCGCCTCTTACGACAAGCATCATTGCCTTTTACGGCAAGCATGGGTTGCTGAAGACTTATTCTGACTAGGATCTTCATGGGCATCAGTCTGCGACCTAATCCATTAGTCAAAAACCTAAATCCTGTGAACTGTTTGGCCTAGGAAGCTCAGTTGACAACAATCCATATTATAACATTAAAATCTACTCACAATGATACTAAAAGCCAAGTTCTGGCCAGTTGACTCATATCTTTCCAACACAGGCTTTAAACTAGCGGTTACTGCATTAGAAGCAATCCAAACTGACAAGTAGAATTAGAACCTAGAATTTTCTTTCTTTGTTGTTTAATGCCCCACTCAGCAATATTCCAGCTATATGTTGGCGGTTTGTAACTAATAAAGTCTGGACCAGTCAATCAATTGAAATCATGAGCATTGATCCTCATGGACATGCGTGGATCGATGCTCATGATTTCACTTGACACTTGATTGACTGATATCATGAGCATTGATCCACATAATTGGGATATGATGATATGCATTCAAACAACACACATAGTCTGATCTCCCAATCCATTTAGTCACCTCTCACGACCATCATACAATACTGGGGGCGTATATTTTTACCAGGTATTTCCCACTGGTTTGAGACTTGGCAACCCCAAAATGGCGACTCAGAGGAAATTAATATCACCTGATATGTAAGACAGGAATACAAGCTATGGGTGATGATGGGAGAGCCAATGACATCACATACCTGGTAAGACATTGGTGTCACCTAGTTTTCCGATTGTCCTCTCCAGGAGCTTGCGTCCACGGGTCAATGTCTTCAGAAACTGAGCCTCTTCCTCGTTAATAATCTCCTTCACCTGGACAATGTGATCAGTGTTGATGCGATCATTTTGATAAAAACACAATTATACAGCTTGAAAACCATCTGAAACTTTGTCGATATAACTCTTATTCACTCCTGTGATAATGCCAATGCAACGTAAAAGTTTAACTCACTCACATATTTCTGAGAAAATATTTGTTTATAACAATCAAAAGTCTTATGCCATTTTTAGAAATATTCTAGCAATATTGGAGTGACACCGGAAATGTCTTTGGTTTGCTTGTTGTTTAATGCAGCAGTCTGCAATATTCAAGCTATATGAGAGTGAGTCTGGACCAGACAATCCTGTGATTGACATCATGAGCATTGATTTACGGAATTGAGATACGTTGACATGCATCAACCAAGTCAGAGAGCCTGACCACCCGATCCTGTTAGTCACCTCTTACAACAAGCATAGTTGCCTTTTACAGCAAGCAAGGGTTGCTGAAGACCTATTCTACCCGGGATCGAATAGCCCTGCTAGATATGCATCGTATCATGCCCAGCGTATCGTGGTTTTCTGTATCGTACAATCGTCAGACAGTTCAATCTCTGCATACTTACAGTCTCAGGGTCCTTGGTGACCTCAGGGAAGGCATCACCCTACAGACAATATGAAGGAAAACTGAGCTGAAACTATTGCTGGGGTAAGATATGGTTTTATTAATGTGCCGAAAACAACACGTTTGTCTGATTGATATACAATAGTCTTCATGGCAGAATATACTTGTTGCTTGCTTGTTTGTTGTTCAACGCCGCACTCAGCAATATTCCAGCTATATGACGGCGGTCTGTAAAATAATCGAATCTGGATCAGACAATCCAATGATCGATATCATGAGCATCGATCTACGCAATTCGGATACCATGACATGCATCAACCAAGTCAACAAGTCTGACCACCCAATCCTGTTAGTCGCCTCTTACAACAAGCATTGTGGCCTTTTACAGCTAGCATGGGTTGCTGAAGACCTATTCTTTACCGGGATCTTCTCGGGTTTGCAGAATAGACAGAATTGGTAGGATTCTATCTGTTACAAGGGAAGACAAGTGGGATCCATGGATAACGATAAAGCCTGGTGATAACTACTGAGGTGAAACGGAGTTTAATGTCACGTTAAAAATGATTGCACATATTGCACTTATATAGCGACGTACATGCACGTGTATATGTGGCTCCTTGTACTAGTCCGGACTAATGACGGTTTTATAGTGCTAGCCCAGTTAGATGCCATGCCTCATTTTAACATGAATACCCCACTCAGACACAGTATACCGGCCAGTCCTTGTTTCAGCCCCTTAATGCCTAGAGCAAGGCACACGATGCAGTGAACAAGTGAGTGAGTTGGTTTGACACCACTTCTTACAGTATGGCAGTTATATCACGGCACGTTAGCCTCGTGTCAGAGGAAATCCTAAAGTGAGGAAGGGGGAAACTCTGCCTGGGATTCGGCAAGATACATTAATATTTTTTTGGTCACCAAATTAAAAAATATTACCAGTAGTTGGACGACGGTGTCAACGAGTGAAGCAAACATCCCCGGTTTCCCGTTCAACTTTTCGGTGCCATAACGTACAGCTCTCCTCAGTACACGTCTCAAAACATACCTATGAGACATATCGTAATCAGCGTTTAGTGTTGGTAATTGGTTCGGATCTCATCACAAAACATTGTCGATAAATAAGTGAGTTAGGTGTAATGCCACTTTTAACAGTATTCCAGTTATATCACAGCGTGTCAGCTTACTGTGGGAGGAATACAGGTCTGATGCAGGTCTCAGACGTTTACCATTGTGATGAAACCCACAAGCACAGGTATGGTGCTGACAAACCAAAAAACATAATCGGGGCAAACTAGAATTCGAAGCCATGGTCATAGGTTTCATGTGTCCAAGAAACACAACTCTGCACAGCGAATTGTGCCGCCCTAGACGACTGTGCCGCCCATGCCCCCTTCTATTTGTTTATTTGTTGTTTAATGCCGCACTCAGCAATATTTCAGCTATATGACGGCGGTCTGTAAATAATCAAGTCTGGACCAGACAATCCAGTGATTAACATCATGAGCATCGATCCACACAATTGGGATACAATGACATGCTTCAACCAAGTCAGCGAGCCTGTCCACCTGATCTCGTTAGTCACCTCTTACAACAAATGTAGTCCCCTCTTACGACAAGCATAGTCATTTTTTACGGCAAACGTCCATCATATTTCCACAGATTTTTCACTGACATATGATAATGACTTGTAGTTCCTGGATTTACATGAAAATGAGGAAAATGTATCATAGAAATCCTTTGTTAATATTGAGGGTGCTTAAATTGAGATTGTTCTATTGAGTTTGCAACAAAGTTGTCCCATGGTATTCATTTTATAACTAGTATTCTCTAATTATCTGTACGCCAGATGTCTTCTTCACTGGTGTGTACTGAACTTCCTGCTCACCCTCTTCCTGTGTTGTCTGGGCGCCCGCCGTCAGACAGGGCGATCGTGAGGGTACGAGCATGGTCTGCCAACACCCGGTACGCCATGTCGACACCATCAGCATCCTCTTTGCCTAACGTTCCTGCGTACGGCCGAGTCCCTGTGGCCTGGAAGCAGTCACACAAATATATCAGCAATGCCTGTGTGGTTACCGTCTTCGATGTAATAAGCACCCAGGGCGCTCTCAAAAATAGAAATAGGGGGCTCTTATTAAAATGTTATTTGGGTGAAAATAACACCAAAATAACATTCTAGTTGAAAGATAAATTTCGTGGTTTATGCCGACAGCCTGAAATGTTTAAATACGACATATATTTTTTCAGAATTTAATTGCCCATAATTAAGGGTGCATATAACACATGAGTGTGTATAATACACGAATAAATAAGTCTTGTGTACATTGATTAATCGGAAGGGGAGATAATTGGGATTGTTCACTAGCCAATATATTAGCAAATGTCGCCATGGGCACTTATTAGAGCGGGGCGCTTATTACGTTGATTACGGTAATATCAGTTGAAAAGTGAAGGAGAGTGTGAATACTGGTTAACAGTAACACCACATCAGTGATTTTGATTTATTTAATAATTTGTAGTGACTCAAAACGAATTTCAAACATGAATTGTGAAATCAAACTGTTTTCCCAATTACTAAAAATAGAAAACAAAGAAAAAGGTTGCATCAATTTCCTTTTGACATCCTTCACATCTCATCAACATATTCAAATTGTAAATCGGACATAGTTATGTCCAAAACTGTGATGGATGAGCAGGCTAAACAATGTTAACTGGCATTTTAAATTACAGCAGTTCTGATGTCAAGTTCTATGGAAGAACCCCCTGGGTATAACAGCACGTAGGCCAATACCTTCTGAATGGCATCAAACAGTGGCACAAAGATGTCAGTGTCATAATTGGAGCGCTTCCCCTGGATCACCGACACCAGCCTCTCCAGACCCATCCCGCAGTCGATGTGCTTGCGGGGCAGGGGCCGTAACTCTGTCTTAGACTCTCTGTAACAAAGGATATTTGTCTGCATAAAACCTAAAAGAGTAAACGTTTCCACCTGGGATCGAAAGAAGAATAAGAAATGCATAGTGTGAGATAGGATAAGTAAAGAATTTACATTGATTCACCAAGGGGGAAAACTTTAATTTCACTTTCACAGTGAGAACAGTCACTTGTGGTCTTGTGAGCAAGTCACATGACATCAGACATTATGATGTCCTGTCGATTGTCAACCAGCAAACTGTCAAACAGTGTCTTGACAAGAACGAGACAGCTAGACTTTTAACAAAGAGTATGAGGTTACCATGGTTACCTGTTGTACTGTATAAACACAAGATTCCAAATCTCCAACACATCAGGATCATCCATATTGACAAGATGTTTAGCATCACGGTTTCCGATTCTGTCGTAATGGATCTCCGAGCACGGTCCACATGGCCCTGTCTCTCCCATCTCCCAGAAATTGTCTCTCATGTCAAAGGGCAGCACACGCTCTGGGGGAACGCCAAGCTTGATCCAGATGTCCCTGGCCTCGTTGTCAGGTTCTAATCCCTTGGCCTCGTCCCCTCCGAAGTAGGAAACATATAGTCTGTCCTTCTCCAGCTTCAGCCTCTCCGTCAGCAGCTCCCACGCCCAGGCACACACCTCTTTCTGCACAGAGGGAGACCAACTTATTAAGAACGGGCTTATCTGCGACCCATGGCTTTTTTTTCAAAGGTAAATAATCCATCGATTTTCTCAAACTGTTTCATAAACATATTTCAGAGATTGATTTGAATTAAGAGTCCCAATGGCATGGTGAAAATCAACATTGCAATAAGTACCTGGGTGCTGTTGTTCAAAACAACCTTAGCGCTACAACTGTCTTAAGTCTATGTTAAGGTATGGGAGTTACGATAACCTTAGCGCTAAGATCACTTTGTACAACATCACCCTGGTGCTTTAAGGGCATGTGTTTATTTGGTGAATTCAGTGATAAAGGTATTTTTGTACAAGGAGACGGGACAAACCTAAAACAGTTTTTATTTTGAATGAAAAGTATATTTTGTCACACTCAAGAGGCACACCTAAATGTTTTAATAAGTGCCCTGGGGCACAAAAGAGAGTGAGTATGGTTTTACGCCACTTTTAGCAATATTCCAGCAATATCACGGCGGGGGACACCAGAAATGGGCTTCACACATTGTACCCATGTCAGGAATCGAACCCGGGTCTTCGGTGTGACGAGCGAACGCTTTAACCACTAGGCTTCCCGACCGACCCTGTGGCACAAAAGGGACCAGGTATATTTCTATCCCTGGACGATGGTATGATCAATATAACACCCACTAAGGTTGTAGGTGACTGCAACTGAAGACCTGTTTTTTTCAGAATCAGTCTTGTGCAGCATGTATCAGTTCTGGCTGCCTTCACAAGTACATGCTGAAAGTTATACTTCTTTGTTAAACGCCGCACTCAGCAATATTCAAGTTATATGATGGTGGTCTGTAAATAATCGAGTATGGACCAGACAATCCAGTGAATGACATCATGAGCATCGTTCTATGAAATTGAGATACAGTGACATGCATCAACCAAGTCAGCAAACCTGAACACCCAATCCTGTTAGTCGCCTCTTACGACAAGCATTGTTGCTGAAGACCTATTTTAACCCGGATCTTCACGGGGGTTATGTTATGTAGTATGAGGCAATGAAGGAAAGGCACATTATATAAGCCTACCTTGTAGTAATCTCCAAAGGACCAGTTGCCCAACATCTCGAAGAAGGTGTGATGGTAGACATCTTTACCCACATCGTCCAGATCGTTGTGTTTTCCGCCGGCACGGATACATTTCTGTGAGTTGGCTGCACGGACCAGCTTGGCCATGTCACTGTTTGGATCAACACTTCCCAGGAAGATGGGCTTGAACTGAAACACCATCATTGTAGCATCTATATTTACATGATCTACCATGTTGACGGTAAGTAGACTGAGTGAATGAGTGAGTATGGTTTTACACCACTTTTAGCAATATTCCAGCAATATCACGACAGGGGACACCAGAAATGGGCTTCACACATTGTACCCATGTCAGGAATCTAACACAGGTCTTCGGTGTGACAAGCATACTCTCCAACCACTAGGCTGCCCCACGGAGTGTTGCTTGTGATCATAAATATTTCTATTAGGATGACAAGGTAATGATAATAATATTTCCATTAGAACATCATTTTAGTTAAATTAACAGTTATCCCAAGCAGGAATTTGACTGTAAACTTTATTTTTTCGTGAGATTAACCACTTAACCATGTTATCACAATTAAACAAGCCACCAAGACAAGCATGGTTTGTGATCTTCCAGAAACAATACCAGCATAATATTATTGAACTTTTTGAAAAATTTACTTTTGTCACAAATGTTAGACGAATACCAAGATATAAATGAAATCATTAGGACAATGTACCTGGTTCATTCCAGCATTTGCGAACAGTAGTGTGGGGTCATCGAGAGGGATGGTAGATGACGAGTGGACATAGGTGTGTTCTTGCTCTTTAAAGAAGTCAATGAATATCTTCCTAATCTGAGCACACGTTAAACTGGTATCCATCTTGGAGTATATCTGTCCTCAACTGATGAAAGAAATGGAAACAATGTATCACTGTAACAAATATTCTTGAGCCAACATGTGACCAAATCCTTTATGTATAAAAATCACATGAGCATTGAACTTTCAAAAAACATAATATAAATAAGAATCATATTAACATGTTAAGTCAATAGCCATATGATTCATGCTCGGTCAAATGTCGAATGTGTTGCAAAAATTTATTATGCTCTCTTTGTTTGTTGTCTAACACCGCACTAAGCAAAATTCCAGTTATATGACGGCAGTCTGTAAATAATCCAGTCTGGACCAAACAATCCAGTGCTTGACATTGTGAGCATCAATCCACGCAAATAGGATACGATGGCATGCATAAACCAAGTCAGCGAGTCTGACCACCCGATCCCGTTAGTCGCCTCTTACGACAAGCATAGTCGCCTTTTACGGCCAGCATGGATTGCTGAAGACCTATTCTAACCCGGATCCTCGCGGATCATGCAAATCATGAAACTGAACAAACAGTGCTCAAAATTAAGGTCTTCTATGGTATGGTAGTAGATATAGGCACCCTCTAAACATGACAAACAATTCTAAATGTTCAACTCTCAACATCAGAAATATGGCAAGGACCTCTTGACGTTAATGCTCAGTCTCAATCAGAAACATGCCATAAGCAAACATGCAACAGTTACATTATTTCTGTGGAGATATTCTTCAACATTTTCAAGTCAACTTCACCATCCAACAAACTATTCAAAGAAAGAGTTCATTTCAGCAGAGGACATAAAATAAATTAACTATTTATGGTCTCTGATTTCCTTGAAAATTGCAAAACAAAAGGAAACGCTGCGAACGTACCGTTGTTTGGTGAACTGTCAAGTGTCACGATTATGACTGCAAAATGACGTCTTCTGATTGAAAATGAAAGAGGTTGGAAATAAAACAGGACTGGGCAGTGAGGTCTATTTATATCAACACGCAAAGAAAATCCCGTTCACAGATGTTGCAATCCTTTAACACTGTTTGAAATAGTCAAATATGTAGGACAAGGTAATAGGGTCAGTTCGTCGCTTCCGTCATATGGTCAATTCAGACTTTATGTGCACTCCTTCCCGGTTTGGTTGAGGTGTCGATGAAAATGATGCAACCGTTTGTGATAGACGGCAAGCGGGCGTTTACAGGTATTTACCGTGGCAGAATTGCTTATCCAAATGAAATATTAGCTTGTAGGAGATAAGGTATGGTTTGTTAACATGACCTGTTTGTAACAATTGACCTAACCACGTATCATACTTACAATCTGCTTGAAAAGTGAAAGATGTTATTATTCAGTCGCCCAACGTGTTCATGTGTGTGTGACAAATTTGTATCCTATGTATAAAATGTCTTATGTTTTCATAATTTCTATCTAAAAATGTAATGTAGGCTCAATGTCATGTTACTTTTAGAAGATTGAAAGTCAATATATTGTGTATTATTACCTACCGTCTAAGACATAGGTGGAATTATCACGCAGATATGCGAATTTTGTGCCACTATTGTGGGTCAAATAATTTGGGGAGGCATTTATAGTTGACACCGCCGCATAAAACATCCAGAGCTGTCTTAGAAGTGAAGAAGTAGTTTCGTATGAAAGTTATCTGAGGTGCCAGGGCCCATGGTCGTTTAAAAATAATGCCCATTGTCATGATCGTGTGTTAAAGGGTAAACTTTGTTTCCCAGTCTCTATGAATTTAAAAAAAAAATATAACGAGCAAAACGAGAAAAGAGAAGAGAGCAGTTTCCCGGGCGCCATCCAGCCTGACTCCGGCCAGTCACGCTTCCCTGACATTCAACTGGCGTGCCTTGAACACACACCCCGTACATCAAAGACAATATTGAAATGTATACACATATGAATGATACACATGCCATTTCAACGCGTAACACACACATATACCTTCGAACATATGAATGTCGGTGCGTTAATTTGCACTCTGTGCAGAGATTCCCAATCGGAACATATGTCCCTTAATTAATACAAGATAAGATACAATTGAAAGATACAAGATTATATTGCGCAAACATTCCAAGTTGAAACAGTGAGAATATTCTATAAACTATATAAACAGATACATAGGAAGTCAGGATAACAACACAAAGTATCAATACAAAATATTACGTTATGGCGTTGGGCAGAGACCACATAATAAACACAATCACAATAAGGTAAATATGATGAAGGTACTATACTTACTTGTATTTTCACAACAATGAAAACATCATACAAAAATAAAAAATCCGTTAGACGAAATATTTGTATTATGAAATTATCATTTGCTTTGTAAATGCCAAGAAGGATTATGTCGGCAGTCGTCGGGAAAGAAGTTCGAGACAACAGGGTCGAAGGTGTCATTCAGTAAAATAAGTAGATGGTCTATTGTCCTTTTCTATGCTAAATACATCTACATATGTCAGAGTAGGAAATGTCAAACTGTGATGTTTTGTTTTGTTTTAATAGTAATAGTTGCACGCCTCGTTCCAGGTTAGGTTCCAAGCTCGGCAATCCGGAGAACCAAAGTTACATTCTCCACAAGTGCACAAAATGTGCATCTATTTCTGGTGCCTTTCTCTCTCTAAATCAATTCAGAATGTCTTTCATGCAGTGTATCATAACTGCCATACCACTGATGCTATAGGGAAGTTGTCTGTTAAAAAGGCAAAGAGCAAATTTAACAAGTACAGATCTGCAGACATGGTAAATTGGTAAAGTTACTAGTATTAAATCTTTTCACATGTAACTACACAATTTATTATGATTATGATGAACAAATTACAATGAAATTTACAATACTTAACGTGTTTATTCCCTGCATTACCTTCATGTACTCAAACTTGCCTGTGCAAAAACAAGGACAAACCATTCCAGTTAGTATCAGTCTTCTCACCCGATGTATTAGTTTGATAGTAATAGTTGCATGCCTTGTTCCAGGTTAGATTTTAAAGTTTGTTTTTGATTGATCAGATATGAATAGAAAACTATACAAATGTAACTACAGGTTACGATATACTAGTATATATCTGGTACCATGCTTGTTGAAGCTATACTGTTATACCTGAATTACCTAATTATGTGTATGCTGAAATATAAAACTAATCGGGTAATATTAAAAAACGATTGTAAAATTACAATCGTCCTCTTTGCGTTGGAATTTAACAGTAGCCTCCCTTTGAAAAAAAAGATATCTCGCTCCGGCAAACCCCATTATCACTGCTAGCCCCAAACAGGCATTAACCAATACCATTTGATTACTTGCGAAACGTATTGCTGGACACATCGAACATTCATTTAGCAACGCTCGTAGTTTAATGTGTATTTTTAATTCATTGGAATTATTATAGGATTATAAAATAGGAGCGAGTTTACATGATTTTTTTCTGGCTAATAGTAAAGCATTCACACCAGCTGGTGACCATGCATTTTTGCAAGTAAATCTAACCTGGATTTATTTATTATATGATATGAAGATATATCTGGAGATATATTTTGTGAACATCGGTAATACGGTGATCTGTTACAAGTGTCCGTCTTGCGTCTGGATGAGTTATATTCACACTTCCTGAGTTCCTGTGCAATTTACTGGATCGTACTTTTCAGTGTCGTTCGTAGTAGATTTGGTATATTTGTTTATTTATAATAGTTATACATAAAATGAAATATATAAACTGATTTTAAAAACAAATAGAATAAGTTCTAAAATACTTTTGATATCGGGTCGGCTTTTTCTACACACGCCCACGAAACCTATACGCTCGTAGACAGCCGTCATATTGTCACTCATATCTTTTTTCTTTGAGTGAAACTTCTTGGGAGGTATTACCGACGGCTTGGTAGCGGTAACATCACTGTCAATCTATTCAGACCAAGCGTCATCCGAAACTAACCCTGGTCGTTGAGTGGGAATTCTTTAAGTGGTATATCTTGGTCCAAGACGAAATCGTCCCAGTGAATGAAGATAGAGCTGAGTGTGCGGGGCTGGCTAGCTGTCACATTGAAAGTTTGGGATGGAACAGGGACGGTCGACGGTTGACAAGTCCGAAAACAGAGCAGTGATTGTGAAGTGCAAGAATCACCAGGCCTGTCAATCACTTTACTGATGTGTTTGTGCTGCTCTTCAGAAATTTGTGAATATTTATTGACACTCTGCACATTTCTATGGCCACTGATTTGCATTATCTGTGTAGGTGGAACATTTTTCTCAGAAAGAGTTTGGACCAGATACTTCGGGCGGAATGATTCGTCAACCGTTTGGTAGATTCAAGTTTTGCATTTGCTGCCATGCGTTTCCTCATGGACCCAAGCTTGTTGATGCCAACAGGTTGTCGCTTAAACCAAGGATGTGTCGGAGCGGGAGCAGTTTGAGAATTTGTTGCCAAGTAGAAAGGCGCGTCATGGCCACTAAGACCATTTGGTCTAAGGTTTAGCATAGCACTTTTACGCAAGGACGGGGCAGCGATTGTCACCTGTTGCCCAAGCTTTCGGCGTGACAGTCCAACATCCCGGATGTTTACACCAGTGCGTGTTTTGGTTTGCCGCTCAGCAAACTGCAGGTACTCCATGCCATTTCCATCTTGATTTAACATCACGTCTCCCTAGTGCATATTTCTATGGGGAGTAACGCTGCGAAGCCCCAAATGTGTCGTGTTGTGCCACCAAAGTGTATTCAAAATGTACTCGGGGGTTTCGAGACCCAATTCCCCGGATTTCCATAATATGTCTATGCCGTTCTGACTTAGGGACTGCGCACGCATCGGTAAGTTTCCGAAACTGTCTTGTTTAGAATTTCTTGTTTGGTTTTCAGTATTAAACGAGTGATCTCTTCACGGATGAGTACTAATATATACTATTATATGGTCTCTGATATCAGATAGTGTTCTTCATCTTCAAGGACTGAGCAGTGATCACAGAGACGTTCTTCCAAAGGTGTAGGTGGTCTTGTTCTTCTTCCCAGTTCAAGTTTTGGTCTGTGGTCACTCAGCCTTTGTATGTACGGTGTTTTTTATATCGTACTGTGTTCTAAATAGGGTTCAAGTTTAGTTTCTGACTTAAATTTTCTTTATGTTCTATGTTTGTTTCTTGTTCAAGCATAGTTGTCGTAAAAGGCGACTAACAGGATCGGGTGGTCAGGCTCGCGTGGATCGATGCTCATAATATTAATCACTGGATTGTCTGGCCCAGATTGGATTATTTACAGACAGCCGTCATATAGCTGGAATATTGCTGAGTGCTACGTTAAACAACAAACCAAACCAAAAACTCTATGCTTGTCGTAAGAGAAGACCAAATGGATCGGGTGGTCAGGATCGGTCACTCAGTTGATTGCGCACCAACCATCTTCCCGAGGCGAGAGAGTTAACCGACTATAAAAGTACAGTTCCCACCCTTGCCGAACTAGGCTGGTATTAAGGAGTTACATTTTGGTTGGACTAACGAGTCTATGCATAGTCCAATCAAAATCGCGCAACGAAATCGAAATCCGGTTCGTAAACTGTCGTGCAGATTTCGGTCGAGTTCAGGTTTTGCAAAGCATGTGCACCGCCAACTCGTTGTCAGCAGATATTTTCCAAATCTTTTCATGTTTTTAATCAAGGTGCTCACGTTATTTGGTGCATTTCGCGATGTAAGACCCGTTTTTTCACAATATAGATCTTGATTATCGATCAGATCGTCCTGACTTGGCGCCACCATTTTGTGTGTAGCAAACACAAGTGATACGAGAGGTGGAATCTGATTGGTCCAAAGGAGAAGCTTAGATGGGACATAACTGGTAATAGCCACTGGTCGCGCTACGATCGAGCCCAGTAATTCCAGCCTTGTTCGGCAAGGTTGATATACTGATGAAACACTTTGAAAACGCACATTCGATTTTTTGTAATATTTGGCGAAATGGCCAGTTGTTCTGTGCATTTAGCCATGGGATAATCAAACATTTCATTCGATGAGTTTCGAGATGGATTTGAGCACAAAAACACATCTTGTCTGATGCTTGAAAATATGGTTATGCGTTTTCTTTGTGCATCAGCGTTTTGAGGGGTTTTTTTTCGCTGGACATCGCGCAAATAATATTGTTGTTATGGCTGGCCATATAGAATTATTCAAAAAGAAAAGTAGTATTCAAAAGGACTCGTTCTTGAAACATCCGGTGAGCAAACATATCTTACCTGCACAATCTATGTACAAAAGTAGCTAGATCTTTTCAGTCATATAACTAACTATGCGCACACTAACAACGTATACCAACCCAAACTGTAAATTATGGTGATGTTGTCCTGTTTTCAGTTAACAAAAACGGAAAGCATTTGACTTATGTTGTGTGTGTACATGGTCCCCCGCGCGTCTAGCGCCGGCATCCAGAGGCCTTCCTCTTTGTGGATACAAGTGACAGTATCGTTGTTTGGACATACACACACGTGTCAGATTACAGGTCGCTTATGTTAAACGTTATCCTCAATGGAGACCATATCATTGTATTAACTTATCGCCTTATAATATCTTGGTAGACCGGGTATAATGTGTTATAAACCTATGCCAAAGCCTCGAATCAGGTTGCTATATATACTCTACAAAAAAAAGAAACGCAAAAGTGATTTTTAGATGTGCATCTTATATATCGTACAGATAGTCAACTGATGGAAATCGATTGTTCAAAATTGGCGCACATCTTTAACATTGACCCAGGTTCCATATTGAGAGCCATGGCAGGACCTGGATGTTGTGATTCCTGAGAAAACTGTTGTCAGTCTTGCCATGTGTGGTCGGGTTTTGTCTTGTAGGAAAATGACGTTCACTTGTTGCATAATGGGAAAAACCTGTGTCCGAAAAATCTGATCCGTGTAACGTTGTGCCGTTAAATTTCCCAGAACTGGCACCAAGTCTGTTCTACCAGTGTAGGAGATGGCTGCCCACAGCATAGCACTACCACCACCAAATCTGTCCACTTCCTGTATGCAGTTTCGTGAATAACGTTCCCGCGAAAACCTGGCTACAGCTGAAGATGATTCTCCTATTTGCAGTCGGCCGATGGCATTGTTGCGTTGGGTTTCCGTCAGCATATTTTGGCTGTTCACTTGCTGTAAGATTGCGATGGCATGCAAATGAAAACCCAACGTTTTCAAACCCCAGCAAGTGATGCTGCGTGCGTGCTGTGTTGGCTGTTTCGGCGCCAGGCTCCCGCGTTGTTGTTTTATTTTAAATTTTCCAACCTTTTCACCAAATTTCCTTGGTGCCGCCTTCTTCACACACAAATCAATCCCAATCCATGCAGATAGGACCAATTCATTTTTGGTATTAATTTTGTATGGATGTCGGCTACACTGTCAGATATTACTACTTTTACGTGTGTTTTTTTGCAGAGAAAATATGGTTTTAAGATCGCGGAGTTCAGGAGATAAGTACATACTATACTCAGAAACAAGTTACAGTTATCTTGATAGTCATGAAGACTCCTTAAGTACAACTTAGTTTCTTGGTCTGACTTTACAAATTTCTTCCTTAGTTTTGTGTGATAATCATATTTCCGTACCTACATGTACATACACAAACACATCCACGTAAAAAAAATGTTTCTTTTTGACTGACCTGACCCCGGACAATCTAAAGTATATAAACCGGATGGAGCCTATCATCTATGCAGGACCCCGTTATCTCATGCTTTAAAGAGCCAGCTAAAGTGGTGATTGGTTGGCCAGACTGTGTGACTTCCCTGGTGGTCTAGCGCGATGCTTATACTTTCAGTCACGGGTTTATCTGACCCAGTCTCGACCATCTACAACATTTGCACTCACTCTCTCACTCATCTGTGCCAAGTGACGATGCTTTACATCAGAGGCAGTATGCGGTGTGCACCGAATGGACTCATCATATACCAACCTTCTCTTTGCATCTGTACTCTGTGGTTAGTACCCTTCTGAAACTTAAGGATACAGCTGAATATATAGTGCATGAGATGTATACTCTTTAGTTAAGTAGGTGTTTGTTTATTTTGTGTTATACACTTCACTCAGCAACACCAGTCTATCCAGTGATCAATATTGTGAGCAACGATCCAGGCGTAGGGGTACGATGACACGCAATAAACCAAATCATAGAGCCAGATCACCAGTTCTAATCCTGAATCCCCAGGTGATCAGCGAGTTGATCTAACATTGCAGGGGTTCAGTCAAAACTGAGAGGGTGTGAGGAAAGCCCTGACACATCCAGGGTCGACATCGTAGCAAATCACGGATTAAACTCTGTACAGTCAGCAAAGGACACAAGATCGAGATGCACCACCAAATGTACCACTTACTCTGTATTTTAAGATATATACCGGTCAAAACATATAATAACACAATTTTCAACCTATTCATAGGCTCTTGGTATTAGTTGAGTTGAGAAAGAACTGCGAGTTGATGCATACATGAGCCCCGTGAAGATTCCTGGTTAGAATAGGTCTTCAGTAACCCATGCTTCTGTAAAAGGCGACTATGCTTGTCGTAAAAGGCGACTAACGGGATCAGGTGGTCAGGCTCGCTGACTGGGTTGATGCATGTCATTGATCCCAATTGCGTGGATCAATGCTCATGATATCAATCACTGGATTGTCTGGTCCAGACTGGTTTATTTACAGACCGCCGTCATATAGCTTGAATATTGCTGAGTGAGGCGATATACAACAAACCAACCAACCTAAACATGAGGACTGTGACTGGGAACATGGTTCCTTTCCACACAGTTCAAGGGTTTGGAAAGGTTTGTTTGTGGTTTAAGGCCGCAGTTGGGCTACCTCGCCACCAATCCATGAAGTCTTCAGCAACCCTTGCTTGCCTAATAGGCTACTAACGGGATCAGACTCGCTCACTTGGTTGATGCATGTCATCGTATCCCAATTGCCTGGATCGATGCTCACGATGTCATTAATCACTGGATTGTCTGGTCGAGACTCAATTATTTACAGACCATCGTCATATAGCTAGAATATTGCTTTACACAACAAACAAACAAACAAACAAACTAACCTCACCGCCCTTGGCCTGAGGTGCAGCTGACAAAACATTGTAAACAATAAACAAGACTGTGTTTACTATGTTGCATAGTTTATTCCAGATATATACAATAGGAGGGTCCTTCATCACCAACACATGAGTTGCCTCTCATACACACTTGTGAAACTGATGAGACTCGGGACTTATCAACCAAGAACATTACCTCTCTAAACATGTACCACCTCCTCACTGGGTGTCAGCCATATTTCAATATCCAGCATGGCCTCGTGTGAACTTAAGGGACTCTTTGAGTGAGTGAGTTTTATGTATGGTTTTAGGCTGCTTTCAGCAAAATTCCAGCAATGTCACAGCGGGGGACACCAATGGGCTTCATACCCATGTTGAGAATCGAACCCAGGTCTTTGGCTTCATGAGGGAACGCATTAACCACTAGGCTAATAACGGGCTACCTCACCGCCCCGACTCTTTGACTGAGTAACCAGTGTCTTTAACAATCATAGTTTATTATATATACAGACCAAAATATAAATATACTGACATGCAGTGTTACAATGTTCACTTGTCTTCAGGAAATGTTAAAATTTCAATATCCACAACTATTCGTAATATGCTACTCAAAAGAAGTTAAATAACACCAAATTTATTTATTTTTCATATGACTATGATTAATCTGTCATGGCCATGCCAGATCAACTCTAGTCATTTGAAAAAAATCTTTAACTTCTTTTGAGTAATATAGATTTGTTCCAAAGAATGAATCATTAACTGAGCCATACAAATGATTGAAAAAGTATGGACACATGTATTCGGTGAATCGAACTGTATCCCTTCATGAATGGAATTAGTCATTTGTGGTCACAAGAATTGAATATTTACGAAAAAAATAAAATGAGTGTTTTTTAACTAAAAATATCCATAAGAACTAATTATATCCATACAAAGATTTCTTCAAAGATATTTATATTTAATTTGACAGTAATGTGGTCATTGTTGCATTTTAGCAGATACTGGTACCTGGATAAGTGCAGTACATAGCATGTATAATAAATTAAAAAATCATTAACTCTGTCAACAATTTATTTTTGTTATTGTTTCACTGAATACAATAAATAATACATCAACTGATACTGACCTGTAACTGTATTCGTGAATAAATATTCATATTCGTTACCCTATATTCTTGATACGTATCGTATTCACCTCATAGCCTATTCGTTGCAGCCCTAATGGACACTACATCTGGCAAAACAAAGAATGCTGAAATGCTCTGTGGAGTGAAAATATGCTCTTCATCAAATCAGTTTTTTTTAGGATTTAAATTACCTTATAGCACAGGTTTATGGTCACCAATCAATTGTGAAAGACTAATTACTAAATCCCTCTTCAATAAAGCTCAGCCCTTGCTTACTGTTGAAATATGACACTTCGTCACATGGAATACAAGATTTAAACATACCAATACTATACTGACCATGAGTTAGGGATCATGAATATTTTGGGGGGATAATTTTGGCAAATTGTGTGCTTAGTCTTCACTACAAAAAAGATATTCCCCCAAATATTCATGATCCACAGCTTTTTGGTTCATTATAGTATACCATGATCACACTTCTTCCATTATTCAATGACAATCTGATATACACTTGAACGAACACAACTCAGCAGCAAACTTGGAACATGAGACGGGAAGCTGGTATTCAAATAAAACACATATTTACAATGAACAACACACACCACTATGGGACTTGTTGAAAAAACAAACAGAAAACGTCCAGACAAGACTGCTTCAAACGTTGAACAGATGGGGGTACATTTAGTCATGCATATACTTCATATTATACAGAGGCCTCATTGATTCTGATCACAACTATTTCTGGATAATTATATACATTGGGTTTGATTTTGGTATAAAAAATAGAATTCTGTGTTTCAATTTAATTCGATGCAATTTTTGGTATATTTTTACATATTTAGTGCAGATACTTTATACAAGTATTATCACACAGAAAGGCCGCAATGATTCCAATCATTATTTCTTACCCATGAAGATCCGGGGAAGAATAGGTCTTCAGCAACCCATGCTTGTCGTAAAAGGCAACTATGCTTGTCGTAAGAGGCGACTAACGGGATTGGGTGGTCAAGCTAGTTGACTTGGTTGATGCATGTCATCGTATCCCAATTGCATAGATCGAGGCTCATGATATTAATCACTGGATTGTCTGGTCCAGACTCGATTATTTACAGACCGCCGTCATATAGCTGGAATATTGCTGAGTGCGGCGTTAAACAACAAACCAAACCAACAACCAATCATTATTTCTGATTAATTGTAAATATTGGGTTTGATTTTCAAATGACAAAAATGAAATTCAGTCTTTTATTTGTATCCAGATGCAACCATTGAAATTTTTTTTTCTCCAAAAATGTAAACATCTAATCTCACAGTTACTTATGGCTACATCTCAAAGTTTCTGAAAGGCAATAATCCTTCAGTCACAAAAAGCATGATCGCTGGTACATATTCATTGTGATACTAAGCTATAATAAAGGCTATCAAAGATAAAAGCATAACACCCATATCAATCCTCTGATATCTGACTGACACTCACTCAAGCATCTGTTTTCATTCACTCATACTGCACCAATTGTGGAATAAGGGGTGGTGGTAGACAGGTTATAGGTTTGGCTTGTTCAGACAAATTAAGTACCAGGTTTGATTCTGTACAATGAGTGAATCCCATTAGTGATGTCCACCCACCCCTATGATAGGACAGAAATAAGTAGCGTATATCCAACTCACTCACTCACCCGATTACCAAAATACCCCTTGTCATGAACGTTTGTCACGATTGCTTCATGTCAGTAGCTGAAGAACCAGGGGGACTAAATATCTTTCTCAAATGCTTGTCCATGAACCATAAAACAGCCAATCAAATGCCTGCAATGAGCATTTACAATTTAAGTTACACCCACAAGTGTAAACTGGGTAAATAATTTCAATCTACCATACCACTCACACGTGATGGGGATATTGATTTTTGTATCAGAGAATGATCAAATATCTAATAAATGTTTATACATTTCAATATACAGGGAGTGTGAGTGAGTTGGAGTTTTTTTTCAGATCGTAGACGATGACAGGTATCAAATCAGGTAAAAGACCTGATCTAATGGGACTGCCCTAAATGTATTTCAATATATCGCTGTGTGTCACCGGTAAGGGCAAAGTTATTCCAGTCATAGATGATTAGTCTCTTGTGAACAATTCTCGGGAACTGGTACGGAAACAGGTGGCTAAATCTCTTTTGTTGCAATTTGTTTGGCAGTGTTGTGTCCCTTAGGCATGCCAGAAACCTATGGTCGTGGGTTCAAATCCTGGTTCGCCCTGATTTTGTCTGGGTTTGTCAGCACCATAGCTTGTGGGTTTCATCGAAGTGATTAACGTCTGAGACCTTTATTACTTAAGGCTTTCCTCTGCTTTAAGCTGACACGCCGTGATTTAACTGAAATACTGCTCAAAGTGGCGTTAACCACAACTGTCTCATCCATTCAAGAACTAGTATGTGGCTGATGAAGGATCATAGTCATGGGGCTTCTGTGATTCAAACCCGAGACAAGCAGACCCTGCCAGCATGTTGTGAGACCTCAGACCCTGGTCAAGTAGATGACCCATGCCGAGCCCATGTTAATAAAGAATGTTCTTATGGAAGACTCGTATCATATTGATACAACAGCACAAGCTGACATCATGGACATGACAAAACAAGATTACGACACACAAAACAGTTTGATTTGTGGACTTAGTTATAAATGCAAAGATGAACATGAAAAATGAACTCCAAATACCAGTTTCAACTGCAGAACATGCAACACCTCAAATGAATCATAAGGAAAGGATCAAACATGCCCCTGAATACATGTACGTACAACTTAAATCATTTTGCGTGGCATGGTGAAACATGGTGAAACATGGTGAAACATGGTGAAACAACTTGGGCATCAAGGATCTCTTTGACATGAAAATATACCCCTATCCCCATTCTGATACTCTTTAACCCCCAGGTAGTGAGTGCCTTGAATGTATTGGACACTGTGTGTTACTGATCAGACATCCAGCTATTGCTACGCACGACTACCATGAAAGATAGCAGACACTTAAAGGGGATGAAACTCACAGGAATATGGGTTCTGATTAAAACAATGTAAATTGCCTTTGTGCAATCAAACACCCCCTTCTATGTAATCATAATGAGTATATTGTCTCTATGCTGGGACTGACACCCCAACCAAAGTCTCCCTTTAAATGTTGCTTAAATGCCTTTCTTTAAATTGGTTTTAGAGATCAGTCAATCTTTAAAAATATGGTTTGTATTTTGCAATAAAAGGGTGAGAACTGCATATTTGCAAATTTTACCAAACTTGACTAAGTATTGAGAGCATTATACATGAAATTCAATCATGGTTACTGATACATTTCCTGGTTAACATTATAATGAAATACTTAAACAAATAATGGATGACATTCTAAAAAGGACATAAAAAAACATATAAAAGTTTAAAACCAAAACTGAACCCTGAACATTACTTTCCAGTCAGGGGTCCGGAAAATTTAAAATCCCAATCGGACATTTGCATTTAGGCCACGCCCACTTCAAATAGCGTATTTTTGTACAACTTTTCACACACATTACAAGTTAATTAGTGGTTCCACGTTATTGAGCCCTTCGGACAGAAAAATTTAAATGTCTGGTAAGCAATATTTTAAATCGGACATTTGAGATTCCCAATCGCGTATGACCGTTTCCGGATCCCTGTTTCCAGTACTGATACTGTGTTTAGTGTGTTTACCTCCCTGCTTCAAATACAGCCCAGGACAACATCCTTTCATTTGTAACTAATGGAAACAGATGCTGCACACACAATACCAGCATCTCTTATTCAGCAGGCCTTGTTTTAAAGATGAGCAAACCAAAACGTTTGTTAAAATATATATATACTACTAAAAAAAAGTAAAGGATCACCCGATTCTTTCATATTACTATAGTTAATCTGTCATGCCAAAACAATCAACAATTGCAATATGAACGAATCAGATGGTCCTTCACTTTTTTACAGCAGTATAGAGCAGCTGGCCGCAGGGACAGTGATTGGCTTCATACGACTGAGGCATATCTGTATTGTAATCTAGGATTTGATAAACACTTGCTTCTGATCTAATCACGTTGGCAATTTAGTGAATCATCCATCAGAAAAACACACAAGCTTTCACTTCAATTTGCCTCTAATTAAAAAAACATTCCCGAAGCTAGTTTACTCTGCGCAGCACTTGCATTGTCAGATTCACTGTGTGGAGCTCTAGTGTCTTGGTTTGACAACTGCATCGGGCATGAGACGTCACACTCGGAGATTATTTCAAGGATAATATAAAACACAGAACCGTCGATGTACTGTCTCTTTAAAGGGGGTGTCCTTATACATCATCACAGTCTGACTAGTAGATGTTTCAGGTTAAGATTCATCCTTGCTACAATTGTTTTGTTAAATTAACCTTGAACCAACCCTGAAAACAGTCTAAACTGTTCCTAATTTGCCCCTTCTTTCTTGGCACATTGACCAAGGTATCTGTACAAGACAATAGATTGGCCTCAGAGATGACAAATCACTATGAGGCAGCTGTGAACTACCATGTTTTAACCAAAAATCTTCCATTCACATAAAATCACAATCAGACGACTCAATACACCATTCTGCCAGTCCTGTTATGTTGCCCCAACATTTGCCCTAAACTTCAATTATTCTGGATCAATACCTTCAATATCATCAGTTTATTTCGTTACATTTGATATCAGCCTAATGTTTCCAAGTGTGTCTAGTAGTCACATGACTATCATAAACTGAAGAGGTCCCCCGCAGATGGTAGGGGGGCAAGTCCCCCTGTGACGTCAGGGAGGAGAGTGAGATCGGGGAGGTTCTGCAGGTGAGACTTCAGCTCTTGACGTACTGTCGTCACTTTCGCTAGTTTGCCTTTATATTCCTGTAAAACAGAAACGAAGAATAACTATACTGCATCAGCAATATAACTGACAGGAATTTAAGCCAGAGCCCCTCTCCCTAAGGCAAGGGAGTTAACTGACTGTAAAAGTCCAGTTTTTACCCTTGCTGAACTAGGCTTGAATTCTGGAGTTACATTTTGGCTGGACTAACGAGCCTATGCATAGTCCAATCAAATTCGTGCAACGAACTAGACATCCCTAAACAATATGGTTTTCAACCTGCAGATTTCAGTCGACGGCCTGATTTGTAAAGCATGTGTACTGTCAACTGAGCGCCGACAGATATTTTCCAAATTTGTTTCACGTTTGTAATCAAGGTGTTCAAATGAATTGATTCATTACAACATAGATCTTGATTATTCATCAGATCGTCTTCACTGCCATTTTGTTTGAAGCAAATGCAAGTGATATGAGAGGTGGAATGTGATTGGTCAATAGGAGGGATATAGAAGGGCCATAGGAGGGATATAGAAGGGCCATAGAAAGGATTGAGCCACCAAAAATCAAGTGTAGTTTGGCAAGGGTTGAAACTTTATCTTAGAGTCAGTTCACACCCTTGTCTCGGGAAGATGGACAGGGCCCTGTTTCACAAAGCGATCTTAGCACTAAGGTGATCATAACTCCCATACTTTAAGATAGGCTTGTGAAACAGACCCAGATCTCTTTGTTTAATGATGAGCCTGCCATAAATAATGTGGGGCATGTAACATGGGCACAAATATATTCTTAGTATTTGAGTGAGTGAGTTGTGTTTAATGCCGCTTTTAACAGTATTCCAGTCATATCACAGCATTGAGTAGGTATGATAGCAATATCAATCAGCAGTTTGGGCAATATTCCTTCATCGTTCTGACGAGTGAATGCACAAAATGAGAACCCGTTACCGTCATCCTGTTTTCTGCTTCGGTGAGACATTCTCTCTGATGCTGTATAAAGTCGTGAAGCATCCGGGCAACTTTCTTCCTCTCCTCCAGCTCTGAGTTGAGTCTCTGGTTGTAGTCCGACAGCAACATACACGCACTCTCTACCTGCTTCGACAGACGATCTGCTGATTCCTTGTCTGTAAAACAGTGACATGAATGTTTGTTTGTTTGTTGTTTAACGCCACACTCAGCAATATTCCAGTTATATGATAAATGTGTCCATCAATAATCGAGTCTGGACCAGACAATCCAGTGATTGATAGCATGGGCATCGATCCACGCAATTGGGATACGATGACATGCATCAACCAAGTCAGCAAGCCTGACCACCCGATCGATCCCGTTAGTTAATTGAAATACACTCATGGAATAAAATAAGGGGACACCTATCAATTTCCTACTTGGTTCAAACCAGATGCTTAAAAAAAGAAATGAAGTGAAAAGTTGGTATTGTGTGACACTGCCAAAGTACCTCAGGGTGACCTTTTGCAATTTACAGCAGGCCTTACAAGCCTATACACTCTTTCCAGTTTTTGTCAGTAGTGCATGATTAAAATTTATGACAATTGTATCATCACATTGAAAGAAGAAATAACCCCAGACATATTAATAAAAAAAGGTAAAGATATTGTTCACTTCATCAGCAAACTGAATCATGTTTGAGATCTGCACATAAAGCTTCCTGTCACATTTCACCTTATTTTTGTCCATGAGTATATGACATGCTACCGATTGTCTTCTTTACTCAATAAGCCATAATGATGAGAACTAGTATTTCAGCCATGAACTGAATTACTTTACATGACAATAACTAAAACATGCCGCAGTCAGCAATATTTCAGTTATATCACAGCAGCCTGTAAAAAATAAAGTCTGGGCCTGGCAACAGTGATCATACATTGTAACTTTCTGATTCTCATTGGTTGGCTATACACAGGGATCAGGGGATGGGAAGTGTGTGAACGTTGTTTTATGCCAAAGTTAGCAATATTCCGACTGTATCATGTTGACATTACTGTAACAATTATCCTTGCTGTTATTGAACATACATATATAAACTTATTGCTTCTATCAAAAACATAATTGGCAAAAAGGAGCAAATTAGGAAAGTGAGTGAGTGAGTTTTGATTTTTCACTGCTTTTAGCAATTTTCCAGCAATATCACGGCGGGGGACACAAGAAATGGGCTTCACACATTGTACCCATGTTGGGAATCGAACCCGGATCTTTGGCATGATGAGCCAACGCTTTAACCACTAGGCTACCTGACCACCCCGCAAATTAGGAAAGAGAAAAAATGAAATCCAACAACCAATAAAAGCGTGTTAAGACCAGGCAAATACCTTTCTGGCTTTATGGATGAGATTAAAAAAAATACACAAACAAAAAATGCTTCGAACATCATTTAATGTTTGTTTGGTATATTTATTTCAAGAATTAATAACTACGTAGTTGACATTTGTATAATTTTGTCTCCTGCATTTTGACCAAGACAATCTGAAAAGAAAACGCTTGACTTGAGAATACACTTAAAACACCTATTGGATTAGAGGTCAGCTAACTACAGTGTTAGAAATGAAAAAAACCCTAAGTCCTGTCACCTTGTTTACCTTGAATTTTGTCAAGGTGAGAAATGTCGGAGACCTCCTGGGGTAAGGCCGCAATCTTTTCTCTGACTGCAGCGTCACTGGAAGCTGAACTCTCCAGGTCTGACAAACGTTTGATGAGATTATCAGCCTGGAACAGACATAATAGTTAGGCATCAGTAGGCATCTTCCAGAGAAACTTGTCAGGGACTGAGTGAATGTTGTTTTATGCCAACACTACAAGTCCGGTCAGGTGAAGCAGTAAATTAACCAATACTCTCAATGTACAATGAGACATGTCCAGCATTGTGACCATCTGATCCCATGGTCTGAATGGGTAGCACTTTGAGGTCAGCTGCAAATTCTCATCCAACAACATGGGGATGGTGAGGTAGCCTAGTGGTTAAAACGTTTGCTTGTCATGTTGAAGGCCCGGGTTCAATTCCCCACATGGGTACAATGTGTGAAGCCCATATCTGGTGTCCCCCGCGGTGATATTGATGGAATGTTGCTAAAAGAGGCGTAAAACCACTCTCACTCACTCATCCAACAACCAGTACAAGCATAAGTGCAATCATAGACAAACTGTATATTTCGAAAACTAATGAAGTTTTAGTGTTTTCAGATAGACATCCAACCTGCACGTTTTACTGTGTGAGTGAGTGAGTGAGTGAGTGAGTGAGTGAGTGAGTGAGTGAGTGAGTATGGTCTTGCGCCGCTTTTAGCAATATTCCAGCATTATCAGAGCGGGGGACACCAGAAATGGGTTCCACATACTGTACCCATATGGGGAATCGAACCAGGGTCTTTGGCATGACAAACGAACAATAACAGCGAAAGTTTTAGCAAAATAATACCAGTCTGTGTTGATATGTATGTCAGTATCCATTCCATGTTCTATCTACAATCTGCATCACTTCAAGATTTACAACTACGTTAAGCTGTCGGGCCATGAACTGATATGCCACGTGGTGTTACGTCCACGGACTCTCTCACTTACATCAGGAGGGATGGGGAGGGGCTCCATGGCTTCCACTTCCTCCCGGAGAGACAGGAAGTGCTGATCGTGCTTCTTCTTCTTCACCGCCGGCTGAACCGGTTCAGGCTGGACCACAGTGGGGGTGCCTTCAAACGTCACACAAAACATGCACATATAAAGCCATAATAACATATACATCAGATTTCCATCCCCATCCACACTACCACGACCTCACATCATTCCACTGTCCCAAAGTATCTACATAAGAAGAAATTTGTTATAAGAAAAAACATGTATTGAGTCTTACCAAACAATTATGCTATGTGTGAATGACAACCATTCGAGTGAGTTAGTGAGATGGGTTTAACGCAGCTCTGAACCGTATTCCAGTTATTTTATGTAGTGTCAGTTAACAAGGGAAAAAAGCCTGAAGTGATGAAGTTCGTGAAGCCCACTAGCAAGAGTATGGTGCTGACAAACCTGGAAACAATCAGGGCGAACCAGGATTTGATACGATCATAGGTTTGTGACCAATAGTCGCAACTCTGCACAGCAAATTATGGTGCCTTATACAACTGGGCCCCCAAATTATGCAGATGCCTTGAACAGTTTGCTTAAAAAATAATAAGACAGAAAACATTACATGCCTCATGTTTACAGAAGATTTGCAATTTATCATGTTTATTGTGGCCTAGATAGTGATGTGGAAGAGAAGGGGTCCTACGGTTCTTGAGGTTTGAAGCTATAGTATTTGAATCTGAGGATCTACTGCATTTTTATCTTTTAACATTAGTGTTATGAGATTAGAGATTCAAGGCATCTGTGTAATTTGAGGGTCAGAGGTGACCCAGTCATCTGGCGCACAACAATTTGTTGTGCAGAGTTGTGTACCCTGGGCACCCCAGAAACCTATGATCATGGTATCGAATGCTACTTTGCACTGAATATGTTTCTAGGTTTTCCAGCACCATACCTTTGCTATGACTGTCACTTGTCTCCCATACCTTAACATAAGATTTATAACAGCTATGGAGTCTTTGTGGAAATTTAAACAGAAAAACAAAATCGCTTACTCTTACTTGTTAACTGGTGTTTCATGGACCTGATGAACTCTTTAACATAAACACCCCTCTCCTGCCATATGTTCAACACTCGTTCAAGTGACCTCTTCGTCTTGTCATCAGCATCTCTGAAAGAAAAGTCACCATGATATTCTCCAATGTATTCAGTATTTTCAGTGAGCTCTTCGGGATTCTGAAATGTCTACGTAGCTTCCTCAGCAGTCTGTCAGTCTCCATTATTCATATCCAGATAAAGTGAAACCCTTGATATCAGGAAACCCTCCTTTCCAAGCAGTGTCTAAGCTTTACGATGTTAACCATATCGTATCGATCGCTTACCTTCTTAAATTCCTAAATATATTGTTTTTAATTCATGTGCACGGCAATAACCAGACTGAGTTTGTTTGTTTGTTGTTTAATGTCCCTCTCAGCAATATTCTAGCTACATGATGGGGGTCTGTAGATAATTTGGGATGGACCAGACAAACCAGTGATTGATATATTAAATAACATCCCATGCTGTCTCAGCACAATGACACTCAATCAACTGTGTGAGTGTATTATTTCAATACCAACTTAGCCATTATGACCACATTAATAAATACAGAAAATGCATCAATAAATATTGAAACTACATCAATAGAATAAATACATAATATACACGAAGAAAAAACCTTAATAAATAGAGAAAACACATACTTTGATGCAATTCTGACAGCATCAGGGAGGACTGTAGCAAAGTCTCTGGTGAACTCTGGCCCCTTCTTTTTACTGTTCTGGATGACGTCATTGGCCAAATAGAAGAATGTCAGCTTCTTACTAGTCTTCCCTGTGGATCATACAGTACAGCACACATTGAATACCTTCACTACATTGCACTCATCAGGATTCAGGCAGGATTCAGGGCAGTCGGGTAGCCTTGTGGTTAAAGTGTTCTGTTGCCACGCTGAAGATCCAGGTTCGATTCCCGACATGGGTACAATGTGTGAAGCCCATTTCTGGTGTCCCCCACCATGATATAGCTGGAATATTGCTATAACCATACTGACTCACTAAGGCAGGATTCATTTGTTTCCTGGTCGAGTGAGTGAGTGAGTGAGTGAGTGAGTGAGTGAGTGAGTGAGTGAGGTTTTACACTGCTCTCAGCAATATTACACCAACATCAACATGGGGGAAACCAGAAATGGGCTTTACACAATGTTCCCATGTGGGGAACCGAACCAGGTCATTGGTGTGACAAGCGAATGCCTTAACCACAAGGCTTCCAAACAACCCCTCTGATTTTAGTGAAAATAAATCCTAATTGGTAGGTGGTAAAACATTTCAGATTATTCTTTTGGTTCTGAAACCTGCTTAAAAGGTGAACTGAATATGTTGCCATTGTGCAGTGTTTGTTGAGCTTGTGTCGCTGTTTAACCTAGCGGAACCTACTGTCTTGCTGTTCAGCCTAGCAGCCTAGCTGTCCAGTTTGTTGAGAACATTGAGAGTTTGCATTCAGTGGACTAATAAAGTGCTTTTCATATTAATTTTACCTACTTTCCATCATTTTAGATCATCAGAATCTAGTGATTTGCATTGGCCTTTTTATCACAAATTATTGCAATAATATTTCATATATTGCAATACATAACACAATATATTGCATGCATTCTTTCATCTGTAATTCATTATGAACCCAAATATAAATAACACAAATGACTTTTGTCTATCATTCTGTACTGAAAGTTGACAGTTCCCAGACAGACAAAACAACTAACAATACAATGTAAGACTTGTCACTTGTATAAACTTTGAACAAGAAACAAGAAAAAAATATGCATAACTTTGACAAACGCAATGTACCAGTATGTTCCAAACGTTGTTATACGTATTTATTTGTATTTCAAATTGTGGTATACCGGTAATACCGCACACCTCTCTTCTGCTGTAATTTAATTTGAAAATAATTCCATGTTGATGGTTCAATAGGCAGCGTTAGAAATTGGCACTAGTCCTATAGTCCTTACCAAACTGCCCAATAGTAAAGGTATCCTAAGGACTAGTAGAAATTGGCCCATTTTAAAGGTTTTGCTATATGTTATCATTATAAGGACTAGTGGACAAAAACTGTTAGTTTCTAACCCTGATAGGTATCATGGCTTTCTCAACATTAGGTAGACACTTAGTTCATACTACAATAAACAAAAATTAAAATTTACACGCTATACAGCTTTTCCATTGGACGAAAGGTCAGTCACGTGACCGTGAATCAGTGTATGAACAACACAATTTGACGTTCATACGTTTTTCACGAGACTGAAATGACGTAAACACTGACGGACTACTTCCACATTCTGGGGGAACCCCTGGGAACTCCCTTGCACGAATACATACAGAAGCGTTCTTTCTGATCATTCAGACACTTTAATCTTGATTTCAGTGTTTTAGTTTACATTGACAAACGTCAGAGAGTTTGACTGAATGATATATCCTCGCTACCACCATGCTAGTGAACAAAACGAAGAAACACACATCAAAACTGTCGTAGTATCGACTCGATCCGTGTCTTGACAGAAAGTTACAGTCTACAGCAATCTATGCATTTACCTTAGTGTCTGTTTGACACATATTTAATCATCCTTCAATGATCGACCAATTGATCAAAGATGACTAAAACATGTTCGTTTGTTTGTTATTTAACGCCACACACAGCAAAATGTCAGCTGTCTGTAAATAATCGAGTCTGGACCAGACAATCCAGTGATTGACATCATGAGCATCGATCCATGCAATTGGGATATGATGACATGCATCGACAAAGTCAGCGAGCCTGACCACCCGATCCCGTTAGTCGCCTTTTACGGCAAGGATGGGTTGCTAAAGACCACAAAGTGAAAGTCAATTTTTAAAGGTAGGTAAATTAATGTCTTTTAGTCATCTCACTACAACAAAGAGAGCTTCGGTTTGATTTAAATCTCTATCAAGATCGGGAGGATTATGGGACAAATAAATCTTAGAATATCTGAGAAAATTGATGACCTTGGTTTCAGAAATTTGGATCATGGAAGGGGAACGAACCTGGGCCTTTGGCACGACGAGCGATCACTCTGATCATGAGGCTACCCACTGCCCCTGAGTTAATGAACATATATATATATGAATGAAATAATGATTTTATCTCTCCAGCAACACTGTTAGTGTAATCCCGATAATACTGCTTTTGTACAACAGATGTAATCCTGATACTTGATGGTGTTGTTCGTAATTGTGTCCCAAAAGCAATAATGTTAAATCCTATTGTACACATGCAGTGGTCCCGTTTACTTTTGAAACTACCAGACCACCAGGACTGGCAACACTAAACATTACCATTACCCCCTAATTTTTGTCAGTCTCAACTGTTAGCAAATAAAAAAAGTATGATAATTAATTGGTTTTAATTCTATTAACATCATGTTCAATGCAATGACGTCATCTCTGAAGTAACTTCATTAAATATACATGTCATTTAAATAAAGTTCAGTCACATTTTTCTTTTGGGGGGGGGGAGAGAATATTTCAAGCAGAAGTTGGTACAAATATATAGTTAACCTCATAGCAAAGCGAAATGTAATTTGCTTGCACTTATAATAGATAAGGGGAAACCCTGATGGTAACAGACAAGCTGCCTTCATTCGAAACTATACTAACATGAATATAGCCAATGTTTTGTTCAAAAACAAAGATTTATAAGGTGCTTTCTTATGAATTCCCAGTCCAAGCCTAATTTTACCGGTAAAAGACAGGTAATTACCGGAAAACAGGAACACTGCATATGTAAGACTCACATTCACAGTGGATTGTCTCATTTAAGGCAGATTTAGAAGTCAATTGTTGTATGACGCCATTTATGCATCCAGTACGGATTCTCAAATCAATGGCACATACTCAACATACAAAAAAATTATGTCTGTTGCTGGTGACATGAACTTTGCCATCATCATGATCATGTGCATAATTATTTGTATTACACATGATAATGAATAGTAGGTCTTGGACGGGAAATTCGGGTACCCGGGTCGGGTTGGTGCCGAGTAGGACCCGGCTACCCACAGGACTACCCGGATCCATGGTTAGTCACGTGATATATTGTTTAATGACAAAAATTATCTCGAACTCGATGACTACACTACATGTCACTAATGTTTGCATTTCTTCCTGACTATGCACCCATTCCTTCTGACTTTTCATATGGTTGAATAAAGGTATAACTTGAGTCAACTTCAGTGTATGGATGACCAGATTGTTTAATACATGTATCTAAATACGTTTTGCCAGGGCTTTGGTAAACAAATTCCCAATCGGACATTTTGTATCTCTTGAGACCAACAGTTGGTACCCAGGTAGGGTAGGGTCGGGTAATAGGGGGCAGGGTACCTGGGTAGTAAATTTGGGCTCATCCCACTCCTAATGAATAGGGTGTAAAACTCTCTTCTCTGGGAACATGGTGATACTGTTCTTCTTTGTGGGACACAATGCTGACGACATGACTAGGAGCATGATGTTAAATCAAAAGGATATCATACAACATGTATAACAACACAAACAAACTTGTGAAAAAGTCATGTTTTCTATATTTAATAACATCTCAAGAAGCTAAGAGGGTCAAGATCTGTCAGCATGATGTCTATATGAAGATGTTACAGTTAGGGCTGGATTGACATGGTTTATGCAGTAAAGAATCCTTGAAACATTAAAGCATAATTAGAATATGTCCATAAACTAGACTTGGGTCTTCCAGAACTGCTCATGATTAATCACTGTAACTTGTCCTGATTATTGACAATGAATATACATCACTGTATTGACTAAGTGACACTTGCCACCTCAGATAAGGACATTTTGCTATGTCTAAACAGAGACACACATACAACTTTGAAACATATTAGTACGTTGACTTTCATTCATAGCATGGATTGTTGCAAGAGAATGTAAGCTGCCAAAGCATAAAGGATAAAACTGAAATGTGAAAATAACTAAGTTCTTATACCAAACTAAATACACCACACGATATGGTTTGGAGCCGAGTTTCACTGTAGGTCATGCATGTCAGGCATTGCAAGCACTATCTTTGGGCTAATAAGTATTTTTTACATAAACAAAATCATGAGTCAGAAACATTTAACAGTTGTTTGGTGGACCAAAATTAATACCTATTCTTATGTAGCCAACGTAGGCATAGTCCTTTTTCATAAAAACAATATTGTCATCTTTTAAATAACATATCCAGTTATTAGCTAAATGAACAACGACAGATTTAAAAAAAAACATTATTCAAAACAGAAAAACACGCCTCTTAGATTGCTTGTGAATAAAAATTGTTTAAATGATAACTGGGCATTTAAATATTATCTGTTCTTGTTGCCCAACATTTGGCTCTGTTTTGATCTCGGCAGCATTGGACAGTGCCAGTGACTGCTTTTCCAGCTGTTTACATCACCTTTCATAATCTCTCGGTGCCACACTTGTACAATTGTTTTCGAGTGTTTCCGGTGATGAATCAGCCATAAGGACAGCGTCTGGATGCTCTGTTGTGTGTTGTTCAGTTCAAAAAGCTTTTTGGAGAAGTTAGAATCAGAAAAAGACGACATGTTGTTTGGTAGATGGGTATTCTAATGCAATAAATGCTCCCTGAAACGGAAGTTGAGTGGGCGATTCCAAAACATAAACATAGGATAATACAGGACCCTTTATTTACGATAAATACAATGCATATAAGATTTTGATTATTTTGGTAATCACACATGCTAAGATTATAATGTTACATGCTTTGAATACAGGATTAATTATATAAACGTCTTCTAAAGCGAACATTGGTAAAGATCAATCGTCTCCACCACCCCTAGAGTGAGACAGAGGAAAATGAAAACTTGGCCAGACATGCGCTGTTTAACTTCCGTGAAATAAAGCCCGGCATGAACTAAAACCGAAGGGAAAGCGCAGCTCAGACAGTGACAGAATTACTTCTCTTTGATAAACATGCCGTACGCCAACCAGCCAACTGTTTCAATCACACAACTCACAGATGAAAACATAAAGTTTATTCTTGAGGACACTGATTTAAGGTGATCAGCTTGGAAATGTCACCTAACTGCGTAATCAGTGGGTTGACATAACACGTTCATACAGTAGTTGCAGAAGACATCTAGACAATAGCCATGCGACAAACCAAATATATTGTTAGTATCTGGATGTTTGAAAAATCAATAGGTGCAGCTATATTCACTATATCTGAGTACCGTAGTGGAAACGCGGGTGCTTTCTTTTGATTTCCATGGATGTACAACACACCATCCCGAATTACCCTTTCGTAAAACTAACATTACAATTTATATTTTTACGTCCTCTCTCTTTCATCGCTGTTGATCAAATTCACTATAAGAATGTTTAGATCCTTTCTAGCAGGTTTATCTAATATAGTCAGATTTACTCCAGAATGTTTATGTTATAAGACGTTGTTTACATGGTAATGTAAGCATACTGCCAACTTCTGCACCTTTGAGTTGAGTCATTTTGTTTGGTATCAGTCCATATGTATTAACAACTTACAATCCACTGAGACAATTTCAGGAAAGTATACACAGTTGACACAGACTACACTTGTCACCGGACATCAAGCTCTGTAGATGTCTGAGTTAAAATATCCGCTGCTTATGAGACCAAATGAAATTATACCATACACTTGGCATCTAACAGGTAGCTTAAGTTGTAGACTGCACCCTCTATTAAATGAATGTCAACAAAATTTGAATATTTCATGAAATAGTTTACAATTATTTTAACATCAATATATGCTTCTGTTCACAGTGTTGCGAATAGTTTACGAAGAGTGTGCATTGCTGAGGTACCAACCATAGGTCAGTATCTGTAATGTTTTGTAAATCTTATTTTTCACCCCATGTCATCACCAAACATTGCTGACCTTCTCCCGTTGTAGCATGGAGCACCCATCAGACCTTCTCTAGCATGTCTTTGTCAGTCATTTACATTGTCTTTGTTTTAAAAATCACTGACCTATGGCTCCTCAAATGTCAGATTTTTGTTTATGTTGGGAGCATGGGTGACCCAGTCGACTCAGCACTGCGATTTGTTCTATCGAGTTGCGTCCTTTAAGTGTAAGAGACCCCTTTTATTATAGGTTTGAATCCTGGTTTGCCCTGATTGTTCCTTTGCTCCAAAGCTGTAAATGTCCAAGGCCTCCATCACTCAGGACTTCCTCCCACGTCAAACTGACATGCTATGATATAACTATACTGATCAAAGTGGTGTTAAACCAAACTCACTCACTCGAGGTGTCCTGTCTTTAACCCAGCAACTGCTTCATCCTGTTTGTGTATGAATACATATACATTTGTATTCATATTGAAACAGAATTAATGAAAAAAATATTTTGAAATAGATACTGCTTTTATTTAGCCATTGCAGAATTTATTGACCCTTGGGTATTTCTTTCATTGTTGCAGTAACAGGGCACACTATTTCTTCATTAATGATTTTGTGTATAAAATCTGTTCCATGTTGCTATTTTAGCCATTGACTGGGTCCAGATGGAAGCCAACTCCACAGTTCTGTTTGATGAGTTTATTTCACATCGACTTGGGCTGATTCCACTCACTAGTGATGAGGTGGTTGACAAGTTACAGTACTGCAGGGTAAGCATGTGTCTGACTGTTACATTGAATATGAGTTGCTTAGTCTTTTGATGATAGTGTTATTTACAAGCAACAACCAGTATTTCTTCAGAACATGTAAGAAGAAAAACCTCTTTGGTATTGTGAATAAAGTATTGTAAGTGGTTGAATGTCACATTATGTTTAGCCCTTTTATACACGATACAGCCTGAGACTCAAGCTACAATGTGTTTGGTCTGATAACCCCATGTGTTCTGAACTGACAGCTGTGAAACCTGTTATAGGAATATCATATTATTATATACAGAATAAAGATCTACTTAAATTTGATGCTCATGATGTCAATCACTGGATTGTCTGGTCCAGACTCGATTTACAGACCGCCTCCATATAGCTGGAATATTGCTGAGTGCGGCGTTAAACCACAAACAAACAAAACAAAACTTAAATTTGAGTTATGGTTTTGTCTGAGGTATGGGTGGTTGACTCCCCCAGGGTGCTGCAATTCACTGTACGGAGACTCCAGAGTTGTGTCCCTTAGACATGCCAGGATCATATGATCATGGGTTTGTTCCTAATCATGATCCTTTGTTTGTTAGCACAATGTATATGCCCTTGGGTTTCACCAAAGTAAGGCATATCAATTTGCTCTGCAGAGTTGCTTCCCTTAGGACTGCAAGATTTATTGATTAATGTTAAAGGAGTAGAATAGATCTTCAGCAACCCATGCTTGCCGTAACAGGCAACTATGCTTGTCGTAAGAGGCGACTAACGGAATCGGGCGGTCAGGCTTGCTGACTTGTTTGATGCATTTCATCGTATCCCAATTGCGTGGATCGATGCTCATGATATTAATCATTGGATTACAGACCGCCTTCATATAACTGGAATATTGCTGAGTGACGCGTTAAGTAACAAACCAACCAACCAACCAAGTTACCCACTCTGTAATGTTATCTTCTGGCATGTGTGATGAATGTTTCAGGACTGTACCTGTGAGGAGTTCTGTCCAGAGTGTGCTGTGGAGTTTCAACTGGAGGTGAAATGTCTAGATGACCAGACACGCCATGTCACCAGTGCAGACCTTCACTCCTCAAACAACAAAGTTGTTCCTGTAAGTTTCTCACTGCGTACGATCAAGATATCTCAAGATATAAGTTTATATTGTAGTTGAATTGAAGAAAATGCTCACATATCATATAAACTCATCATTTTTCATCAATCATGGGGTGGTAGGGTTGCCTTAGGGTTAAAGCATTCACTCATCACGCTGAAGGCCCAGGTTTAATTCCCACATGGGTACAATTGGCCCATTTCTGGTGTCCCTGCGACACGATATTTGCTGGAACATTGCTTAAAGCAGAGTAAAACCATACTCACTTGATCAATCCTTATATCTTCATGCTGTTACTGTAAGACGTTTGGTTAGAAAAGTGTCATTCAAATACTGTCCAAGATTACTTGTCTCCCTTTGATAAAGTCAGGTTATTTTCTTGCATACTTCGATGGTTCATTATATATGTGACCCCATGTTAGACTGTCCAAGATTAGTTGTCTCCCTTTCAATATCTCAAGTGTTCAGTGAGTGTGAGTGAGTGAGTGAGTATGGTTTTACGCCGCTTTTAGCAATATTCCAGCAATATCACGGCGGGGGACACCAGAAATGGGCTTCACACATTGTACTGTCGGGAATCAAACCCGGGTCTTCGGTGTGACGAGCGCCCCTCAAGTGTTCAGGTTGTATTATTACAATATGTATAATTATTATATAATATGTGAGCCGAAAGGCTGTAAGGTGTCATGCATACTACATTATATATATGTGAACCCATAGAGACCCATTCTCCCATTGTAAGAGGCGACTAGTTTGAATCAGGTGGTCAGATTCCGACTGGCTAAATGCATGTCAGCACTCCCCACTGGCGTGGATTGTTGCTCATGTTTTCAATCAATGATTTGCCTGGTCCAGGTTATTGACAGGCTGCTGTGATGTAGCTTGAATATTGTTGACTAAGGCATTTAACAACATTCACTTTCCTTCACTGGTGTCAAGGGGGCACAGGTGGCCCAGTCATCTAAGGCGCCGCAATTCGCTGTGCAGAGGTGCGTCCCTTGGGCACGACAGAATCCTATGATTGTGGATTCAAATCCTGGTTCACCCCGATTATGTTTCTAGGTTTGTCAGCACAATACCCTTGCTCGTGGCTTTCACCGAAGTGGTAAATGTCTGAGATCTCAATCATTCCGGGCTTCCCTCCCACATTAAGCTGACATGCCGTGATATAACTGGAATACTGTTAAAAAACGGGCTAAAACAAGGACTGGTCGGCTCGGAGTCAGTATACTGTGTCTGAGTGGGGTATTCATGTTAAACTGCGGCATGGTATCTCAGTGAGCTAGCACTATAAATCGGCATCAGTTCGGACTAGTACAAGCAGCCGCACACTCACACACACGTGCATGCAAGTTGCTATATAAGTGCAATAATCTTGAACGCGACGTTCAACCCCATTTCACCTCACCTCACCTCACCAAATTGATGTTTGAATGACTTAAATCAATCTAGTTAGGCCTGCCAATAGACTTCTTTTAATGGCTGTAGAGAAAAAACCTCACTCCTGTTGATGCAACATGAATTTGTTCATGTTAGATCATTTTGTCAGATGAAAATCACACAGAATTGCAATAAACTAAAAAAGCAATCAGTATCATTGCTTGATGCATGTCATCATATCCAAATTCCGTGGGTTGATGCTCATAAGGTCAATCATTGGATTGTCTTGTCCAGACTCGATTATTTACAGACTGCCGTGATATAGCTGGAATATTGCTGAGTGTGGCGCTAAACAACAAACAAATAAACAAATCCAACTGGAAATTTTCAAACATCAGGTCATGATGAATAATTTACGATGTTAACCCCTACCAACCCAAATATGTTTGAGAGTAATTAACCCCTATTGTTAACCCAGACTGTTTCAATGTTATTCAAGACATGAAATTGCAAAAATATCATGCCACATTTTTCACTAAATGATCTAATAATTCATTTAGGTGAGATCTGAAAAGTAAAAAATCTCATAATTCTTTTAAGGTGAGATCTGAAAAATAGAAACAAAACAGGTTTTGTAAAAAAAAAATAGTTTATTCTTGTAACAAATGTAAATGTGATGCAACAGTTGTGCACGAAGTAAGATGTCCCCGGGCCCAGGAAATGTTATAGTGTAACATGACTTGTAAATATTTGAATAACAATTAAGTTAGGAAGAATCTGATCACATATATATAATGATATAGAAATATGTCTTAAAATGAAAAAAATATATATATTGAAAAAAGCATGATCAGGATAAAATTGGTTTCAATGTAAATATTGCAAAAATAGCTTAGAGAACGATAATGATAAAATTGGTTTCAATGTAAATGTTGCAAAAATAGCTTTCAGAAAAATAACAATTATCAAAAACATATATGATTTAACATGCAGAACACATCTATGTAAACTACAGCATACATAGCATTAACAAATGAGAAATCGAGTTTGAGTAGCATAGTTCAGTATCCATATTGACCAGTGAGTAGCTAATGATAACATTATCCTACTTTTAACTCCGCCATTTTGAGAATGTCCCTGATTGTGGGCCTGCTGGCTGGATCCACCATAAGGCACAACCACACCAGGTCCATGAGAGCCTGTCCCCCTCTCAAAATGTCGGGGGGTAGTTCCCCCTGGATGATCTTCATGTAGACAGCGAAGGGGTTGGTGCCATCTGAATCAAAGTAGGCTGGCTCGAGGGCAAGCATTTCATAAATGACGCAGCCAAGTGACCAGACAAATGCTTGTTCGTCGGGGTTGTTCCGCGTGAGAATCTCCGGGGCTTCATAGACTGGTAATGGCGTGCCCATGTTGAGGGCAGTGATGTCCTGTTCATCTGGCTGACTTTCGGTTAAGTCAAAGAAGATCCTGCCATCACATGTGAAGTTGATAACGGCTGTACTTAGCTTGCCAGAAAAACCGGAAGCATTAAGGAGGACCCAGCGACAGAATTCACACACAACCTTCCATGAAACTTCGTCACTGATGCGAGTGCCGTTCTGCTTGCAGGCTTCAATGATGTCTTGCAGATTTTCTGTTTTCTGGTAGATGGAACACTGGTATTCCCCTTCTTCAAACGAGGCGAGGAAACTAGGATGGCTTGTGTTGATCTGAGATCCTTGAAGCAGAACAGTTAGATTTTTAAAGAGTTGTCCTAAGTAGTGGCGAAAAAATGGTTATCATATTTACTGATGAAACAGGAATAGTGATCAAAAAGAAAAACAGAAATGTTATATTGTAAGCTGGTAAAAGTCGTAGTTAATGATAAGATAGAATTGATTATCACAACCAGTTAGATAATGGAAATGGTTTTCATCCATACCAGTAGTAATAAAACCATAGTCTTATCATAATTAGCATGGTTAGTGATAAAGTAGAAACAGATATCATTAGTAATAGAACTGTTATATTATTGTAATTAGTGATAAAATGGAAACGGATGTCACTAGTACCGGTAATATGACTAATATTATTGTGATTATTACTAAAGTATGATGGGTTCACTATGAAGCAGATCCTGCTTTTACCGGATGGCTGTATCTTGAGGATGACTTTACTGTTGTCAAACAGACAGGTTGCTGGGTATGTCCTGTTCAGGTGGTTGGAACCGTTCAGGGAGGCAGGGTCGATGAGGAAATCACTGAGTCCGATCTTGCTGATGTTGTTTGCAATTTTACTTGGCACAGGTAGTGTCAGCATCTAGGGAAAAATGGTTTTGTCAAAGTACTTATCATATGAAACTACATATGTATTTGTGATAATTAAGTCATGTTACAGTTGTGGATTTCACAAAAACAGAACAATGAATTTTCTTGTTTTACGATTTGTCTGTGCTGAAGTGTTAAAATATGAAGGGAGGACCAAAAATAGTCAGCAGAAGTTATTGAGGATGTCAATAATCTTGATAAATATGATAAACCTTAGTTAACCACTGAAGATTTTGTGTTGAAAGTTCCAATTGACCCTCAGGAATCATGGTATGTGCTCTCTAACAATTGTTTCAAATATAAATGAAAACAATGATTTGAAATAAGCTCTCTTTTGATCTAGTTATACATGTCTTTTTTGTTTTTTATTTTCTTTTAGAAAATATAGTCTGTAAAATGAGTCCAAGCATGAACATGTCGTAGGCAAATATTGTGTGGTGTTAGGGAAAACTACAGTAAACTACGGTTATCACGAATTCAATGGGACCACTAGTTTTGTTTCCTTACAATCGTAGTTTGTTATGAGCATGTATACAGCATTTATACAGCAAATGGCCGGGACCAAAAATCAGTTATGTCCATCAGTTTGTTATAAGCGTGATTGTTATAAACATTGTTTTCTGTAATAACATATGGAATTTACGAAAATTAGAGACAATTGTGACCTCGACACACGCATTACAGCCTATGAGAGGTCAAATCATCCTCGATTATCCAGGGTATTATATCTCCATTCTATTGTAATAAATACCCTGAACCTATTCATCACTATAGCTTTGTTTTGGAAATGATCTCATCTACATATCTTTTATCACTGACTAAGCTCAGAAAACTTGCTCATGGGTATAACCTGTGTGGACAGTTTTTTGTTGTGTGATGTCTGTCAAATCAGGCTCAAAACCAAGCTGTAGTGGCAAATGGCTCCAGTACTTATCATAAAAGAATAGGGATGTAATGCAGCAATACACCTGATACACTGGGGAATTGAGCATGAGGGCAAGTAAGTCTTGAATGCAAAGATAGGTCAACTTGGATTCTACTTGTGCAAGAGTATGTAACATACTGACAAGTTTTGAGTCAATGGTGTTGAAGAGAGTATATAGACATGTGTTACCTGGTCGACACGCTTGAGTGTGACGGACTGTAGGATGGTGTTCCTGCACCAGTGGTTGAGGGTGGGACAACATGTGTTGCTGTGAAGTTGGATCACAGTCTGGGTGATTGGGTTGAAGGAGTGGCGCATAGTTCTGCAACAGAGTCAATCATGCAATCAGCAGCGTTAGAAATTGGCACTAGTCCTGTAGTCCTTACCAAACTGCCCAATGGTAAAGGTATCCTAAGGACTAGTAGAAATTGGCCAATTTTAAGGGGTTTGCTGTATGTTATCATTATGAGGACTAGTGGACAAAAACTGTTAGTTTCTACCCCTGAATCAGTCATACTTTCATACTATTAGGAGGCATGGGTGGTCCAGTTGGCTGAGGCGTGGTAATTTGCTGTGCAGAGTTGCATCCCTTTGGTGTGCCAGAGATCTGTGATTGTGGTTTTGATGTATTGATTTATGTTTTAGTATTATACCCATGCTCATGGGATTCACCACTGTGGTAACTGTCAATGGTCTGCATCACTGTATGTTTCCCTCCAACATCTCTGTGTGATATAACTGACATTATTCCAAACTTACTCACTCACTGCTACCAAAGCTGTTTCAAAGTATTACCTTATGGTAACTGAATTATATGTTCAGTTTTTTATATGTCTTGTTTTATACCGCAGTCAGCAATATTCTGGGCTAGGCAAAGTGATTGATATTTTGAGTAATGTCCAACACTGTTGAGATATGAGGCAATCAACCAGGTCACCAAACTTCACCATCCAATCTAGTCTGTCTTACAGACCCTGATACAACTATATCAAATCCAGCCCATGCAAGTCTATAATGTTTGGCTAGTCTAGATTACTGCTGTATCTGAAAATGTAGAGAGTCTCCGGGCTCCCTTTTATTATATTTTTATTAAGATAATTGAACAACTGTTTTTTTCGGTATGATATGTTCATTTCAGAGACCAGGTATTAGTCTACATCCGATCCAATTCAGTTGTCTCTTATGACACACTTGACCAGCAATAGGGTGCCAGGGAAATATCGAGGGATGTAAAACCCCAACAATTAACAAGTTTTAACGTTGCTTAGTGGTAAAGAATCAAAGTTCTCTCTGAAATAGGTCTGTCTGTTGCACTTCTTTCAGGATACGGGTAGTGTTCCAGCTGGCTTTGGAAATTGCCAGTCCTGGTGGACTGGAAACTCTAAAAATTACCAGTCCCCACTAAGTTTTGTCAGTCCCAACTTTCAACAAATAAAAAACGAATGAAAATTACCTGGTTCTAATTCCCTCAACATCATGTTCAATGCAATGACGTCTTGCAGTAATTCAGTTAGATCTACACGTCATTCACACAAAGTCCAGTCACAAATTTCTCCTTTTTAAAAAATATTTTTACACTAAGTCGCTAAAAATGCATACTTAACCTCGAAGCAAGGCAAAATGTTATATCCTTGCACTAAAATTGACAAGGGGAAACCTTGATGGTGACAGACAAGCTGACTTCATTCGAAAAATATACTTATATGAATATTGCCGATTTTTTGTTCAGCAAGAGAGATTTATAAGGTACTCTATTTGCCGGTCCACAGGGACTGGCAGTCACATGAATTACCGGTCTATGCCTAATTTTACCAGTTAAAAACTGGTAATTACCGGTAAACGGGAACACTGATGGGTGCAAGCAGGTAGGGGTGAAATGATACAACAAGGTCCCAATACGATATGTATCATGATACAATAAGTATCCCAATACACATATTTGGTTCAACTCACATGGAAACCTCTTGACAGTAATTATTTCAGAGCAGGTTCAAAAGGTAAAGCTAGCTATACATTGTGGCTATTTTTTGTAGTGAACGTGAAACCCTATTTACAACACATTTCGCGATATTTGACTGAAGGAAATGCTGTGTGTCATTAAACGAGTAGTAAGTGACTTATTTTAGCAAGTGTATCATCATGTATTGATACAGAAAAAAACATACCGTATTCGACTTAATAAGCGCCCCGCTCTAATAAGCGCCCACGACTATATTAGCTAATATAGTGGCTAGTGACAAAATCCCAATAAGCACTCCTTTCGATTGATCAATGTACTCAAGACTTATTTATTCGCGTATAATACGCACTCGTGTTTTATATGCATTCTTAATTATGGGCAGTTAAATTTTGGAAAAATGTATCTGTCGCATATAAACATTTAAGTGTGTCAGCATAAACCACAAAATTTATCTTTCAACTCTCTTTTTTCCAACAAAATAATACTCTAATAAGAGCCCCCTATTTCTAATTTTGAGAGCGCCCTGGGCGCTTATTACATAGAATACGGTATTGTGTATTGCATCATTGCATGAACACTCAAGATTGATGTATTTTTTCACCCCGACATGCACGTGCATGTTGTGACAGCCAGTTTGAATTTGGATTGGCTGCTTGTGAACTATTATGATTATCAATGTTGATAATAGTTCATGGTACCAAGCATCCTATAGTCATGATAGTCTGATCATTGATCAGTCACAGACTGCTGTTACATGTCTTTATTGTTGGGAACATCAAATCAGTCATTGGCGATGTACATATTTGATCACATTCAGATTCTTGTACCTTCAGAGCTCCAGATAAGCTGCGTATCTGCGTAAAATACGCATCAGAAATGCAGAAATACGCAGTGAAATAAAATCCAAGCGTATCAAGTACGCAACGAACATTACAGATACGCTACAAAAATAAAACTTGTGCGTATCATCAAAATATTGTGAAGTAACCCTGCGTATTTGATTCGCAAATCAGCAACTTATTTTGAAATTATAAACGGGCATTCCATCAACCTTGTCAAACTCCACGATGACAGTTACATCATGATCATTTGCCATCACACTTACTTGTGGAAGTATCATGGTATTTTTTAGTCCTACAAAGCTCTCGAACCCACACGACACCAGTTTGCAGGGACTAGATGAATAGTGTTTTTAAATATTTAACTTAAATACCCACATGCGTAAAAACTAGTGGGTGACAGAAATTTGAATACTCAAATAGAATTACTGATACCCAATGATTTTAAAATGCATGGGTAAAATACCCACAACACCAAAAGCTTATCTGGAGCTCTGACCTTTGATTTTTTTCTTGTCTCGAACTTGATTTCTCAGCACAAGTTAGGATGTTGTTGATTGAGTTTGAGAATAGCATATATCCATTGCTATTTAATACCTGCAACAACAAGGAATAATCATCTGATGGGTAGTCTCACTACTTCACGATCATGCAAAGTATGTGCTGCGAAACAAATAAACCTGAATCATTTACTAGCTTGAGAAAGGGCTGAAATTCTACGTGTCCTTTGGATACCTTTGACAATAGACAATAGACAAAGTGACACAGACTAGTGCCAATTTGCACACCTGATGCATACTAAAAAAATTTGTTGCCATGGTTACAGGTGACGTCACGGCACAGAGAAGAGGCAAGTGAATATGAGGACACAGATGGTAGGTTGACCTCTGCCCTGATGTGAGACTTTCAGATCTGTGGAGGTCAATGTTTTTCTTATTAATAATTTGAGGCCCAGTCGCCTATGATGCAACTATTTGTTGTGCAGAGGTTTGTCTCTTAGCCATGCTGGGATTGACATGTCACCTGGTTGTGTCATAGATTCTCCCTGATTATGACCCGTGGTTTGTCAAAACTGTGCTTGTGAGTTACCCCAAAGTGGTAATGTCTATGATCCCTGGCACTTTGTTCTTTCATGGAAAATCAAGCTGACAGGTGATAAGTGAAGTGTTGTTCTAGTACCCCAAACTCTCTCAATCTCTATTAACTGATTAGATGTTGTATGATGAAATAAATAGAGAATCTCACACGAGTGTCTTTTGATATCAAATATATCAACACAAGTTAATAAAAAAGGGAAAACTCCCGAGGCTTGCTGAGGATTTTTTCCACTTTTCTCAACGAGTGTTGATATATTTGATATCAAAAGACACGAATATTTGATATCAAAAGACACGAGGGTGAGATTTTATTTATCATCCAACATCATTCTTCCAACTTTTTCAGTTTGTAGACAGTAATAAGCAGTGTCTTAAGTGTAAAAAAAGTACTGCTAACAGCTTCAGTTGCAGAGCAATTAATGATGTCATTTGATTGTGATGTCATGGTGACCAATGACATCACAATGGTCTGCAAAGCATTGTGATGCAATTTCATTGCAGTGATATCTACAGTGTAGATATCGCTTGATCTCACCCAAGCGATATCTCCTGTGGGAGCCAGTTTTGGATGATGATGACATTTAACATTTCAGACTCTTCATGGGGCAGTGGGGTAGCTTAGTGGTAAAAGTGTTTGCTCGTTACGCCAAGTGCCGGGTTCGATTCCCCACATGGCTACAATGCGTGAAGCCCATTTGTGGTGTCCCCCGCAGTGATATTGCTGGAATATTGCAAAAAGCTGTATAAAACCCAACTCACTCACTCACTCACTCAGACTATTTATTCATTCATTGATCAGAAAAATTAGTTTAGTCATTTCCTGATGATTAATAACGATCACCGTTGTTTGTGGCTTTTGACTTGTCACCATATGGCTGAAATATTGCTGATGAGATGGTAAATTATTTGTGAGCTTAAATGATTGACCAAATGGAAGGTTATTTATCTAAATATATGATAACCGAGTGATCACACATATGGTCAACTTCAGGTTCCTTCAGTGTAGTTACTGAATTTCAGACATTCTGATTGCCAAGCTACGCAAAGGGCAAGAGTTAAAGATTCGAGCATTCGCCAGGAAAGGTTTCGCCAAAGAACATGCCAAATGGAATCCTACTGCAGGTGTAGCATTTGAGTACGACCCTGACAATACCATGAGGCACACACTCTATCCCAAACCGGAGGAATGGTGAGTCTGATGCTAATCATCGTTGAAATTTTTAATAGGGCAACCAGTGAACTGATATATATTTCCAGCAAATATAAATGAATCAGAAATAGATATATTTGGTGAATGACACTAAAATTAGTTATCTTAATACGATCTGATAACTCTCTCCACTCAAGATCTGACGAATCCTCTGCATGAGGTAGTGTCAGGTGAACTTCTAAAATATTTGGTGCTCGTGAGCAAAGCATTTTGGAGAGCATATCAGACTTCTGTATCTTGAAAACAACCGACAGCTGGCAATTCAGAAAGGAGAATGGTAATGACCACACAATGTTGTGGATGTTTCACACCCTGTTGTTTCAGTCACGTCTTCCAATCATAGACATAGAATATCCCTAAAGTGTTGCATCACATTTCTTTCACCAAACATAATCAAAACTACCTTTAAAGCTCCACCCATGGCCCCCAGTTAGAAGGCTGACATCTAAATGGCTATGTTTGATTGGAATATGGCCCAGATGACACAACGATGGTATCTTGAGTCGAGGTTGTTTATTCAGTTACATATGTGATAACAAGACATGTATGTGCACACACAGCAGCACTCTCAACCAGACTAATGTCATCCCCCCAGCAACTTTCCTCCCTTACTCACATGTACATGTACTATCACATAGACCACTACTTACCAGTTGTAATATGTTACCCTGGCCACACCAAATCAATCACTGGCCAGGCGCAGCCATTTTGAATGGAGTCTTGCTCTCGTAAGATCTCCTTATATTTATGAACTTTTAGCATTTTTTTAGGTTTGTCAAGTTTTGACAGTTTGAGATCTGATATCATAAGATTTGTTCTTGGTAAGATTAGATTTGTTTTTAAGAAAATATTATCACTTCACTATCATATATAGCATTATGAATTGTGTTTGTCAAAGGTATATTGTGTTATGTTTAGGTTTGTTGTGTTAAAAGAATCCTTTTTTAAAATGATGTTCATCAAGTTTAGTTTGTCTTCCTGAGATTCCAAACTTCCTAATTATAATTCTTCTGATCACACAATCAGGTGGGAAAGTATTTACCTGTACATAGAATTGGTTAACTCTTGTTCATAGAATGATTACAATTTTCACGATGTATAGTAAGCTGATTATGTTGGCAGTGATAGAACTTGGTAAACATATAACCATGACAACTAATGATTGCCATTTCAGGGTGTGCATCATGATCTGTATTTATGCTTTATTCAATCTTTGATTTCTACTTTGTGCTGTGTTAACTGTTAGCATTATGCTTGTGTATTATTTTTCAGGCCTAAAAGTGAATATTCAGAAATTGATGAAGATCAGAGTAAGTAAACAAGCCGACTGCAACATTAAACAATATTCACTCATTTATCTTTTCACTTTGTAAGGGATTCACTGTATTTCACAGCCCTCTCTCTTATTCCATGGCGAGTGATATTGTAGGTGGCCAAGTAATGATGCAAACACTCAGTCCGGCCTTACTAGTATACATGGTATATTCTCCAACATATTTCAAACTATCATTGATTATTTGGAGCACCTTTCCCGAGTATAATCATAAATACAGTGAAATTTCCAGTTTGGAATATTGTGAAAATTACCTTAGCTCTCATAACCTCAGCCAATCACATGGTTGTCTATAACACGTCTATTTTGTGTCAGCACATTGTCAGTTTTGCATGTATGATGATGCTATGTGAAATTTAATTATGATAACGCATTGAAATTTGAGGTTTTCAAATTTTCTTTTGTTTTCTTAGTCATATCTATTGAGATATTTCCTCAGACTATTACAAACCTTTTGATGTATTAACTTACTAGTAAACGAACACCCTGGTAGTAAACCATGAGAAACCAGCCAGTAACGAGAATATTCATCTAACTTCACATTTATTGAGCTTGTTAAAATAAATCGATCCGGCCTAGTAATCCTTTAAATTATGGGTTCAAGTTTAAGCCACTTTCTGCTCATACTGTGTAAGCTTATATAACTTACATCCATGTTTTCTCTGATTGCAGCACAAGGTGCTTTTGATGTGAATGCAAGGCCTAACAAGTTCTACTTCAATGTTGAAGTGTGTGGCTCCCTCAAGCCAGAAACTGTCATATTCTCTGCCCTTTCGATCATCAAGAAGAAGTTGAGCGACCTACAGACACAACTGAGTCATGAGATACAGAATGATGTCCTCACCATCAGCTAGGGCTGTGGCAGACATTTTGGCAACATCATCATCATTTTCAACCTGTTATCATCTGAAGATCATATGAGAACTGTTGGTTTCATTGTGAAATATAAAATATTCTGATCATCCGAAACATGTGGTTTGGATGTGTTAATTTGTTTTGGCCTACGGGCGGCCATTCCGTAAAAGAACCATCAATTGAAATAGCAGTAAACAGTTTGCAATAATAGCCAAAATGTTATGAATAAAGGTCTTTCATTGAAACAAGTATCAATGAACAACCCCAACATGACATCAGGTAGCAAAGAAAAGACGCCTTATGATGTGACATTCCTCATATTCCTGGACGAGGTCTATGGACAATTGTATGTCTTCCCAATGACATTTATCTTCGAGATGTATTTTGCATTATGCTGTGCATCTTGATATTTCAGTCAAACAGGGGCACTGTTGACCAGTTGTCATGCTCTTAGGTGCCCAAATGTATCCAATACAAGGATAAGCAGGCCGTTGTCTGGAGTATGATCCTTGTCAGCACCCAGCCCCTGCTTGTGTGTTTCAACGAAGTGATATTATCTACGACCTTTGTCACTGTGTGTTGCTGCAACATTAAGCTTACATAACTGAAATAATCCACACTCAGTGCTCAAAACAGCATGACATGCTGCTCACATTATTGACCATTGGTTGGCCCAGGTTGTCTTCATGGCTGAGATATTGCTGACTGACATTAAAGCTCATTTTCTCACAAGGATATGTAAATTATGTTTTTATGTCTTTTTAGACATGTTAGATGATGTACATGAACAATAAGTTTCATTGTATACCCATGAAGAATTGTTGATTTGTAAACCTTTGGTTTGTGAACAGAATAAGGATGTTATTAAAAATTGAACCATTGAATCATAAAAAAATATTTTCATCCTCATATTTTTATGTAGATGTTTTGGGACATGTCTTGTAAAATAATTATTTCCATTTGTACAATAAAGCTTTTTATAAAGTATGTTTTTCTACCTTCTTAATACACCATATTCACCATAATAAGCTCCTTGGCACTTATTAAAACCATAGGGGGCGCTGGTGGCCCAGTCATCTAAGGCGCCGCGATTTGCTGTGCAGAATTCCGTCCCTTGGGCATGCCAGAAACCTAGGATTGTGGGTTCAAATCCCGGTTCGCCCCAATTATGTTTCTAGGTTTGTCAGCACACCGTGATATAACTGTAATATTGTTAAAAGCGGTGTTAAACCCAACTCACTCACTCATTATTAAAACCATACACAGAGATAGAATGGTAATGAACAAATTTAAACTTCTTCAATGATAATTACTTGACAAGTATACTACTCAAAAGAAGTAAAGGATCACCCAATTCTTTCATATTGGTAATGTTAATCTGTCATGGCATGAGAGATTAACTATTGTAATATGAAAGAATCAGGTGATCCTTAACTTCTTTTGAGTAGTATATATACCTCTTTTCTATTTTCTCTCAAGTAAGTTTGTGATATAAGGCAAGAAAATCTGCATTGTCATGTGAATGTTTAATGTTAGTAGGGAGTGCTTATTATGATAACTTTCAGATCGGACAACAAGTTGGTCAGTGGAGCAGGACGCCTAATACAGCAACTTCCTCATGGAGATTTCAGGTGCCCCATTAACTCCTGACAAAAAAATTGATATACTCCAGTGCAATTCGCTGAAAATGTCCCATAATAGAAGTATTTTGTTTTGTAATAAAACTGTCAGTAGGTCAGGCCAGTGTATTCCTTGCTCAGAATCAACTGCAACAACAATTGCACGACGTCAACATGATGGTTTGATTGGACAGATATTGTCAAAATGACATTGATCTTGGAGTCTCCAGAAATATATGCTATTGGTTTTATCCGAGAGATTCTAGTGTCAGGGCAAGATGTATTTGGCATTATACAGCATAATAATTCAGTCATATAGGGTGTATGGATAGCCCTGCAGCGGTAGAAACGAACAGTTTTAGTACACTAGTCCTTACGATAACATATAGAAAAGCCCTTAAAAATGGCAAATATCTACAAGTCCTTATGATATGTTAACTATTTGGCAAGGACTACAGGACAAGTTGCAATTTCTAAAGCTGCCATGGGGTCTCATTCCTGGTTCGATCCTCTGCTGCATCATGCCCAAGAGGTTAAAGATGATACTTGTTGTTACCCTGCCTGGTGCTTGGCATTAAGGGAATAAAATAAGGATTGGTAGGCTCGGTGTATACTGTTATACTGGGTATCCATTTACAAACTGCAGCCTAGTATGTAAGTGAACTGGCACCATAAAACTGGCACTAGTCACAACTAGTAAAAGCAGAGACGCATGCACACACATGCACATTGCTATGTAAGTGCAATAGTCTTGAAGGCAATGTTAAACCCCATTTCACCTCACCTCGAGGAGATACCTGGGTAGAATAGTTACAATGTGAAGTTCAAGGCAGTACTGCTCCCAGGCCCGGCATGTAGCTGGGTGCACCGAAGCTATGTCCGATTTTTTAAAAGTACTGATTTAACTTGAATTTGTACTGCAGTAAGCCACACTGACAGATGAACGGAAGTTTACTTAAGTTTTGAATGTACTGTTTGAACAAAAGCATTTTGCAGCATTTTTATGTTTACAGGCGTTCCATTTACTACCTGCCCCACAATATTCATGGAAGGGCCCACACTTTTCAAGGTCTATGGGCCCTAGGGCCGACCTTTAAAAATCCTAGGTTTATCACTGGATTAAATATACAACAATTCGCAGCCATCAAAATTGTAATTGAAATTCTGAGCAGCGTGTGTCTTTGCACCATACTTTCTGTATAATTGGGAAACACTGTCAGGAGCTAACGTGACTTGGAGATGTTTAATGCCAGATTGTATATTTTCATCCAATCACAAACGGTATTGCATTGATTTGTTTTTATGGTTCATCCGCCAATTTTGTTTATTTGCTTTATTGAGTTTTGCCATTATTTATTACATTTCTTGGGTCCAAGTCATTGACCTATATACAGCCTTTTGTGTCAAAATCACTGCATTCCTACATATACCTGACACGATGACTACAGCCAAGGCCAATGTTTTGTCTGCCATATGGGTACTTGGGATGTTCTAAACATAGAACATTATTAATTAAAATAGAGCAAGATGATTGCTGATGAGCATGGCAAAAGTACTATTAATGGCTGAGATTTTTGTTAACAGACAGAATAGTTACTGTTCCTGCTTCAAGGCATACAGGTGTTTCCTCTGACAGTCAGTCAGGGTTTAGCTTTTCTTTACTTGTTCCACAACATACTGACCATGATTTTCTTTTCCAAATAAAATTTCAACTATTTCACATGACTCAAGACAACATCTAGACATACACTGATAATGGCTACCCAACCTTGACTATCTACTTTTAAAAACCGGTTTGTAGGCAATTTCAGATCCTGGTTATTGAATTATTAACAGGTGTATCCCACTGTTTTATGCCCGACCTGACACATTCCAGCCATAACACACAAAAATAGGACAGGGAGTTGTTTGCAGCAGATCTACAGTGAGTATCATGTTTGACAGTTTCTTGATTCATTATCATGATTATTAGAGTTATATAATGCATGGGCGGATACGGCATTTTTGAAAAGTGGGTGTGCACAATTCAGATCTATTTATTGTCTTTGGTGGTAATTTATACAGAAATAAAGATTTTTTTCGAAATAAAAAAGGGGGGTGCGCACCCCTGCAACCCCCCTTTTTATTTCGAAAAAAATCTTAACTCTGTTATTCAGAGATACTTCTCTGTATCCACCCATGTAATGGATTGTATGTCTATATAATTTTGGACGTGATATTAATCAGCAAAGGTTTGCATTCTAATAACCCTTTTAGCTTTACTGAATTGAATTGATTGTAAACACACGGTAGAATCCTTACATTTTCCACATCTCTAAAACCACAAGGTACTTGAGGCTGTTAGGGCTGAAACATGTTTCTGGGGCGTCACATGTCACCAGAATGCTGTAACACTGTAGCCAACTAATTGGGGGTTTCGATGAAAATATGGCTTTTTGGTGTTTTTTGTTGAATGCATGAGTGAGTAACCACGCGGTAGAACATGGGAGGACACTGATCGTATCCATGACTCTAGACACTTAGTGACCCTTGTTTGGGTGTTTCTTGCCACAGAGGAGTCGCAATTGTCAAATTTGAAAGCTGAATGTTTATGTTTGATAGCAAATTAAAAACTATATCTTGTGAAAATCTATTCAAGATGAAAATGAAATATTACCTTTGTCATCCAGTATGTAGGTGATATAACAAAACCCTGTTGTCAATTTGCATATCTAATTTGCATACTTATGTCATTGGGGTATGACATACATGTTTTTATGTCATAAGCTTATGTCATGGATAAATGCTTAAGTTAAATGATAGAACTTTGTAAACATATAATTATGACAACTAATGATTGCCATTTCAGGGTGTGCATCATGATCTGTATTTATGCTTTATTCAATCTTTGATTTCAACTTTGTGCTTTGTTAACTGTGAGCATTATGCTTGTGTATTATTTTTCAGGCCTAAAAGTGAATATTCAGAAATTGATGAAGATCAGAGTAAGTTTACAAGCCGACTGCATCATTAAACAATATTCAATATTAACTTTTCACTTTGTAAGGGATTCACTGTATAGTATTTCACAGCCATCTCTCTTATTCCATGGCAAGTGATATTGTAGGTGGCCAAGTAATGATTCAAACACTCAGTCCGGCCTTACTAGTATACATGGTATATTCTCCAACATATTTCAAAGATCATTGATTATTTGGAGCACCTTTCCCGAGTATAATCAATTATCATAAATACAGTGAAATTTCCAGTGGTATATGCTGCTTCATATACACATCTACAATCTCTGCATTAGGATTGACTTCACTATGACCTTTCTGGGAAGTCAAGTATACCTAGTTTGGCGAATATCATGTCAAGTCATAAGCATAAAACATGACTCATATGCCTGATAATCACTTTACAATACGTTAGGTTCATGATTGCTTTAAGAGTATGTTAACTCTGACATATACAGTAAGCATGTGGTTGACAAAATAGGATATTCAACTGATCACAAACACCCTATAATCAGTTTTGACTTTTGTGTTGTTTGTTTGATTGTTGTTAATGCTGACTTGGCAGTATTCCAGCTATATGATGGTGGCCTGTAAATAACCGAGTCCGGATCAGACCTTTACAGTGATTGATATTCTGAGCAATGATCCATGTGTACTGGGTATGATGACACGCAATCAACAAAGTCACTGTGCCTGACCATCCGATCCATTTGGTCGTCTCTTTCGACCAACATAGGTTGCTGGGGACCTGTTCTCACCTGGAATCCCCATGGTTGTGTCACTTTTGATAACCTCAATTTTACCATGTCACTGAAGAATACTTGATTCTGAATAGTAAAAATAAGATTAATATCAGGTATTCCATACCTCAAAATTAACATGCCTTTTCACACAAAAACCAAAGAGGCGACTAACGGGATCAGGTGGTCAGGCTTGCTGACTTGGTTGACGTGGATCGATGCTCATGATGTCAATCACTGGATTGTCTGGTGCAGACTCGATTATTAACAGATCGCCATCATATAGCTGGAACATTGCTGAGTGTGGCGTTAAACAACAAACAAACAAACAAAAACACAAAAACCTTGCATATGCAAGCATGGATGTATTGATAGCCTACACATAGATGCATATAATAATGTCTGCAGATAACCCATTAGAATTGTTTACATTTGATATCAGAATGATCAATAATATCGATAACATTGATAACAGCTTATCAGACCTGATGAAATCTATTTCAGAATACACATAATCACTAATCACCATCCGGGGTAGAATAGGTCTTCAGCAACCCATGCTTGCCGTAAAAGGTGACTAGCGGGATCGGGTGGTCAGGCTCGCTGACTTGCTTGATGCATGTCATCGATCCCAATTGCGTGGATCGATGCTCATAATATCAATCACTGGATTGTCTGGTCCAGACTCGATTATTTACAGACCACCGTCATATAGCTGGAATATTGCTGAGTGCGGCATAAAACAACAAACCAACCAACCAACACTAATCACCAACCACTGTGCCAGGACCACGCAATCATCTGTAAAAATAATGAGCAGTCTCTTCGACTTTCTCTTGAGTCATACAATGGCTCATTGTCGTCAGTTAAACAGTGCTATTTAGACATACTTCAGGGTGATTCCATTGGCAATGAGGTGCCAGCAGGCTCATTTGTACCAGTAAATCATCGCTAATGGTGAACAAAATTACAGATGGAGGTTGTCCTCTATGTTCATTGTAAACAGCACTGTCACCATGAACAACTATTTTGGCAGCTATGTACAATGAAGAGAAACGAGAGTAGGTCAAATTCAGCTATGCTTATGTTCAGGGTGGAGAGATAGTGATTCTAAAGTATGTATCACTGTTACCAGAGACCATAAAATTCTGTTTTATGGTCTCTGCTGTTACTAAGTAATTATTTCAAACCAACTAGTCGTAAGTACAACATGAAAATAACTAAAGCACTGTGATTTATTTGAGTAATTTATCAGTTTAGCATCTTTTTACAATGTTTCAATAGCCTGTCCCCCTACAATGGAAGATGCCATGTCGATTTCCAAGAAATGAGTTGGTTCAGTCCAAGCAGAGCAAATATGAAGGAGGTTGCGATGAACTTACTTAAAGATATATCTACAGAGGGCTACTTCATCAATTCTTTTTGAAAAACTTTGCATTTTGTAACCATTACTTTGAACTGGTAATTAATCTTGAACTTGGGTAATATGTAAATGTGTGTAACTATCTGTGACCCAATGTTCGAGTGTCCTATTTGCCCATGTGTATACCGGTTCCAAGAGAGCACCGTTTTCAAAGCACTCTTGTTGTCATGGTAGAATGGAGATGACCCAACTGTGTTTTGACATTTGAGGTAGTCTAACTGTAGATTAGTTACCTGTTATTGTAATCTGGAACCAATGAGCTTGAGACATTTAAATTCAACTGTACCTGATTTGCAATCGAGAGGGTCCTCTGAATACCAAATCAACACACATGTTTTAATACATATTTTCTTGCAGTTACAAGTATCAGCTTGTACAGTCTGCCCTACCAATGAAAACCAACAGAGAGCAGCTATGGAATAAACACTGCCTCCGTGGTCTTGTGATAGAGCGTCCGCCCGGAAGGTCCGGGGTTCGATCCCCAGCCGCGTCATACCAAAAAGACGTTAAAAGATGGTACTTGTTGTTACCCTGTCTGGCGCTCGGCATTAAGTGGCTAAAACAAGGACTGGTTGGCTCGGAGTCAGTATACTGTGTCTGAGTGGGGTATTCATGTTAAACTGCGGCATGGTATCTCAGTGGGCTAGCACTATAAATCGGCATCAGTCCGGACTAGTACAATCAGCCACACACACACGTGCATGCACGTCGCTATATAAGTGCAATAATCTTGGACGTGACGTTAAACCCAATTTCACCTCACCTGACCTATGGAATACACACTGTAAATAGAAACAGTCACACAAATTCTGAACAAGACACAATCCCCATAAAGTGTGCATCATCATGATTAAAACCTGCCACATTTTCACTGGTAACTGCAACAAACTGAATGCGTGTGCACTTGGTTTGTTGCGTTCTGCATAATGTACTGTGTTTGGTGCCATTGACAGTGTTGCTACACCACATGAAAGGTGGATAGATTCTGTATTATAGGAAGTTCTTTTGGTATTTTTCAGATCTAAAAATGCAACTTCACCCTTCCATGACAAACCCATAGTTACGTAAACAAACTAAAACTGAGATGGCTAGCTCAGGTGACCTCACACGTGTGTCACGGACACAGGATGACCTTGAGGAGAAGGTGATGGAGGTCATCACGTCAGGTGGTACTCCACAGAGTGCCAACTCAGGTATGTTAACATGTCCACCTCACAAAGCAGAGCAGATTGAACTGAGTTTAATTTACCATGTTTAACCTACAACAATTTGAAACATAAACTTACCCTAACATCTGAACTCACTGATTGTGTACTACCGGTATCCCAGGTAGTAGAGGACACAGATGTCTGGCTCGTTTCATTTTCCAAGGGGCGGTCGGGTAGCCTAGTGGTTAAAGCGTTCGCTCGTCACGCCGAAAGACCTGGGTTCGATTCCCGACATGGGTACAATGTGTGAAGCCCATTTCTGGTGTCCCCCGCCGTGATATTGCTGGAATATTGCTAAAAGCGGCGTAAAACTATACTCACTCACTCATTTTCCAAATATTTCTGAAACGCAATATCAGCCTTGCCCTTGTTTGTAGCGTTTGTATTTTATGTTAGTTGTAAGAGGAGACAAAATGTCAGTAATTTTGAAATTGAAAATGGCTGCTAAAATGATGAACAATAAAATGGGACCAATGTATTTTCTTTGAACATTTTGATATTGCATAGAAAGAATAATTTTTCATTGATTAAAATATTCAGCAAATGTTATTATAAACATGATCATTATATTTGTTTGACACTCTAGTATAATAAACTGCAAGTGATTCCATGACATTTGATTGGCTAAATAAGCAAATGTTTTCATGTTTATGTTTCCATAAACTTAAAAATAATAAGCCACACCCACTAGCGGACTACTGTTGCCTGATTGGCTGAAACTTGAGTTGGCAGGGCTTGTGTTACATTATTGGGCTAAACGATGTCACTGATTTTGTATTTTGACTACAGTTTTATTCTGTTAATGATTAAATGAGCAGTCTGAGAAGTTATTATTGTTGAATTAATTTGTGATAACAATTGACTTCAAAATGGTGTGCACAACGAGTGGAACGAGTGTGAGATGAGCCTAGCTGTTCTTTATGCCAAATATGGTAAACATGGTTTCAAAACCACACAGCAGTAACATTGGTTACATATTGCCTGAATAAATGATTATGTTCAAAAGTCAAAACAATAGTTATCATTGTTAATAATTCTAAGAATACTTACCTCTGTTACATCATTGGCAAAAAACCTGTATTTTGGCTGCAATCATACCATAACTAAATTTTTCAGATTTCAACCAGAAGTCCTTTTCACTGTCAACTATACATTATCAGTAAACTGTTGTTCCCCTAATGGCCCTTGTAGCATACAGCTCTCCTGTGTGCAAAGGCGAAAAAATCCTCATTTCATTTGGATCTTAGCTGTGCTAAGTGCTGTTGGTGCTGCATCCAGAGAATTTGTGATGACTTCCAGACTTGTGTGGAGAGTAAGTCTTCCTGCATATGGACAAATGTGTTGAGGAGACTGTGGATAATTCTGGCTTGATCAGTATGTATGGAGTGGAGACCGTGACGGTTGGGTGTCCTGAAAGGTAAGGCATGGTCGCCACTGCCCTGCTGATTGGTTGATTCAGCTGTCTCCTAATGCCCATACAATGTGGTGGAGGACCTAGCTGATAGAAGGATGAAGCTCGGTAGGATGCGTTCCCCCATGTGCCTCTTGGCCGGGGGATTATTCTGAGCCTGAGTCTGAGACTTTCTTCAGTTGTTCAAACTACGTCAATAAAGCTGAGAGGCAGGAATTATGCAGCGATTCCATAACAGACTTTTGTTGTGCAAATAGCTGCTCCAACATGCTGTAGTTAGAGACGTCTTCACTAGGGTTGGCGTATTGGCACACAAATCGTATAGCAAAGTATCTGTATTGCGATACATACAAAATGCATTGGGGCCCAAGTTATATATATTTGTACTGTTTAAATGGTACTTCTTTATTCAATAATCCAGACATCAGATTGCAAGATGGGTAGTATGGACAAATGAAACTACCTATTATCCTTAATATAGAATGTTAATGTAAACAGATTTAAGCATGTGATCTTTACATGGTTGAGATAGGAATGCCCCAAAATAGTAGATATAATTTCTATAATTACATATACATATTAATTCTTCTGTGACTGTATTGAAAATATTGATACACAAGGGTTGTAATTGCGATAGATGTATTGCAGACAAACGTATTGCAAGATCACCTCCATGAAGTCGCACACCCCTAGTCTTCGGGGTGGTAGGTAGTCTGGTGTCAGTAGTAGTAGTAGTGTCAGGGAGAGACATAAAGGAGGATGTTTTACTTTGACGCCTTTTTATGTTTGGCTTTGGTTCCCGAATCAGCCAGCTTAAAAAAAGCCTTAGTGAGGGGGGTGCTTAGCTCACAACTGTTCACCTTTGTACATGTATCATCTCTCCACTTCCAGCAGAGAGAGGGGCGGTCGGGTAGCCTAGTGGTTAAAGCGTTCGCTCGTCACGCCGAAGACCCGGGTTCATTTCCCGACATGGGTACAATGTGTGATGCCCATTTCTGGTGTCCCCCGCCGTGATATTGCTGGAATATTGCTAAAAGCGGCGTAAAACCATACTCACTCACTCACCCACTCCAGCAGGGAGACTAGAGTGAGGGTCACCCGTGACCATGAGTCAGCCACACTTCTGACATGTAGAGGGGTGGGCAGATGACACCTCATAGCCTCACACAACCACCAACACCACAATACTCACGTAATAAGTCCAAAAACAACTAGCCAACTAAAATGACTTCTCATAGTAACAAATAGCGTAAATAACTATCTAACTGAAGATTGCTAGAAATAGTGTGACAACATCACCACGTGCTAGAGTGGGAGCAGCCAAGCAGTGGGTGTTGACTCTAGCACACACAGGAAAGAAATGAGGATTTTCCCGTCTTTGCGCACAGAAGAGCTGAATGCTCAAAGTGCTTATTGGGGAACAACTGATCATGTATAGTTGACAGTGACGAGGACTTCTGGTTAAAATCTAAAAATATCAGTTATCATGTGATCGCAGCCAAAATACAGGATTTATGGCAATGATGTAATAGAGGTAGAGGAATCGTAAGAATTATAAATGATATAATACAGATTGCTTTTGTTTGCAGCTGCACTTGATCTTCAAATACGAGATGCCAAAGGAATCTTTGTTGAAACGGAGAGCTTCAGAACTGTGAAAAGAAAACTGATTGACTTTGGACATGTTACCATCTGTGGTGCTTCAGGAGAAGGCAAAACAACGGCAGCTCTTGTGCTGGGTTCACAGTATAGACAAAGGGGGTACACACTTGCATTTGTGGACAGAATTGAACAGTTTGACTTGGACAGCTTCATGAGCTCATCACATAGAATATTTCTGATCATAGACGATATGTTTGGGACTGTTGGATTATCTACAGATGTTTCACAGCAGAAAACATTTCTCAACAAGCTTCATCGACACATTAAACACAGCAAAAAGACATCTGATAGGCAGGGCCCACCAAGAAAGCAGCAAGCTAAGGAAGGAGGTGAACATGATAATGAAACGAGTGCAGGTTCTGACCCAGTTGAAATACCAAAAAAGGACATTCGTGTTGTCTTTACATCCAGCACATATAACTTCCATGATGAACTTGCCCAGCTTCAGTATGAGGGATTCTCACTGTTCAAGGGACAAACAGTGGTGAATTTAACAAAAGAAAAGAAACACAGATATACTCCAGCAGAGAAAAAGGCTATATTTGAGCACCACAGGAAAATACATAGAGAATCTTCCAATGAAGACTGTGAGGATCTACTTGACTCCAAACCGTGGGACATCGACTCAAATATAGTTGGAATTCCCCTTGCTTGCAAACTGTATTTTGAATTTTCATCTCTTTGCCAAAATGCCAAGAAATTTTTCCAGGATCCACTGTATTATCTTCGGCAAGAACTTAAAAACTTACTGAGGTCCGGAACTGATCAGTCGGCAGTATTGGTTCTGATGCTACTGAATGAGGACAAGATGGATTTGACCAAGTTGGAAACAGACGGCAAGGACCAGAAACTGGACAACATGGTCAGAACTGTTCTAGAGTTCATGCCATCAGCTTCATATTCAGGGATGTACAAAGCAGCAAAGACTTTAAGAGGAACATTCTTTACATGTGGTGCTCTTGTTGGATTTGCACATTCTTCAATATATGATGCTTGTGCTTGTGCTTTGTATGACATCAGTCCAACATTTGTGCTGACTCACTGCAGTGACAATTTCATATATCAGCGAGTGCGACCACAACCAGTACAGAAAAGCAAAATTGATGATCATCTCCACATGATCTATGTCTCCGAAGTACATTACGATATCCTAACTACAAGACTTGCTGAGTCAATAAAGCATGGGCAGTTTTCAACATCGGTGACACACCCCATTCTCCACCAAGAAAAGATAGCTCTTCAACTGCTTAAAAAACTATGCCATGATAGATCCATGGATGAACGTTGGTTTCACAAGAGAGAAAATGGAAAATGCTTTTTGTTTTGGGCTGTGCTTGGACATAATGCAAAGTTGGTTCAAAATGTAGAACAACAAACTGGAGGAAAATTCACTCAAACAGAGATCACCGAAGCCATGGTAGGTTGTGTGCTCAAAAACAACCTGACAGCATTGAAGTGGCTTTTCCCTGGAAGTAACAATCCAGGGATACTTTCACAAATTAACAAGTTGCTTCTACTGGCTGCTGAAAACTGGAGTTCTGAAACACTTGTTCATCTGCTAGAAAAAGGAGCTGATGTATTTACAACTGATGGAAACTTACAAAACATCATACATCTGATTTGCAAGACAGGACAAGAGAAAACACTGAAGATACTAATTAAAACCATGAGCAGACTGTTTAATGACCAAGTGATGAACAAAGTCATGAATTCAGTTGATGCTAAGGCCAGGACACCACTCATGGTTGCAGCCCTAAATGGATCTGAAGGATGCTTTCAGTTATTGAAGTCATTATCAAATTCAAACAAACAAAACAAAGACATCCATGGGAATGAAATACTTCATCTTGCCTGCCGTGGTGGTAGCACAGCTATAGTACAGCATCTTGTATCACGTTCTAACATCAACAGCAAAGCTTGGTGTGATTTGACTCCCGTAATGATGGCAGCTGTAGGGGGTCATCAAGGTGTGTTTGACCTGCTTGTGTCGAAGCATGCTGACCTGACAATGGTGGATAGGTATGGGGACAGTATACTTCATCTTGCTTGTCTGGGTGGCAACGAAGCTATTGTTCAACATCTTGTGTCATCTCTGAACATCAACAACAGAGATCTACAGGGATGGACACCGATAATGATGGCAGCTGCTGCGGGTACTAAAAGTGTGTTTGACCTCCTGGTGTCAATGCATGCTGACCTGACACAAGTTGATGTCTGTGGTGACAGTTTACTTCATCTTGCCTGTCAGGGCGGTGACACAGCTATTGTACACCATCTGGTGTCATCTTCAAATATTAACAGTTTAGGGAGGCATGGATGGACACCGATCATGAGAGCAGTTGCAACACATCATCAAAGTGCTTTTGACCTCCTCCTGTCAAGACATGCTGATCTGACACTAGTTGATGACTATGGTGACAGCTTACTTCATCTTGCCTGTCAAATTGGTAACACAGCTATTGTGAAATATCTTGTGTCACCTTCAAACATCAACATCACTGGCAAACATGGATGGACACCAGTAATGACAGCAGCTGTTTCAGGTCACAAAAATGTGTTTGACTTCCTAATCTTGAAGCATGCTGACCTGACATTGGTGGACAATGATGGTGACAGTTTACTTCATCATGCCTCTCAAGGAGGTAACACAGACATAGTGAATCATGTCGTGTCACCTTCAAACATCAACAGCTGCGGTAAACATGGGTGGACACCAGTAATGACAGCAGCTGTTGTTGGACTTGAAAGAGTGTTTGACCTCCTCGTATCAAAGCATGCTGACCTGACGTTGATGGACAGTTATGGTGACAGTTTACTTCACCTTGCCTGTCGTGGTGGTAACACAGCTGTAGTGCAACAAGTGTTGTCACCCTATAACATCAATAAGAGAGGGCTATTTGAATGGACACCGGTTATGGTAACCGCCTTCTATGGTCAGCCAAAGGTGTTTGACCTTCTAGTGTCCAAGAATGCGGATTTGACACTGGTGGATATGTTTGGGGACAGTGTACTACATGTTTCCTGTCGTGGTGGAAATGAAACTATTGTACAGCATCTTGTGTCACCTTCAAACATCCATAAACGAGGACAGTTTGCATGGACACCCGTAATGGCAGCTGCTTTCAATGGACATCAGGGCATTTTTTACCACCTTGTATCTAAGAATGCAGACTTGACACTAGTGGACAACTTTGGTGACAGTTTACTTCATCTTGCTTGTCGGGGTGGTAACCCTGCGATAGTGCAGCATCTTGTGTCACCTTCTAACATCAATGTTCAAGGTAGAAATGGATGGACACCAGTAATGGCAGCTGCTTCCAAAGGACATCAAAGTGTCTTTGACTTCCTTGTATCTAAGAATGCAGTCTTGACGCTAGTGGACAACAATGGTGACAGTTTACTTCATCTTGCTTGTCGTGGTGGTAACCCATCTGTTGTACAGTATCTTGTGTCACCTTCTTACATCAACAGAAAAGGACAGCAGGGTTGGACACCAGTAATGACAGCAGCTGTTGTTGGTCATCAAAATGTGTTTGAGCTCCTCGTTTCAGAGCATGCTGACCTTACACTGGTGGACAATAATGACAACAATATAATCCATCTTGCCTGTGAGGTTGGTAACACAGCTGTATTAGAGCATCTTGTGTCACCTTCGAACATCAACAGTCGAGGGCAATGTGGCCTGACACCTGTGATGAAGGCAGCAGTTGCAGGGCATGTAAATGCGTTTGACCTCCTGGTGTCAAAGAATGCAGACTTGTCATTGAAGGGGAACTTTGGGAATTCACTTATTCACCTTGCCTGTGAGGGTGGTGACAGAGATATATTACAACGTGTTGTGTCACCTGCGAACATCAACAATAGAGGGTTACATGGATGGACATCAATTATGAAAGCAGCTGCAACTGGTCATCAAGGTGTGTTTGACTTCCTTGTGTCGAACAATGCTGACTTGCTATTGGTCGATGACTATGGCGACAGTTTACTTCATCTTGCCTGTCGGGGTGGTAATACAGCAATAGTACAACAACTGATATCACCCTATAACATCAACAGTACAGGGTCGAAAGGATGGACTCCAGTTGTGACAGCTCTGTACTATGAACGTGAAAGTGTGTTTAACCTCCTTGTTTCACTGCATGCTGACCTCACACTGGTAAACAGCCTGCAAGCTTCAACATTGGAAGATTAACACTGTGCAGTTGTGAAAGCAGGCAGCCATTCAAGGATTCCTCTGTTGTACAACATCAGGGTTCACTCTAGGAATTTTCTGACATGGGCCCTTTATTTGAAAATTTCAAATATTCAAGAGGTACACCCACACTTGCCCATACAGCACAATGTTATAATGCCCCTTTGTATTTGAAAATGTGGCCCTTTTTTCATATTTAGGGCCAAAAAAACTCAAGGCCCCACCCCAGAATTATCCCTGCAACATTCTGTGTCACCTGAAACATTTGCTAGCCTGAATTTCTACTAGCCACCTTGAACATAGGACAATTTGATGCAGGCTAGTATCAAGTTGCATCCCTGAGGATATTAAATTTCAGGTCATATCTGCAGTCATTAAGGGTTGAGGTAATATTTACCAATTTTGTATGATGGCGTTTTTGTAGTTTATCAGCTGATCATCATACATATATTCCTAGTTACTGAACACCATAAACTATGTGCTTTCCTTGCTGTGTGGACTGTAATGTATTTTTGATTGTCATTTGGAATATGCACTTATGATACAGGTCATAGAGAATGGTGTTAGGGAATTGTTTTAGTGGACAACAAATGTATATGCAGTTTCAAAGGCTGTGGTGGGTCTTGTGATCAAATCATTTGCTCATTGTTCAAATTCAGATCTACACATGGGATCAATGGGTAAAGTCCAGGAATGTCATCATATATTGCAAAATCAATAAATTTGTAATATTGATTCTGTATCAATACAAATTTATGAATATTGGTACTGAATTAATAATTCACTGTCACTTAAATGTTTATATTTACGAAGATCACCATGACGAACATGGGAATAAAAAAGCAGGAAAAAAATAGATTTTAAACATTTAATGGATCAGCCTTGTTCATATTATCTTCAAATTTAATAATTGCAGGTCTATATACATTCAGATGTAGATGTCTTACCTATACACGTACCGAATATTTAATGTTGTTATTAATCAATATTATACAGCGGTTGAAACTAATAGTTTAAGTCCACTAGTCCTTATAATGATAGTATATAGCAAAACCTTTACAAATGTCAAAATTCTACTAGTCCTTAGGATACCTTTACTTTTGGGCAGTTTGGCAAGGACTATAGGACTAGTGCCAATTTCTAACCCTGGATATATCTTTTTGATATACGTTTGAGTCAATAAATTGGCAGTAAAATTTCCAATCAGTGACACCTGCAAGTGAAGCCCACTCATGGTATCCCAGCCATGACATGCATTTTGCAATGTATGCCTCCAAAAAAACCTGCCAATTTGCTCACTATCAGTGTGTACATGCGACCATATCATTGGAACCTAACACATACATACATGATGTAAGCTACATTGCAGACAGGCTCTTCACAGTTGGTGATATTGTTCTACTTCAAAGTAAATTACAGGTCAAATGTGTCGCATAGATAATGTGTATTGTTTTATGTTTAAATAAGATATCTGGTCATCCAAATGGTAAATGGGCAGCCCCATGTAAATTGAGACGATTTAAGGTTTTGTTAAATTTTGACTGCCACCTCTGTCATTTTGAATAAACACAATAATATACCACAGACACTGACTCGTCTATGAACGATATGACCGATAAACTACATATTACTTTAACTGCTTCAGATGCTTAGAACGCCAATGTTATGAAAAGAAATGTATTTTGATTTGATTGTTCTAATAACATTTACTTGTGTGTCTATAATGGAAATATAAAATCTTGTAGTCTATATACCAGTGCTATTTTTAGAAGGCATGTTTTAGTCGTGAATCATGGGTCACTGAGTCCAGCGCTGATGTGGAAGATTTCACAGTGTGTTGTATGTATTTGTGATTCTCTCATGTTCTTTGGACTTGTTCATGGATTACCTAATCATAGAAAACATCCAAAACATAAGTATACATAATGGTTATTTGGATTTATATCAGCTTGATTGAAATGTTACCTACATTGTAAACATATTCTCCTCTAAACCAGGAAAATGTTATGTGCAAGCACGTGTACTATTGTATAGTGTACTATATAATTTGCCGTTGGGCTTAAAATAAGTTCAATAAAATTACGTAGAAGGTTCTACTAGAAGGTTTCTTTTATTCAAACCTTTATAATCCATGGAAAGGCACAGCCTTAAAGGGGAAGTGTACATGCAAAAATCACTTTCTTTCTTTTTCTAAACAAAACGCAATTTTAGAATTAATTAGTATCTGTGTTTGAAAATATACACTCATTTTTTCACAGTGAAAGTAGGAAGCTCACAATAGTGTGAAAATGATATGCCGTTATGAGGCCTTCGTTTTTCGAGCTAAACAGGCCAGAGTTATCCCCCTTAGATTATGACGTAATTGGTGCCAATTCAACTGGGTCCCTGTCTATTCTCAACGCAAAAGATATCAAGTACCAGTTTGCGGTAAAACAACATGGCCTACGACACACTCCGGCGCAGTGGTGACTCAGCATAACACTATGCTGGCTGGCATCTGAGACGCTAGAATCACACACCTGGACCTACACCACGTGAAGCGGCTCTAACAAAGCATAATGACGTCATAATGTTTATCAATTGCACCAATGACGTCATATTGCAAGGGGCATAAGCCATGGTGTTTTTGTTGTGGAAATAGAACACTTGGTAAATGTGAAAAATATAAATCGTTTTAATGGGAAAAATATGTTAATTAATTGTGATATTTTTATATTTTTGTCTATGACACTTCTAGGTTAACACTTTTAATGTGGAAAAAGTACAAGAAAAATAGGTTCATTTCCGTGTGAACTTGCCCTTTAAGATGTGTTAAAATGATTATGTATAAATTCACTTTTATACACCTTTCACGGGTAGCCTAGTGGTTAACCTTTAGCCTGCTGAATTGTTTTCACACTTCTTAGCCCTGCCTGCTGGATTAATTTTAGCATAAGGCGCTGTAAAGAGGGTGGGTGATTTCAAACAGTTGGTGCTTCATTATACAAGGGCCAATTGAAGAAATATTTTGCACATTTATTCCTGATAGAAAAATACACATTACTATGTAAAAAAATCCTGATGTTTTCAATCATACCAAGGTTAAGACCAAAACGAACACAAAATTTTATAATGTTCGTGATCTTGCCTGAATTACGTTATTGAAGGTGGTTTACGTTTCATGTTAGGAACCTTTTTAAATCGTTAAATTTGTGCAAATTGATTACAATAATCAGATCTCCGATATCTTAATTTTAACTGAGTATAAATTCGATGTTTTTCATTGGTAAATAACAGCGCGATGGTAAATTATGAACCATTTTTGTAAATTTATTATCAAAACGTTAAACAGAAAAAAAACTAAATTTTCGAGGTCACCATGTCAGTTGCAGAAATACGAACAATCGAGTTAGTCTAACGTGTCACGTTATCAAATTTGCAGGAAACAATAAATGACTCATAAATATTCACCAATCCTTATTTCAAGTGTTTTGGTTGAATATTTACGATATACGAAAATACAAGTACCGTGACATGATGCTAGCAGACGTTCGAACATCAAACATGGCGCGCTTCGCCCGACCTCGGCATAACTTATTGCTATTGTAATATCAACAAAGTTTACACTGTCTTCATGTATATGTCTTGGGGAAAGTTGACGATCTTCTCAATCGAAGATTATTTCATTTGTCATTTTCCGTTTAATATGACGAGAGAAAAACGAAAATAAAGATCCTAAATTCTGACAGCAATATTTCAGTTTGTGCAAAGGTCACCGGATGTGATGTCACAGACAGGGGTAGTCTGCTGATAATCTTTCGAAACAAAAGAGTAACAGTCAATTTTGAAATATTTCGCCTTTATAATACAGAATAAACACAAATCACTACATATTATCAGTAATCACCACTAACATGAAATTACAAAGTGATTTTCACGATATAATTGGCGTATTCTTTTAATCCGTTTGACCTTGCATGCTCCCGTGACCCGGAAACGGGAGACGATGAATCAACACACCACATGCAAGTTTCTCGGTATCTTTTATTTGAACTTTTTGTTGATATATATATGAGGATCACCATTCCATGTTAAGTTGAATATAAAGTGATATGATTCATGTATTTGCGATGTACATGCTGATGACTTTGTTTTCACTATAATAATTATGTGTGTGAAGCAATAAGTCCATAGAAATCGTCGATCGGCAACGATCACACTCCACAACAGGTGCGCGAAAATAGGCGTGACAAAACGTTTTTCAAAATAGCATTCATGCGATGCCGAATATGATAGGATATACGCAGGTGGGTGATGTATATATAAAAAAATACGATATACATATTTTCAGTGTTAGTTTCTAATTAAATGTGGGATATTTAAATAATTTTTCCTTTTATAATACATTTATCGATTCTAGCATGATTTTACAACAATTCACGGATCATCTTAAAATTTATTCCATCAATATATAGAGACCGCAATGATTGCGTATTGATGATACGTATTGTTAATGTTTAATTATTAACATCTGTTCACAGCTTCTAAAATATTAAGTTATATTTAGTATCTATTTTTTCCACAATGATTATGTGTATGGATACTAAATATTGGTCAACAGGTCAATGCATCAGCACAGTGTAATTGATCAGACTTTAATTATTATCTTTAGTTTAAACATATTTTATTCAACAATTGTTATCTTTCACCTGAACATAATTTATGTGAAAAAGTAACTATTTGATGTCATTATTTAAGTTTAGTATTTCATAAAAAAATATAGAAATAGATAAGATCCTTATATGAACCTATACAAACACAATACATATGGACATTAATCTTGTGTATGAAGTTGTTTGTTTCCAAAAAACTAATTCTTAAATAGAATTGTAATATGAATACGATACATTAATTTCTTGTAACAGAACATGATATTTTTATTTGTTTAATCACAAGAACCAGGGTGGCACTTAAGCTGGTGAGTTAGCCATATGTTAATAAGAGAATGTTATCTTTTGAAAAAGGAATAGGGCACATATACATACATTGACAATTCTTGCAGTTCTGTTCTGTTGGAGAAATGTACATGGAAATATCCTACCTTAAAATATGTATTTTTTCAGGGTTCTCACCAATGAAATAATGTGTAATTAGTGTGGCAGGACTTTCCAGGTTTGTTGCAGTATGCTCTTGTGTGCTTGACAGTGACACTCATGCATGTCCCCTGAAGGAACATGAACCATTGTGAAATGTGATCAACAGGTTTTCGTCTTCAGTCAATATAATGTACAAAAATTTTTTAAAAAAGCAGATCATCACCAGCTTTGGATCTGACATTCTTCATCATTTTGATGGGTTTCTGAATATAAAGTCAGTATAGGTCCTGATGTTCTTTGTGTCTCAGCCTTCTGGGTGGAATGAAAAGAAATTTCCCTGTATACATGATTACCTTTGTCAGATGTATTTTATCCTGTCAGCCACCTGACTTTATGTCACCTTATGTGGTTAATTTTCGCATACATGTACTGCTGCAAACCTGTTTTTCCCTCGTATATGCAATCACACTATCAAACTTCATCAGCTGGTGTGTCACAAGTTCCTCAGTTAGTGTGTATAAAAGTGCCCTTGCCATCATGAAACAAGAAATGCCAAAAACAAAAGCATTTGCAATAACAAAAAAACCACATTTGTCCTTCCTTGAATAAAATCTTAGGATCAGTGCTTGAAATTTTTAGTGTCATAAATTATTTTTTAAATTTCATAAGGATTTGTCTTTGATGGACCAACGTCAAACCATCTGACAAGTTAGATAGAATTATAACTTTAAAAGCCCTCATTTCTGAGGTGTCCATATTTTTTTTCTACTTTTAGGACAAAACATGAGCCGTCTACCTGAGCTTGGTTACGTAAACAAATACTTGTTTTAAATGTGAAATGGAATTCCACTGATTAGATATCGTTTTTTTTCCCATTGTTCTACGAAATCCATTTGAAATGTGCTTTTTTGTACGTAAAATGTCTTGAGAGTTTGTACCCAAACAGGTATGTGCTTTTGTGCCCAGAATATTTTTGTATTACAGTTTTGTAGTTTCAAACTTACACATTGCTTTTTGTATGAAAAAAGTTAATTTATTATCACTTTTCTGTCAAAACACTAGATCTACAATTACCTTACGGTTTACCAATTTACTGGCCTCTTCTCCAGTGACAAGAATTTATTACTTTCCTATCACAATCAGTCAATTTGAGTTGTGCCAATGTGGACTTGACTACACTCAAGGACCACGTACTTTTAGGTTAGTCATGTTATGAACTTGATGAAATGTTTTACCATAACGTTCAGCTCATTGTTTGCAATAAACATGAAAAAATAAATATGATCAAACAGATTTAGTTTAATTTATTTGGGTACAAAATCATCAAGTGCTTTGGGTACAATTTTGTTTTGGGTACAAAATCACATAAGCGAAACATTCATCCAGTCGACGTGTGTACCTACTTTCATCCGTTCTGAAGATTGGGGAGTCAAAAGTCAACAATCCTTAATATTCTAAATTGTCCTTCTTTCAATGACAGACAAATAACAATATTCTGTTGTTATTATTTTGGCATATTAATGTTATATCGCTCTCCGCTGCCGTCATTTTCAGAAAATAATTTTCAAATCATCGAGCGTGGAATCCTTTACGGTTTCGGTTTTAGACTTACATATTTGATGTTACGCACCGGCGGCAATCACGAATAAATATGAAACAAATAGGAGTGAAGACTGCTATCCAGATCAATAAATAGTAAACAGTTGTCGTAAAAAAGTAAACTATGTATTTTCTTTTGAATTTGAATCTATTTCGGAATTTGTTTTATGATCGCTTACCAACTTTTGCATATTTTGCTTCGATGTGTCATGCGGTACGGGGTGCAGGCTAAAACGGCACCTCAGCAAAACGTCACCGATTTCTCTGGCGAAAACGGCACCGCATTTGGCGGAAACGGCTACTATGTGACAGGCGAAAACGGCACCTCTATTTCTAATAATGATAAGAACGATTTATGTACAATGTAGTAGTATATCTGATTTATGTTATTTGTTACATATTATTTGATGTATTTACATGTTATTTCCAGTTGTTCACAGATAATTACATACATTCACATATATACAATATATATTTTATGGCCGCTGTCAATACACTGAGAGGAAAGGCCTTGCGAGCATGGTATAAGATCAAAAGTTCGCTGAAATCAACTTCT